GTACATTGTGCTGCTGGCCCACTGCACCTCCTCGATGATGTCGAGGGAGGAGTGCACGATGAACTGGTTCATTGGGCGCTGCTCCTCACGGAACTGTGAACTCCGCCGTTAGCATCTTCCACTCCACCATCCCATTCGCTCCTGTTCTCTCGGGACGTGGGGGGTGAATGTGCCCGCGGGGGGAGGGGGGGGGGGACCGGAGAAACGTACGCGTGCGACCCCATCACCGCCTTGCTTGGACGTGCCGAACTCGGCTTCGTACAGCGGGTTGTCCTTTGTGCCGACGATGGCGAAGTAGAAACTCATCTTTGCTGTGGTGCTGCGGGCCGGAAGCTCTCTCTCTCTGTCTGTGTCTGTCTTCTGTGGTAGTGGTGGGATCTGATAAGCGCACGGCTACTTACTAGTATGGAGCTAGCTGCTGCTGCTGACTCAGCAACGAGCCCACCGCCCCCCGGGCATGTGGAGTGGGAGGAGAACCCGACCGAACCATCCGATTCCTGATCGAACCATTCCCGCACCCCACCAAACCACTCACTCGCCTTCGCTTCCATCATCGCAACAACATACAACTCTCCGCTCACCAAATACACACTTATAATTCGCAATGGCGTGCGTATCCTCCCCCCCCCTCCCTTGTTGCTGTGGTGCAGAGGAGGGCAGAGCACTCGGCTAACCTTTCGGGCGGGTAAAAAAAAGTTTCCTCTACCGCGAAAACCGCGTGCCGTACTACCAGCGCCTGTTCCAGCGCAAAGACGGGTTGCGCCAGTGGGTTAAGGTTCGTATCTTCGCCTTTTGTCTGTCTGGGTGTGTGAGGTGTGGGATGTGAGGTGTGGATGGATGTGGATGTGGGCTAATGGGTGTGTGGTGATGGGTGGTGGTGTAGACCCCGAGGAGCCCGTACTTGCTCACCCCGTACTTCATCATCATGGGCCTCGGCGTCACCGGCAGTGTGTGGGGCATGTCGAGGATGGTTGCTGTAAGTTGTCCCTTACTCGTGGGGTGGTGGTTTGGGGGTTGTTTGCGGGGGGAATGGGCGCTGATGGGGATTGCGGGTATAGGGAAAGAAGACCTTTTTCTAGAGAGATGGCGGAAAGAATATGGGGGAGGGGGCTGTTAGAGAGGGGCGCTTTGTATAGCAGTGAGTACTTAGGTGAATAGAAGCGGTTTTAAATCCGATATTTGTGTTTAGATGGTTGATATTTGATATTTGATTTTTGTGTTTGGTGAGTGAGTTGTAGGTGCAATGGCTTGATAATGGGATATATATTTCGTATGAGATCTCAATGGGTGCGTTTCTTTAGTTGCTGAGGTTAGATGTCCATGAATGTGGTCTGAGTATTGACTGCAATAAGGTGTTGAGAGAGTGGAGAGTTTGAGGTTCTTTATTTGAGCTGTCTGGCCTGGACAGCGGGTTGAGAAACTCGAGGTTTGGGATGTGTGTTTGGTGAAATGATAGCATTGATTGAAATTGAGTATTATCTAGAAGCCATATGAGTATATAAACCGTAATAAGGTCTCAAACAACTCGAGTATCCATGTCCTTTTCTTTCTTTTTAAGCTGTATGTTCAGTCAAAGATGGAGAGAAATCCAACAAGTCACACTGCGCATGTCACAGGGTACCCGTGTAGTTAGTAGGTAGATTTTCTGACCAAACTGTTTCTACATTGTGCGCCCCCAGACACTTTGTTTAAAACCTTTGAAATCTGCGGTCGTTGAAACTGGATCCATGCATGGACCATGTCTCTGGTGCACGCAATTTGAGGTGGTGGCCACAGCGTTGAGGTGGGTGGGTTGCGCCACACACACTCTCACTCGGTTGTCCAGTCCCTGCACGTGGGGCGTTGGCGGCTCAACATTTCGCCCGGTTAAAACTGTGAACCCGGGGAAAGGACAGACCTCACCTCCTGGTTAGAACGACGTTTACCTACCTGGGCAGAATCCCTGCCACTACTGCCTTCTTCTATCTTCCACCTCTATTCGACAACTCCTTTTCTCCCTCTCCTCTGTCCTTCATCTCCTTCTTTCTTCTTCCTCGATAGAGGCTCTTTTCTGTTCTTCATCGGCTTTAATTGCAATTGGTACCTTTTAATCATGGCGGAATTCATTGGTTCACTCTTCGGAGGTGAAAAGGATCAGGCTCCTGTGGTTGCGTCTGATGACGGTATGTTTAAATTTCTTACTCCAGCAATTCCATCTGAGGGGAGGTGTCGTTCTACTCTTCAATTCGCTGTGGGTTTTGTTTCGTGTATCGCAATCTGGCCTTAAGCTAACCCCACATTAGATTTCGCAGACTTCGCAACCCCATCTGTGGCAACACCCTCTCCAGTTGCTGCCGCATCGATATCTCCTGTATCATCAATTGCATCTTCACCAACTGGTCTTCCGGTGTCCACGGGCCCTTGGTACGCAGTGTGGGAGCGTGCTGAGCTTAGCGACTTCAAGTTTGAAGGCTACGTCGGGATTCTGTTGCTCTTCGTCATCGGCACTCATGTCTGGGGTATCCGTCGCAACCGAGCAATTGCAAAGAAATTTATTTCCTCCATCACGCCGGTCCTGACACAAGAGTTCGCATACGTTGGATTCAATCAGATCGGAAGGGCGAACACGCTCAACACCAGTCCTACCGGTGAATTGGGTGTCGCAAAGGATTTCAACCCCGAGTTGGCCATCAAGGAAAACCATGCGCTCGAGTTCATCTCATACGCTTCCGGACGTCAGAACATTGCCTTTATGCACACCACCATCAAGCTTCAGCGCCGTAACAACCCCGTTGCCTGGATCGGCGAACAGTTGTTTTCCTTCTTCCTCGATAGCGTTCCCGACCCGACTGACAGTGCTACCATCACGATCTCTCCCTTCGACGGACAGGATGCTGGCAAGCAGGGTGGTGGACACAACAGCAAATTTGACAACTTCGTCTGGGCCCTCGTAAACAAGCGTGACATGAAGAGATGGCGCGACGAACGTTATGATCTCTCTTTGACCACTACCAAGGATTGGGAAGGCCTTCCGAGCTGGCTTGCGGTCATGAGCGAGAGCAAGGAGATTGGCGACACTGTTTTGTTCAAGGAGCTTAAGGATGCCGTCATCGACTGCCAGGATGTTTTGGAGTACTTGATCGTCACCGACCAGCCTGTTGACAAGCCCATGGAGTAAGTTTTCCTAAAATTTGCACTTCGAGATTATCATTCTAACAATATCGATAGACTCAAAGAAACCGTCCCCAAGAAGCGCATCTCCCTCAAGCTTACTCTTCCCTCATCTGAAAAGTCTGCTGCCGCGATCCCTGCACTTGTATCCGCCTTTATCCGTCTCGTTGATCACCTTGTTCTCACCGCCCACTTCCGTCCTGAAGTTCTCCGAAAGGTCAAGTCCGTTCGTGACGAGGAGATCCGTAAGCTCCAAAAGATCGCTGATGAAGAAAAGGCCGAGGAGCGCATGATGAAGCGTGACGAGGAGAAGAAAAAGGAGCGCGAGGAGAAGCTGAGGAACATGAGTGCTGAGGACCAGAAGAAGTTCCTCGAGAAGGAACGGGAGAAGGAGGGAAGAAAAGCCGCCAAGAGACAGATGAAGAAGGCTTAAAATACCATACCCAGCTTCTTTTCGGGCGTCATACTTTTGTTTATTGAGATGATGTCAACGTCCTTGTTTGTCTTGTAGTTTGTGGGCTTGCTTGTGACATCTTCTTTGCTTAATTTTGTTCATCTTTACTAAGGGTTGGTTGGGATGTGAATGAGGTTTTATGTGGAGCGGGACTGATGGGATGAGTCTTACGAAGCTGTGGGGAAGAAAATAACTCGGTACATAATGATAAAAATTAAAGTAACTCTCTTTATTCAAGCCTGCCCTTGGGTTGCATATATAATCGGCGAAGACAAAGAAACGGCAATTGCGTCTGGTTCGTGAGGGAAGCTACTTTCGATATAAAGGTTTTTCACTGGAATGGAGGTTTGCTCAGGTAGCTGTCCAAGCTGCATGCGTATTATTGATTGATCCAAGTAAGACTACTCCCCTTCACTTGGTTTGTACGTTCGATAGACAATCCATCGCCCTATAGTACCAAGCTCGGTATAATTTATTCAGTATAACCCATCTATCCATCCATCCACCCGTACCACCATCAACAACGCCAAAATAATAGCGAAAACCGTTCCTTACAACCCATTCGGGGATAGGGCAGCGGGGAGGAAAACATCGTGTCAGTGTATTCACTTCCTTCCTTCGGTGTTCATGCCGGCGGTATTCGAACTACCACACGTTTGTAGTTATGCTCGTATATAAAAACGGTAATATTCCGATTGAGTGTCTGTAGTCCTTCAAATCACATGCACTACTACAGCCTTGGATACTAGCGTCCGCCCCCGTTCCTAATTTATGTACCTTTACAGAATCTTTTTCTAGTGCATAATTGGGGACGGTATGTTGTTTTTGTTTGGAAGGAATCGATCATTGATACTGTTGCATGTTCGAGTGTTCTTGATACATGTACCCTGTATACTTGTGCTCTGGCGGAATGTACCCTAAGCTACATGTACATATATTATGTGGTACTACATGTATGTAGTTAGTACTTTGCGAGTGATATTCAGTGTTTGTAACTAGCTACATGTATAGCCCGAGGTACTTACTACTACATGTACTCAGTAAGTGTATGTACATATAGGTACATAGATGTATCCAACGTGCAGCTTGAGAGATACGTTGGGGAGACAGCAGTAGGACAGAAATATAGGTACGATGTAGTATGTAAAGAATCCGGAGAAAAAAATATATATAAAAAAAGGTGGAGGGCGGGGGAGGAAAAAAGGAAAAGGAAAAACGGTCTTCCTCAGTTATCATTATTTCCATCAAGCCATTCAACGAGTTCATAATACGATTCCCTTGGTGTTGACGCCACTGCATAAGTGTGTAGAGACGTGGGAGCAGGAGGAGGTGGTATGTTCCTATCTATCGTTCGCACGGAGTGGAGCCTTTCCGTTGTAATTATGCCTTATATCTCCTAATATGCCGAATATTCGACGAATTCACTCGTGATATGATCATTACCCAAAGATTCTTGATCGCCATTGTTAGAAACAACCGAAATACCGTAGAGTTCAGGGACCAAAAATCAGTTACCTTTAATTAATCTGATAATCTTACGATTCCTACTATTGTTTGCCGCTTCGAGGGCTGTCAGGCCTTTATATGATCCGGGTGCCGCATTCGCATCGGCCCCATTTTTCAATAGTAGCGTGACGATATCGGCATGTCCACCTTCCGCAGCCGCTTGTAGCGCTGTCCGACCATATTCTTCTGCTGCTGCAGCATTTATATCGGCGCCTCTATCCGCTAGTATCCTCACAATATGCATTTTCCCTGCTCCAGCAGCTGCTTGGAGTGCTGTTCGGCCTCCATTTTCTGCAGCTGGTGTATTCACATCGAAATTGTTTTCTAATAGGAATAGAACAGAGTCGGTATATCCACCCTCGGCTGCGGCTTGCAATATATCTCGAGTTCCTACGCGTTGGTTTCTCAAAAGGATCTCAACCATATCGTGGTGTCTAAACTTAAACAACCACCCCAAAACGGTTTCGCCGTCAATAAGAGCATTAATGTTCATCCTGTAATGCACGAGTATATTCATTGTATCCAGATATCCGGCCTCTGCTGCTGATTGGAACATCTTTCCACGGGCTGATGGGCCCACCAACTCGCGGCACCTTGGATATTGTAGGAGCATGGTGGTAGCTAGGTTACGTCCCTTCTCTACGGCTTTCCGTAACAAGTCTGGAAACACCCACTCCCACATTGATAGATGTTTCATGATGTCAACTTTACCGGCTTTCCGTAGAAATAGGTCTTCCCTCCTCTTTGGGTCTAAGTTCGCACCGAGACTCGAGAATTCGGCTTCCAGGCACTGAAGCCAATAATCGGCGTACCCCTTCAGCCATGGGCTTTGAAGAGCGCTGTCTGCAGTTTCCCGGTCCTCTGGTGCCGCAATTAAAAGACTTTTGATAAAAGTTATACCTTCTCTACTTACTCTGGATTCTTCTAGGGCTTGACTTGGGAAGTCCATAGCTCCTTTACAATATTCGATAAGTGACGTAATGTCAAGAAAGGACTGCTTTCCGGATTTCTCTAAGCCAGTGTGTGGGGATGTATCGGTCCCAGTGCTGCTTTCCAAGTGGTGAAACGGCTTGAGTGAAGTACACATTTCGTAGACCATGCAACCTAATGACCATATGTCAAGTGCGTGGGTGAATGTTTTTTGCCCATGAAATATTCCCATGAGTTCAGGTGCAAGATATCCATCAGTTCCGCACCTAGTCCGTAGGAAGGTGTTCTTTGTCTGCTTCGATATCCCAAAGTCGGCGATCTTGACCCAAATAGGATGAATAGAAGCCATCAGAACATTCTGTCAAAACCTTATATCAGTGTCTGTGTTACCAGCCCGAGAAGGTATACGGTTATTAAGGGCAGGAAGATGATCACACACCTCAGGCTTCAAATCACGATGACAAATTTCTTTCGTATGAAGAACATCCAGCCCTTCCAAGATTTGTTTCGTGATTTCTTTCACTTCGAACTCTACCGACTTACTTTGGCTCCTGATATATTCCGCTAAGTTTCCGTGCCCAATGTATTCCATTGCGAGAAATATATCATCTCTATTTTCGTACCAGCCAAGAAATTTTACGACTAAGTGGGAATACTAAATAATGAAATTACCTCCCGTTGACCCTGATACCTATAAATCGATTCTTTTAGAACGCTTACCTCTCTTAAATCAACGAAAGCCAGCAGCTCTCGAGTGAAATGATCCGATTTTAATCGTCGGCGCAGTTGTTTGACCGCCCTGAGTTCCCCCGATTTCTGTTCCTCCTCAAGCCAGATCTCCCCACTTGCCCCAGCCCCAATAATCCCGAGACGCTTCCAGGTCGATTTTCCACCAATCGTGTTGTGTACCACATAGTCCTCATGGAAACATGTTTCTAGCTTGTAGTTATGGAATTCTTCAGGAGGACCGCCCTGATAGGAGACACCAAGTGACGATTTTCGTGGGAATCGGGGGTTTCTGACATTGCGGCGCTTACGTACGTCGTACGATGATGATGATTCTTCTAGATTCTCTGGGAAGCTGAAAAAAGGCAGAGAAGACTGACAGACTTTAGGTAAGCTTGGGCTTGGGGAATTTCCATTACGAAGCTTACCTCGTGCGATGTTAATTCTTCTGGGAAGCTGAAAAAAGGTAGAGATATAGACTGATAGGCTTTAAGTAAGCTTAGATTTCGGAGATTTTCATTACGAAGCTTACGTACCTCGTGCGATGGTAATTCTTTTGGATGCTCTGGGGAGCTGCGCGGAGGCATAGGTATAGGCATAGACAGCTGGTAGACTTTAGGTGAGCTTGATAAGGCTGGGGGGTCTTTTCATGTCATTAAAACTCATACGGTTAGTTCTTTTCTGCTAATACGGCCCCTCCGGTCTGCGACCCATAACGACATAGGAATTGAGATAACCCCGACAAGTTAAAGAAAATTTCTCAAATGGTATGAAGGTTGGATAGAGTTCTGTTCTAGGTAGGTCTTCTCCCTCCACCGGAACAGATGTTGGTTGGCGAGTGAAAACGATTCAAGAGGTAAAGAGACCAGTTAATAACGACGATATTTCCCTTCTTATGTTTAGATGTTCCGCCGAGAGGTGTTCCGTGGAGGTGGAAGGCATCTATTGTGCGCGAGATAAGTTCCCCGCATTTATGTCTTTGAGCTTTTATACGAGGCTGCCAAACATTTGCGGCTGATATTGTGGCTTGTGCCTGTTTTACGCCAATCTTTGGAGGCCCAATATTCTCCAGCCATTGCAATGCTTGGACAGCGCTTAAGGCGAAAACACACAAGCATCTGTTTTGTCTGAGATAACTGCTGCAAGGATCGATTACATGATGTAATATCAGTGGTGGTGAGATACTGACGATGTAAATTATAAAGTTTGTACCGGTGTTTTATGGAAGTTAAATGTCTGTTTGCATCCTACAACGAAGCTTCAATTTGGATAAGGACACGTCGACAACTACTTGAAGTACATGTAATTCAGATAGGTATACACTGGAGTACATCTATTCACTCTATGTAGCTACGTGCTTTACATATGTTTATCCCTTAGACCATCAACTCAGCCGGGACCAAATCGATTATTATTATTCAGGGCATATACAAATATTTCAACCCACTGTTGGAATGATAACACATAAGCATTAACAACAAGAAACCACCACGTCTTCCCTTTGGAGCTATAAATCTCGAGATTCAAAGGCTCAAGAGTGAGTAGTTAACATCGTTAACGTGCTGAAATCTACGTCGATCACGCTTAAACACAAGTGATGAGCCGTGAACCACCGTGGATATACTTTGACGCTAGTACAATCCCGGCTATTGGTAAATTTTTTGGGGGTGTCAGTAATTGTTACACTCCGTTCGGCAACACGATATTCAGCCGAATATCGTGATATTGAGAAAATATGCAATATTTTTCCTAGTGGTAGTGTTCTAGCGACCACAAAATGTCAACATTCTCAATCTACTATCTGCCCAATATTACGATAAAAAATATCTTGCTCCAACCTAAATATTTGAACTACCACTACTAATTACACCCGCAACGTCCCAGATTGTGGTTGCAGCCGAACATGCCAATTGTAACCACGATATTCAGGTCCCAAAAATCACATATTTAGTTGTAACCTTGCCAGGTTGCAACATCGCCATATTCATATCGCAGTTTTGCCGAACGGAGTAAGCTCTCTAGCGGGCGAGATAAAACTCAAGACTCCAATGAACAGGTGTGCACCTTAAATACCGAGAACATCGATTGATTGGATCGAAATTATATGGGCGCCACGCATGGCAACCAAAGGTGACCAATGATTTTCAGAGTTACAATGGGCTTAGCCACACAATTTGTATATTGGAAAGAAGTCTGAAGAACTTTCACATATCTTCACTTAAAAAATTTAAATATTTAACTAAAAATACAAAGAAATAACCACAGGATAGAGCTGGCTCCCTGCTTGATCTGAGTAGTGCTGTGAAGTCTTCAAAGGGATTTTTGGGGGGGTTCAAAATGATCAGGAGTGAAAAAGAGTCAAATTGCGGTGGTGGCGGTTGCGTTGCTTGGTCGCCAAGTTGTCCCTTTCTAAAAAAATTCGACCAATGGTAGGCTCTCGCAGACCGGTCAAAATAAAATTTCCTAAAAGAGGGTTCTTCACACATACCGTGAACACCCTGAACATTGATAGAGTTCAGTCGACCTATTATCAATCTACTGCACAGAAAGTGTTGTCAAACACTCAAAACTTTTGCAATAGGCCCTTCGCGCAGACAGAGCTGGCTCCAAATTCTACTTGTATCACAACATGCAAACGATATCTACACCTTTACGAACAAAGAGCAAAAAAGCAACATAAATACATGTACAGACACCACGCGCAGCTCCCTTTTTAACCCATTTATTCCCTTACAAATTACCTAACTAATTACCTACAGTACAAAAGAAAAAGAAAAAAACTAGAAAAAAAACTAGGGAAACTACTAAAAGGTGAAGAAAAAAAAGAGGTAGAGAAAAAAAGAAGTAAAGAAAAAATAAAATAAAAAAAACACTACCCATCTAAAAACTCCCAACCCGAAACCCAAAACCCAATCCACTATTTTACAGCACCTCCACCCTCCCATCCCTCACGCCCCTCCCATCCTCAATCGCCACCACCCTCCACAGCGCCCTCTTCGCCCCCTCCACATCCCCCTCCCTCTCCAGCGCCTCCGCCAAACAATACCACGCCTCAGAACACCCCCACCCCCTCGGACTCTCCGTACACGCCCTCAGCAGCGTCACCGCCCGCGACTGTTTCGCCGCCCTCATGACCGCCTCCTCCTCCAGCTCCCTCAGCGACTTCAGCGGTACCGTCTCTTTCCTCCCCACTGGCGCCTCTTCACTCGGAATGAGTCCAAGCAGGAGCTGCGAGAGCCCAACAATCGCGCCAGGACAGTTTATGTCGGCCGCCAACGCGGCCTCGAAGTAGCGCTGTGCATTGAATAAGTCTTTATTCTCGAGCGCTTGTAGAGCCCGCTCCACGTTGACAGCGCCTTCGCCTTGCAGCTCGCCCCAGCCGCCCCATGTGCCGATGCGGGCGCCGAAGCCGCCTTCTTTGGGGGCATCGCTGGAGGCGGGGGTATCGATGAGGGCTGCCTCTTCGACGGCGTCCCGGGCGTCGCTGACCCAGCCGCAGCGGCGGTACAGGGCGGCCATGAAGAGCCAGACAGTTCGGAGTGTGTCTTCTGAGCGGCGGCGCTCTGCTGCTTCTTGGAGGACGGGCTCGGGTAGGTATACGGGGCGGGAGATGTTACGAGTAGGAGTAGGAGTTTCTGTGACTGGGACTGGTGCAATGGGGTTTGGAAGTGCGGAGCGGGGGAGATTGTTTGGGAGGTTCTTTTGCGGCTTTTCGTCATAGACAGAGACTGGCGTGGCAGTTCCTGTGGTCTTAGGCGTGAACGTCCCGCTGCCGTTTCCGGTGAAAGTTCCACTGGTGCCATTACGGCTGGGTGTGAAGCTGCCGCTGGGAGAGAAGGTGCCATTACTATGAACTCTCTGCAGCTTACTCTTCAGCACGCTGAACATCGCACCCTCCTTCTTTTCGTCCCCACCGCTACTCGTCGGTGTTGCCGGCGATGAGATATCAGTGCTGCTAGGCAACGGGGGAATCTCATCTTCTACGCTTGTCCCAACTACCGAGTATGTGCTTTTGACACTTTTTGACCTTCTTATGGTTCCACCGCTCACCGAGTACCTCCTACCCTTGCGGCTTCTTTCCGCAGCTTGGATCTCCGCCAACGATGGTGGTATGCTTTCTATCGGCTCGGTTGCCGTAACCCGAATTCGCGGCGCACCGCGATATGTAGATCTCTGGCGGACCCGAACGGACTGCGATGTGCTGGAATCTGGTCTGCCAGTCCCAGGGCGTGTTGGAGGGATGCATCCAAGTGGTGCTGGTGTAGTGGAAAGGTCATTCGCAGAGATGGAATACTGCTTCTCATATGCGGGCTTCATGGTGAATATTCTGCTGATGCGGGAAGCAGTGGAGGGTCTACGGCTTGATTTGGCAGTCGATGGAGGCTCCGGGGAGAATTGGGATGACGGCGGAACAAGAGGTGGTGGGAAAAGACGGTTATAAAGTGTCAATAGAGTTTCAGCACCCCCAACAGCAGATAAGGGTCCTGAAGTAGCTTCTAGAAGTGCCATTCTTGTCATCTGCAGCTCCAGCGCAAGCGTTTTCTCGTCCACGCTTAATGTGGTAGGGTCAGACGGGGACAGAAGAACCAAAGCCTTCGTACATATCTTTTCTGCCTCGTCGAACTCTTCCTGCGCAGAGAGCAGAACTGAAAGGGCATGGCCCACAGCAGCTTTTCTCCCTCGCTCCCTTCTGGTATTTCCGATTCGTTTCAAAGCCTTCCGCAAATTTTTTATTGCAGCGGTGGTATCGCCAAGGTCGGCATGAACCGTTGCGATACCATAATAAGCATCCATATCTTCAGGATCGCTTTTCAAGCTCTTCTCAAAAGCTTTCTTTGCGAACAAAAGAATCTCGCTCCTCTCCTCACCCATAACCGTCTGCCGCGCCCACGCCGCATTCGCAGTTCCGATACCCCGATACACAATTCCAAGGACCAAAGGATCTTTGACCTTCCAATCGCGCGTCCACTTCTCACATCTTCCGGCAATTTTCAACGCCTTTGCACCTTCACCAAGGTATTTTGTGAGCATCCTTATGCCATCGGCCGCAGTAGTAAGAACCATAGCAGAAGAATCAATATCCTTCTCAATTTTCCCCTTTGCAATTCTCTCAGCCGCATTTTCGCTCAAATCCAGATACGTTTCGAGTGAAAGAACAGCATCGGCCAAGTTTCCCATTGACGTGAGAACATAGAACAAGTGCCTCAGAATTCGCGGTGAATGGAACGTCTTTGTGGCGGCACGGTATAGACACTCACTGACAACCTCCGCATCCAGACCCGATCCCCCAGCGACCCGCCAGTTTTCACAGACGATATCGACGAATTCGCCAATGAGTTGATGAAAGGTGTCGGCAGCCGGGAAAGAATGTGTGTTCAATAAGTAGGCCTCATAGATATTTTGTACTAAATTCAACTCATTGCGGACTTGAGAAGGGGTGCCGGCGGGTTGAGCAGGAGAAACTAGGGATAGCGTAGAGGCGTTTTCGGAGCCGTTGGGGGGTATTCGGGGATAAGGCGCATCTGGATGGGTGGGTGGTAATAATAACACTGAAAGAAACCGAAAGTAATGGCGATACACTTCTCGTCTTTCTGCATCTTTGAGCGGGTCGCTTCCCTGGCTAGGGGATGTGAGAGTTGGTTGTTTCTGTCGCGGGAGCTCGGAAACAAATCTGTGAAACGCTTTGAATGCACCCGAAATAGTTGCTTCATCAACCTGTGACTTCCCGATCGCCGCATGTATTGATTCCGCATCCTCCATAGTGGGTGGCAATGATGGTGTCGCTTGTTCTGAGTCCGTTTTCCACTCGCCCCGGGGCTTCTCATGCTTCCGTGGGGTAATATGACAAACAGTTGCTGGAGGTGAAGGAATGTCTGGAGAGTTATTTTCCAACCAGCATCGATATGTCGTGAGTGCAGCATGAGAGAGTGCTCGCTCAGTCCACTCTGTAGTTGACGGCGAAGCACGTAACGCTGTGGGAAGGGTAGCTGCCTGGCGAATTGCGGTTTTATAGAGCTGTAGTGGAATCGAGAGATCTTTGGGGTTTGTATGTGATAGAGCGATTCCTACGGGAGCAAGTCAATACCACAAAGACATCCAAAATAGCCCCCCACCAGCCATCACTGTCCGTACCTGCTGTCTGAACCATCTCCAGGTGTCGACAAAGCCACAAAACAAACCACCGAGATCGTCCAGCCAGGACAGATATTACATTCCAGCACACAGGATGAACGGCCCAGAGAGTAAAAAAAAATCTTGGTCTTATCGATTTAATCACTACTTCTTCTACGCACCTTGTAAAACCAGCGACTTTATCCTCGCAATCTCAATGTACCCATCCTTCGCCTTCCCCACGCCCACAAACTCCTCCGACACCTCCCGGACCCCCGGGATAACCCTAACCACATCCTCCCATTCCCCCTTCAACATACAGGCCCAGGCAATCGTCACCCTCGCTTCCACTATGTCATCCGCCGTGGCTGTCGAGCTGGGCCCACCTCCTGCAGGCGATGGCAACCTTATCGCCGCCTCCGGAGTTCGGTCCAGCTCCTGCTGCAGCGTATCCTGCAGCGCGTCCAAAGAAACGATATAAGAGACGATTGTTGACGGCGACTCATGAGGTAATGGTGGGGGAAGTAGCTGATGGATCTTTGCTTCTGTGGCTGCTGTCAAGGCAAGACCTGGCGTTCTGAATTAGTTTCTATTTCCCAGAGGACGGAGGAGGGAGGGAGGGGCGTGTGGAGGTACATTTTCGGCCGGGTGCATGTTTTTGAACCTTCCTGGCAAGCTCGGGGATTTCATCCCAGTTCCCGTTGCACCGCGCCTGCTCAAGGCGCTGGAGGTATAGTGTCCCTTTTGTCTAGCAGGAAGTGATCAGTTGGGGGTTGCTCCGGTGGAGAGGGATTCGGAGAGACGTACTGTGCTCATTATAGAGGGGTAGATAGTTGGTGGATGAGCTTAGTAGAAGGTCGCAGTTTGAGAGACGCGAACCCGTGGACCCGGCGAACTCGTGATCGGGTCTTCGACTTGTAGTGGTGGTGGTGTTGCGGCTCAACAGAACGTGACGTATCAATCACTGCGGCGACCCTAACCCTGAACAACGGTTTTCAAAAGGTGAAGATAGTGACAACGATGAACAGATGGATGGGGGCGTTAATTGGATGTTTGTCGACGACCGTGATGATAGGGCAGAGGGGATATGGAAATGTCGAGAGAGAGAAGGATTCTCATCGCTCCGAGATGACGGCGATCCTGGCTCGGTTATACGCGTGGATCCCCGACTGAATAAATGAATACTAACCCAATACTCTCATCATTCCCTTGCCATGTACCACGTTGGCCCCTTGTGTCCGTTCCATTCGTCTTCTTCCTGCTACACCCAGGACCTGGGTAAATCCAGTTTGTTTGCAGTTACATACATACATACGTCTGCAAACAACATTCGGTCCTTTGGAGGTAGAGTACTCTACTCTAGACGATCTGAGATTACTAGCAGACACATGTCTAAAATAAATACCTGTACCCGTCTAGTTGGTCTAGCTGCCGAATAGTTCCCCGGATTCCCGTACCCTAGCCTGGCCATACAGGGGTCGTGTAGAGTAGAACGTTCGATAGAAGAGATGTCTTATCCCTAGCCCTACGGCCACTAACGTAGCGCCAAACAAAGCCTCAATTTCAACCTCACCCCTCTAATTATCCCAGGCCTCCTCATCATAATTCCAAGACAACGGCTGCACAGACATTTCCTTGGGTTCTCGAAACAAAAAATCTGAATCATTATCGGAGATCCCATAGGTACATGCATTGTGCACGGCCGGCTGTTCATCCCATCTGATATAATATATCACTTGGCCATGATCTCCGGGTAGATGAGTGTCGTTGAGAATTCGACGTGAAGATGCTTTCAGTAGATAGAAACAACATTAGCTCATCTTTCCCCTCGCTTCAAGTTTCCAAACCCCTTTATCACCCTTTGACCACTTATTGCATGCTGCAGGAACCCGAGGGGTCTGTATAATAATTTGGGAGAGTATTGCATCTTGCAGAGGCAGACAGTTGATAACTGTGCGTGTGCCGATCGCGATCGTCAAGCGCAAAATTAGAAAGGCACCGTTTTTATTACAACCACCCCTGCGCCTTGATGGAGGGGGTTGAATGACGCTCGTTCCATCTGCCTCAAAATCTCTTTAGGATATCTCTCTTAGAGTGGACATGTCTAGATACACCACCGCTCATCAAATGGAAGAGGAAGAGAAATATCTTCACACCTGGAATTAGCATGACTCCCGTCGTCGCTAACATCACCTCCTCACTCCAGGGCTATGGATATCATGACCCCTTCCCTTTCTGTTTACCCCTCTAGAGTAGGCACGTCTGAGTTCACTATCGCGCTGCGCTGGCCACGGGTGTGAGTGGGGTACTTGTCAGTGCTAGCGCTCCCGCATCTGCTAGATAAGATAACAGGCCTAGGCGGGAGAGGCAGTGAACTGAATCCGCCAGGTCGTTCCCAGTTTAACGTATCTTGTATTCCGCTGTTATTCCAGCGAGGGGCCGGGGGCTGGAGGGATTCTGCTGGTCTCGATTGATGTGGTCAGCCAATCTGTCATTAAGCCTAATTCCCTCGCCCCGAGGTGAGAAGTGAAGTGCTGTTTATTAGCCAAATACCAAACTGTGAGAGTCATAGCTATCCAGCTAGACATTCTTAAGTTAATATATCAGTAACCCATGAGAAGCAACGGCACAGCCCGGGCCTCCAGGAGCTCAACAGAATGTAGTCCGCCCGGTCCAGCTAGAGCTTTGAAGTAACATAGAGTGCGCAGCTCGCACGGCCTAGATGAGCTGTGCAGGTAGTGTTATATATGTGTTCTTCATGGTCGGGGGTGGTTAGTGGTCATGGCTGTGGTCTGCTGCTACTTCGGGGAGTGTCGGTATTATGAGAAAGTGGGTGAGACTCGCGTGCTGGTGGTAGTTGTGGTTGTAGATCTGGACTTAGAGAAATCATGAGATATCACTCGATCCCGGTGGTTTTTTGTATCACCAGAGAAAATGATGTAGTTGCTCGAGTATTTGGAAAGTATAGGGATGTGGCTTTTGGCCCTTATCTGCAGCTGGAGGGTACAATTTATTTACTGGTGAGAAGCACTAACTTTGTAAGGGTACCTGATCGATATTGGAAGAAGATCATCAGGAAGATGGGAGGGCATGCGCAGTTATTTCTTTTTAATTTTCTTGATTCCTTTTCGATCACCGCAATAAAAATAGGTAAAAAAGGGAGAAGAGATAGTAGAAGAAGAGAAAAAAAAGTAGAAGAAATAAAAAACCTTTTTTCGCTTCAAACCAGCGAGGGAGCACAGAATTACTTTCCCAAGCAAAGAAGCACTCACCCAACCCAACCCGGCCTCCCTCATGACAAATCCTTCACGGCACGTGTAAAAAGTCCGCCCACTAGTCCTAGGCCCATTTTTGACAAAAAGGAGAACCACCAATCATTCAATTCACTCCCGACTCTTCGCAAAATCAACGTCTCAATTTTTTTCCCCAACCCGGCGGCGCAGCCGACCCCGCGTTTAGTCCACCAAAAACACCCCTATTCTCATTAATCGGACCTTCTAGCCTAACACTCCATTTCCCAATCTCGCGCCAGAGGTATCATGGTGCACCCATCCGCTGCGCAGCCCCACGGTTGCAACACTCATAACCCGAGTGATCCACCATGTCGCACTCGCGACCTTTATCCCTGTCCATATGTATGGGTGCACAGGAACCATAACACCGGTGTTTTAAGCTTCCCACTAAAATATAGATAAACAGCACCACTCCTCGATGGCACCGGCTTAGCGCACATTACCCACGACGCATATTAGCCTGTCGATCGTTGACTGCTGATGAGAGGCACTGGTGGAGGGGTAGAGTGGGCGGTCTTGGTAGCTTCTCTCGTCTTGTGGACGTTTGGGTGATTCTTCTTCGACTTTGTTGTGATCTAATGTCCCTCCGTCTTCTGAAGGTGGAATAGACCTTAGGTTTTCCAGCATTTGAGTGTATGCCAAGAGAGGAGAATAACCGGCCAAGAGTGAATTTTTTCTTGTGAGGAAAGAACACTGCGCATATTTTATCGTAACCACACAGTATATTAGATCTGAATTCGATTCCTAAATTTGTAATTCCAGGCTAGGATTCTCTACCAAAAGAAGCTTTAAAAACAATCTTCCTGAAAAAAATGACCTATATCAAAAATTTGCCAAAAGCGTACTTCTCAATGTCCAGATATTTCTCTGATAGGAAGTAGAAGGGCGGGAGACTCAGAGTTGCTTATGTCGTCGAGGCTCTTAACGACAAAAGTGTCACTAGTTGCAGAACACATCGTAGTTCAAGCCCTATTCCGTTTCAGCGTCACAAATATTGATTAGTCGTACTTGCCCAATCCCACAAACCCATGATCCACACAAAACGTTTCATGAAATTTCGTTTGAAAAGTCTCGATGCACCGCGATTAACAAAACACTCTCCCTCTCACAGAAACGTTCGAACCCACGCCCGACCTACTTCTCTACCCGCCGTGATTTCCCCTTTAAATTCCGTGTTTCCATTTCCCTCAAGTGAGTTGGGAAATTGAAAGCCCAATCAAAGGTAAGCCATCTGTTGGTATCAACCTTCCTCCTGTGCTCCATGATCTTGAATAAAGTTTCACGACAGACCTCGCACACCAAGGCATTTTTGTGAGGAATAGTTATCAAAAAGTCTTAGAACGTAAGTTTATCTCGGGCACCAGATTTTCTCTCTGCGGGTTTACTGATTTTGAGTGTTCTCGGACACAGAAAGGGTGCCTTTGTAAACAAATCCTCTGTACACATATCCTCGAGCGAAGCAGGATCTTGTTAGTTTGCGTGAGAAGCCGTCTCTTGGTACAAGGAACGTCTCAAAGCCAACTTTCGTGTTAAAAATCTCCTGTTACTAGTCAAACTTTCAGCGTAAGCATTTCTCTCCAGGAAAGATATTTCTCTCTGCAGGTTTATTGACCTTTCATATTTCTCTAAGACCCCTTCCCGAAGTCTTTCCGATCATCTCGAGTGAAGAAAGTATCTTCAGTCTATACACAAGAAGCCTCTGTCAAGACCGGTCTCTGTGTGAAGGGGTTTCATCAGGGGGATTTTCTGTCTTACCAACTGCATTGTCAAAATTTTCAAAACGTACAATATCTCTGAGCTCTCTGGCCCACACTTTTCTCTTGATCGATGGTTGACCATGAATGTTTCTTTCTTTCAGATCTGCTTCTACATGAGCTGTAGAGATACTTTCCGCCAAGAAAAAGTATCTCAAAGCGTGCTTGAATCTTTTAGCTTCTTCATATAAATAGGCATCTGTTTTTCCTATTTCTGTCCAGGAAGCACTGTGTTTGTAAGGTCTTCAAGCCTCGTAAGATGCCCATACTTTATAAAGAATCCTAATCATCCTGAAGGTTACCAGCCTCGAGATACGTTCTGTTGTTTCTCTCTTTTGCCTTTCCGTTTGACTAATCTCTGTTCTTTTTTTCTTTTTTCTTCGTCCGCAGAAGCCTTTTTTTTCCTCACGGGAAGGTCTTCTCATCACACTATTACTTGATTCTATTAGCATTTCGCGTTAAAACTGTATGTATTTGATCTCACAATGACTTTATCTTCCTGGCTCAATGCTTATTATGATGCGAAGTAAATTGGATCCAATAAAGTCTTGTAGCTTTAAATTGTTACCAATCGCGCAAATAATCAGCGGTTCACACGGTAGATTGAGAAATAGCACTCCCGCAACGACAAGTCACGAAGAAACCAGCCCAAGCGCTGGGAAGAACCCCATTGGAAATGGAAATACGTATGGTATTGGTAGCCTTCGTGGGTCTGGAACATTGCGGCCACCAGACCACCTAATTGGTCCTGAAGAAGTTGTCAATGCACCTTGTAACTGCCATGAATGCTGGAATGGAAGGTTGCTCGTAAACAGCTCTGGCCGGTACTTCGATACCGTAGAACGCTCCGACAAAAGGCGACCGAGTGTTGTAGAGGTGAGTAATTTTTTCGAAATCTTCTTTTAAGTTTGTCGCATTATGGATCGGAAGCTAACATATAACCCAACAGTTCGAGCCGGATATGAATAACGTAAAAATGATTAATGACGTATACCGTGCTGCCCTTGCTAAGGACAGAGAGCTTGTGCATAGGGTCATCTTGGAGGGACCTGAAACCGTCTGTGTGGTCACAAACCCTCTTGCGGAGAGTTACGCGGCCCACGACTTTTGCGTTTTTCTAAACCCGGGCAGTTCTCCCGAGAATAATATGAATGAAGTTCTCTGGAACCCTGTTGAACTCAAGCTTTTCGCCGGAGGGCGTGCCCAGGAATGGGGTGGGATCCTCCACCATGCCATCATGGGAGGTGATATGTGGCTTTTAGAGCGTGCTTTAGCAGTAGGAGCCCGGACAAGAGATCGAGACAGTCGGGGGCGTACCCCGCTCCACATAGCAATCCGTGAAGGACGCCTGGATATGGTTAAAATATTGACCAACTATCCATCCCATTCCCCCTTCATCCCGCGCGATGTCTGGGGCCGAAACGCCTGTGATGAGGCTGTACTCCGCTACGTGCGTGAGAAAATCGCACGTGGGGGCTCTGGCTCGAAAATTACCCTAGACCAGCGGTATAAGATCCTTCTTTGGATCATTGGCCACGAAGAAATGCGCAAGGATAAGAATATCCTACACCTCGCGTGTAGGTTTAACCATACAGCCTTGGTACACTCCCTTGTGGGGAATACCTCGCTCCGGGAGGACCTAAAGAACAGGCGAATTCGTCGTAATAGGTCACCTCTTTTAGACCAGCGGAATAACTTCGTTGCTACCATTGTGGCGATGTTGGAGGGCTCAAGTTCAAGGGATGAAACATTAGTGCCCACAAATGTCTTTCTACCCGGCCCTGTCGACAGGAACGAACCAGCAACGCGTCCATGGTTTGATGATCAAGCGTATAATGGGTGGGCTCAAGGAGACTTTATGTACGGTTGGTTTTAAGGTGAGTGCATAATACTTGATAGATAGTGGGGAAAATAGAAGTTCTGGTTTGTTCTTTTACAGTGTTCTTGCCGTTTGCTTGATCCTTGTCATGTACAATGTCGGCTTGTCTTCGTTTTTTTGCGTTGAACCTAGGGACCACCTCACAAAACGAAAGTTTAAACCCTTTCTTGAAGTCATCAGTGGATTTGACTTTGGCCTTGAGTCTTGTACATTGAAATGGGCCGGTTACCATTCGTACATGAGTAAATGTCTTTAATGTTATCTATGGTTTAGAATGTAAATATATCCTACATACGGTGTAGAATAGCCCGAAAGACTGTAGTGGTTCAGCGATGAAATGGAGTGTTATTTAAAATGTCACAAATTGAAGTAACAGGTTAGGGGAATGAAACCCAAAGGGCCATGAATTGAATGGGGATCGATATTCGTTATATCTTAAGTTGGGGACAGGGAGTACGTACATGTAGTGTTTCCGATTATCTGGCGCATTAGGAGTCCGTATTAATTTGATACCATCGAGGTATTATTATTACTCCTCACGTTTATTTCTTCCATGTATAAAAGGAACAAAAGGTTGCATTGATGGACGCCACCATGTATATTATCCCCACCACTGGATCGAACTACATATGGACCTTCTATAGGAGGACCTGATGCAACCTCGTGAGTAGCTTGCTGCTAGTAGGGGATGGGTACGAGCCTAGGCGCAACCTCACGGTGTCCGGGAGGCGAGTGGTAACCGCTAGATCGCTCCGGATCCCCCATGTGTGTTATCGACTATCTGTGCCAGGGTTGATTGCAGGTGACCAATCTACATAGCATCTGTCGTACTTATACCTTCTCGTACATACCAGTACGTACATGTACTCACATCTCTTGTAGTCGGGTGCGCACAGTGTGAAATGTAGAACAATTGTCTCCATCCCGTCCTTACCCCAATAAGACAGGCCAAGATACATGCCCACACTGGCTCATGTCTCCACTAGCGTAAAAGGTCGCAACCTACTCTGCTCACCAACCACCTGAACTCAAGTCGACCTCTTTGCCGCTTACAATCCCCAGAAAAATTCACGGACCAGCTTTACCTACTCACGGCCTGGATGTTACCAGCTCGTCTTTCAGCTCGAAAGGATATTAATTGCTAACAGGTGTCATACGGAGGCTCGATCTAGAATCTGATCCTGGCTCTAAGGGCCCCATTGAAAAAGGAGATTTCAGTCGAATAGCTCTTGCGCACCCTGCAGCCAGGACAGCAAATGCGTGTAACTGCACCGGCTCTAGCAAAAACTGCCAGGCGGAAATTGAGAATACGAATTTTACTAACATGTACAGAATGGGTGGAGTTGGGTCTGAACGATGAGAAACCCATTGAATTCGCTATCTAAGACAAAAATCATGAAGAGAAATTAAGGCTATAGAGGAACTAGTAGGGCTTCATACATCAACTATCAATTGTCAAAGATACAGAGAAATGCTCATCTTTCGGAACAGGGCGGATCCGCGGAACAATTTTTCAATGCCCTAAGGCTTCTCTAAGGCTCTATGAAGACCACTACTGGTTTTTAGACTGAGAATAATCACCATAATCTGACCTTTATATAATGAGAGAATGATAATGGGTAATTCACTGGCTCACAAGACATTCAAACTTGAATAAGGAAGTACAGCAATTGCGCACTGCTTGTTCCTTGAACGTGCTAGCTTAATCTCAAAGTAGATACCTATTATTGATGAACAGCTCCAGCTCGATAACATAATATTTAATAATCCGATGAGCTCCATCATTTCAGCCGAGCAGAAATAACGCCAGAGGGGAAAGACCGTGATCCTTACTATCCCCATCATAAAAACCGAAGACCCGTCGCGCGGTGAACCACAGAAGCGTTCGACCTCCTCAACTGGAAAAATTGTTCGTGCATCTCTTCCTCTTAGAAGGCCATGCACAGGAAGATCCTATACCTCCACGTCAGTGCCGCCATTCAAGTTCGTTGCTAGTAGGACCATGTATAACTTACTCAAGCATGACTCGCCAGCTAATAAAGTATCTTCAATGCAATAGTAAGGACATTTCACCCCTAGCAGTCCGTACACATTTATCCACGCATAACAGGGCACGAACTTTTTTCTCTGGTATCCTAGGATGTGTTAGTTGGAGGCCTTTCAGCGAGATCTCGAGAAGGAAGGACTTACCGCAGGAATAGATGGTGGGTGCGACAGCGCACATCTTGATGGGTGTTTTGTGAGTAGATAGAAACAGTCGGTTTTGTTTTTGAGGTTGGGAGGATACTTGCTTGGAGTGTGGGTGTTTACCTGCTTGTACGTGTTTACCTAGTGGCAGGTGGTGGTACTGTGTACATCTCTGGCGGGAAGAGTTAAGACTAACTGGCGTTATAAGGATACCAGGTCGCTCATGATCAAGGACGGTGAAAATACACTGTACACCCTCTAGGAGGTACATGTATGACGCTTAGCGCTTCTTTAGCTCTGAAAAGATCGAATTGCTTTATTATTTCATGTAAGCATCCGGATCTTTTGTGTGCATATGTGGCTCATAGCGCTGAATTTTAGCACGATTATCAGCCTTGGTTACGATCTGAGATAGGACACATATACTCGACCAGCTAAATCTGCCAAATATGTCTTCAATTGAAAGAAGATGCACGTTTCAAGAGAATCGTGAGATTACATTTACAGTTGATGTGTGGTCTAAGCCGGGTAACAAGCATTCAGGGTCACACACTGTCACTCGCACAAGAATTTATGCTTGCTTTTTTGTAATAATCCGTTGAAAATGGTCTTAACATATTCAAATGCCCATTACCTTGGCATTATTCTACAGGAGCCTCTATTCTATAAACAAAACAAGAAGTCATTAGCGCCTGCGACAGTCAGTGAAAGAAGAGTATTATATTAGAGCCTCCGGCTCACTAGTTGGTCGCAAGAAACATGTCACTGGGAGGGCTGGTGTAACGCCACTTGATGATACGCGGAGCTAGAGTCGAATTTTCGTTGTAATCATGCACACAGCCGGAAGAATATACGGGTCTATTCACCTTCGCACTGCATTGAAGCGTTGCCAAATACCCGAGGCTCCCGTGCCCAATGTGGCTCGCCTCACCAGAGGCAGATATACTTATTGCTAGGCACATGTTTGTGCGTAGAGGTAGACGGAAAGTCACCTCCTATCGAGACTGATGTGACGAGGCACCGGGCAGCCTTCTCAACCTAAGTCGGCTCGAGGCATCCGAGCAATAAGAGCACAGGAGAAAAGCACATTATGTTCAAGTAGTATTATTATTGTAATGTCGAAGTTTGTATCTATGATTTGCTAGATTGTTAGTATGGACAAGCATCCATTGCTGTCGTACAAAGGTCTTCATTCAGTAATCGATATTCACAAAGCTGGCCAGTACTAGATGCTGTTCTGTGTTTGTCTAGTTTTACTCGGAGTTTTATTGCTGACTTCGTTGCACTGAATGGCATCCCTAACTGACGATATATCATAATTTAGCTGGAAGGCCTAGAGATCAGGATATAAAATTGAATGATTTGAATCAAACATGAAGTCGAGCTGGCGTTTTCTTGTCTGAATTGTGGAGTAAGTTGATGAATTATGGTTGCTAGATTATGAATCTTTTTTTTTCGATATGTACGTAGTATATAATGTGTAGTGTGCATCTAGTTACGATTTCTTTTCTAGTAAAGATACCCTGCTGAGTTTGAGGCCTAGTGAAATTACATATTTGCTTCGTTAATCCCAGAGACACAATTGATATTATTCGCCATCCCGCTATATGAACACTATTCCATTAACATTTGCACTCGTCATCGCCCTCTCTCCGTCTGTTTCAGTCCCAGTAACGTAAAAAAAAAAAATGATATATGCTCGCCATTATAGTCCGAACGACCCCTAGCAAATGCTATATCGAAACTTACGAAGAAAAAAAGTCATTATAGTTAGAAATGAGAAATTTGAGGACCTGTTGGAAAAGGTGGCAAAAAAAAGGTAGGGAAAATTTAGAGGAAGCCATAGAAATAAGAGAAACGGGCCAGCTGTAAGAAGGCGTAAGAAGAAAAGAAAATATGAAGAAGATTAGTAAAACAATTGAAACAAGCTCAAATCAAACGAGCAAGTAAGAATATGAAGAAATTAGAGATAATTTGAAACTTAGTTATAGTGAGAAACAACGGATAAAAGTAAATGAAAACGATAACCTTTTTAATCATAGGAACACAAAAAAACTCCAACCATCAAGGGCAGGGGATAAAGCTCGTTGAAGAGTGAAGGATAAGCAAAAGATTGCTTAAGCTCTTTTCTTTCTTCCTCCAGCTCCATCCATCCGACCAGCCAACTCGTTCATCCCAACAGCGAATTCTCCGTGTAGATTGCGTCTTGATGGACGCATCAAGTTTGACGTGTGGAGCTCCTTTTTCCACTTCACGGAGAGTTCGTTCAATGGCCCGGCACACTCATCTGGGGCGAAATGCACTGTCATGCCTTGGAACATAGACGTCTCCTTAAAGTACCTCCTTGCCCTCAAGGCCATCGTGATGCTTGTGAACCTGATAATCGTCATCCTCTTATGTTCAGGTCCACCAGGTCCAACCACGGCCGTAGTATCGGTGAAAGATTCGATCTCGACCTTGTGTGGATGGATAGCTCTTTGCAAACGTTGGATGATACCCTCGATACTCAAAATCTCGGGGATCCCAAAAGCAACAACGCATCTGGTTGCGTTTTCGTTATCCACAGCCTTTCGGACCGAGTCGGAGAGCCTGTCGTAGCCGCAGCATTCAGGGCCGATGAATGCAGTGAAAGAAGGAAAAGAATTGTGATGGTCCTTGGGGTTCCACCAAATGCCCCCAACACCATTGGTAAACTGCTTGTAGGTTTTAGCAGCTTCAGTCGTAATGAAGAATACTGCGGCGTCAAGCTTATCGTCTACAGCGAGGAGGGCGAAGCGTTCGATGGCACCACCTCGAATATTGGCACAGAGCTGACTTCGAGTGATGTTGGCCGGCAAACCTCGAATGTAGACTCCACGAGTAGAGGTGAGGAGGACTGGAGCGGCATTGGAGGTTGATCTGTTTCTTGATGCGTTTGGGGATGAGCCCATTGGGTTGGCGGGATGGTATTGTTCAGGACTAGTTCTCACCACCCCTTGCTGTTGGAAAAGTGGAGGATAGTAACCCGACGTCCAGTTGGGGTTTGCGGAGACGCGCGGCTCAATCTGGAAGTTTTGATCGTGAGGTCCCATCATCGACATTGATGGGATACCTCGCATCGGTACAGGAACATCTGAGGTTACTGCAGGCCGGTTGCTCAAACCACTCCTAGAATGTTTTGGAGCTTGTGGATTGAAATGGCTCTCAGGGTAAGGCTCCATGGGAGCTGCCTGAGTAGGCTTTGCACGCCATATAACTGGGTCGATATCAGCGATATGTACTGAGCCTGCGGTGCTATTTCCACCATCTCTGCCGAGTTGCGGAGTAGAAAGATTTTCTTGAGTTGTCGTAGGATTGGTGGTGGTTGCCTGGAATGGTACACCTGGGACAAACGCTGGTGGGGGTTTCCAAGCTTGGGCACTACCCCGCACTTCACTGGACTTCTTGGGTGACACACGGGAAGGCTTTTGCAGTAGCGGATTTACGAGAGGCTGCATTCTAAACGATCTGACGGGCGCGGCATGCTTCGCTTGGGTTTCGACCTTGACTGGTGCACGTGTGGGATCTTTTGGATTCATATGCTCGAACAATTGATCAGGCAACATGTCAGACCTTGCTAGAGTTGGTGCGTCTTCAATTTTCATCCATGTTAATAGTTGCACAGAGTGCTAATTTGGAGACTAATAGGGGACTCACTTAGAATAGCATTGTTTCTGATTCTAAAATCTGGCCACTTCTCATCTTGCGCTGGTAGAGGCGGAGCCTTGTAAAAATTGACCCAGAGCTTGGACTCAAAAGGATGAAAGAAAATATCATGGTTCAATGGAACCGAAATATCTGGAGACACACGGGGTGTTTCATTCTGCTCCAGCGGGTGAGTATGCATCTCCTTCATAATCTCCTGCAGCAATATATCCCCGGATGACCCGCGTGCAAAAATTTCCGCGGGTTTGGAGGGAGGAGAATTCGAACGTTTTAGAATCGTTCTGATAGGTGCTTTAGCTACGTCTTTGTTAGGAGTATATGAACCCTGTGCGGAAGTGCTTGTTTCAGTCGGCTGAAGATATTTCTGAACAGCACTAGCACCAGCTGGAACGAAGACGATGCCTGGATGTCTACCTGATGGGGTAGGGGTAACTCCTGGGGCAGTGTACGCTGAACGATTATTGGAGATCCTACGACGTGGAATCGTGTACTTGTTTCCTTTTGCCATTTGTGTCATTTCTGAGATGGGCCAGAAATAGAATGGATTGAAACGAAATATTGATGAAGGAAAGACGGGTGAGAATGAGGTAGATGATGCGAACGAATCTGTGGGATGAAAAATATGGGGGGAAGAGTGTAGTGAACGAAATCAAGAGGGAAGAATGGATGTTCCTTCGGCGTGGGCCCATGACTGCCTGGGCTTAATGCAGATCTCTGACGGTATGGGCTTAGGGCAGCCCCCTCACCCAAACACGTACTAGCACCCCATTTTACTCATGAAATCGAGATTAAATGGCCTGTATATGGTTAATAATAGTAGGAATTGCTTCGACTCACACAAATTGTTCGTTGTTGATCGTCGTCATGATATATCACTCGCTGATTCTTGCTGGCGTGTTGGTTTCCTACGATGTCTTTGATCGCATCCTTCAACTTCTTCGGCGTTTTTATGAGTTGAGGTAGTCTGTCTATCCTTCGAGAGAATCTTATAGGATAAAAGGAATAGATTTATCCTGTCCTTGTATGTATGCATCCACCTCCTAGGATGTCTCTTCACGGGATAATGCATGTAACCACCATAATTTAAGGTTATGGGTAGATTTTCAATTAGGTTAGAGGAGGATTTTCGGCAGGGTATATATACATACATGTATAGGTGCCATAGATGCTGCATGAGGCTTAAGTTGACCTATGTAGCGGAATCAATTCTAATTATTATTATATGTCACACTGTCAGTTCATGTTTTCCATAGATCAAATATTGTAATGTCAGTAAATACATGTATGAAGTCGATGAAATCAACTTAGAATCACATTCTAAAAAATGTACCTAAGTGCACAGCCCTCTTAGTTATTGCTCTATGTCCGAATAAATGCACTCATTGGAAAATATCCACTGTGTGATGAGCTCTGTTACTCTCAAATCAATAAATATCGTGTGTAAATCAGCATGTAAACTACTAAGCAGGATTTAGTGAATCTTAGCCACTCTTGGGTATATTTGTTATATCGGATTTGAGAAAACCCACACCAAAAACACCCAACTGACACGGCCTGAGGTGTGCTAGCGGTGGTTGAAATTAGCGCCACGACGCCACGCGTACACGTACATACATACATATATGTACATTTATGACCCCTCCCTGCAGACAGTCTAATTCCTCCCGTCTCTTAGTTTCCTCTCCGTAAATCATCATCTTTCCGTACTACTTTTCCTTTGTTACACCCTGTTACACACATATACTCTCTCCAAGCTAGCTGCTAGCCCCCTTTCAAGCTCCTTGTACCACAGGATAGTCCGATCCCGGGAGAACCTCTAGTTCTTGTCGGAAGCGGTATGGACAAAACCAATATTCGGGCGAAAATCGGCGAAGGTTCCGGTTGTACGATTGTTCCGTCTAAAGCTTTGGGAGATAATGTCGCCGCGGCCGAGAAGCAGGTTCTTTTCGCTGGAGTCGAAGTTTTTGTTCCACAGGTTACAGTTTTGGATGAATATGCTCTTCGGACGGAAGATCTCAAGCCACCGGAGCAAGTATACGGTAGCGACAATGCTAAAAATGGGTCTGATAAGCCTAGTTCTTGTAAAAACATTTCTGGAGCCGGAGGAGCTTTCGAAACACCAGCGCGCACTCACATGAAAAACAATAATTCTGCTTCACGGTCTGGGCGTCCAGAGATAGATACTTATCTTGCAGAAGAAGGAAGTAAAGAAGAACAAGTTGGCGGCGGTGATCTGGGTAAACTAAGGTTTGACAACTCGATTTCTGATCAGAACCAAGACGGTATTTGCACGTATTCAGGACCTCGTATTCCAAGGACCCAAAGCACAACGTTTTTACAGAATTCAGAACTTCAACCCAAACTAAACACATGGCCATTTGGTACCAAAAATTCTAATTTTGCTAAAACAGTTTTTGAAGCTAAACAACTTACGGCAGACACCCACACTGAAATTGTTAATTCAAATACACAGATTCAAATTCCAGCGCTCTCAGAGGATCCAAACATCCAAGAGAAACGAAGGAGGCCAGTAAATGAATATGGCAGTAGCAGTGGTGCTAAAAATCATTCCAGAAAGTCTAATACGGTCGAAAATGTTCTTGGAGCCAAACGAACTATAACAGACACCCAGAACGACATCGAAGATTCGACTAGACCAACTCAAGCTTCAACGATCTCAGACAACTTGAAAATCCAGGAGAAAGAAAGCAGTTCTCTCGGCGCGTCCTACATTAATAGCGATGGTAGACTCAATTCTAGCGCGTATAGTTCTAGCAAAAACATTCTTAATCTCGATTCTAGAAAGCCTGGTCCTATTAAGCCTATTTTTGGAGCCCAAAATAGTTTCGAGATTATGGAAGACACTCGCTTTTATATCGAGGATTTTCATACACGGTCTCAAATATCAACATTCTCGGAAGGGTCAAAGTTTCCGGAGAAAGAAAACAAACCATTTCGTGAAACCCAGGGTAATAGCAGTCTTAGGCATGATTTAAATAAGTCTAGTCATGTTAGAAACGTTCTTCAGGCCAAAGATGAATTCGAAATTACAGCAGACACTTACAGTTGCATCGATGATTCAAATGCTCCGACTCAAGACGCAACACTTTTTAATGAAGTCAATATTCAAGACAGAAGAATTACACCTGCTGATCACATCTATGGAAAGAGCACTATTGGACACGGTTTTGTTAAGTCTAGCTCAGAGAAAATCATTCTAGAGGACAACGAAGAAATCAATGCAGCCACCTGTACAATTGCCAACACTCCAAGTACTCCACAAGCTCAAAATCCTTCTTTCTCTGAGAAACCGAATGTCGAACCGAGAGAAAACCAGCTGCTCGATGAAACATCCAGTATTAGCTCCCTTGAGAGAATTTCCGCGAGAGTCGATATAACAACCTCACAGGCTGACGAAGATCCGACCAACCTGGAATTTCAACCAAAGACTATTAGGCATAAAGAAATTTACAGCAATCATATATTTGTCAATTCTGGCTCCGAAGAAAATATCTCAGCAAGCGAATCCATTTCAACTCCTAGGATTTCCTTGCCGAAGGTCGATATCTCAATCTCACGAATTTACAAAAGTCAACTGTTTTCTCCACAATTAGGATTTCGACCACAAGCACTTAGTACTCTTGAAGAAATCTACGGCAATAATGAAAGCTCTTTTAATAGCGTCGGCCATACTTACTCAAAACTCCACGCGACCTCACAAATTCACAATTCGGGGTTCCCAAGTCTAGGTATAATTAGGAGTGGAGCTGTAGAGTCCAAATCTGGGAACAATGGTGCAAAGGCCAGAACTGCGACTTTCGACTTTTACACTGATATAAAGAATATGAATTCAACTTCTCAACACGCCAGATCCCTCGCCCAATCCCACATCGAAGGTGGGGAGTTCCTGACCATCTGTGAATCCCACGGCAGAGACCAGCCCGGGTCTCGAGTGGAGAGCCCAGATCCGTTAAACGACCTCAACAAAGAGCTCGAGCTATACGCTGAGCTCTCCCAGCACCAATCTGCCGCGAGTGTCTCCGCAGCATCCTCAAAAATATCTGCAAACCCCGTTTACCACAGGTTTGACGTTGCGACATCCAGGCCACTCACTTTGACGATCCAACAGCAGCTTGCCATCCAGCCAAAGATGATTGAACTTTTAGAAGGAGTCTTCGGCAAAGTGAGTGCAGAGCTCCTTATCGCCAACAACGCCCCCAACGTGGCCAGGCTGATTGCCAGCGTCGACCCCGTATGGCTATTATTGACGTCAGTGGACCGGCGGCCATTGAGGGTCTGCGACTTTCCAATGGCGGCATGGGATCAACTTGTTCACCGAACAATTTTGAACGTTCAGGAGCTCAACAATGAGCAGGGCATTGCCCTCAATCTCACTCCTACCGTCAACGGATTAGAGGAATCTGTGCTGGTCAATGATCGGTTCAGCAGCTGCAAAGCTGTGTGGAGCCGTTCGAACCAGCACTTTCCTCCACCAGAACAGGGCGGTTGCAGGAACAACAGAGAGCGACGTTACCGATCGAACGACTCTCTCTGGGGTGCTCCTTATGAGTCAGAGATCTCTTCGATCTCCGATAGTTCCTCAACCGTCTCTTCCAACCTCGACATCTCCGCTATCCCCACCACTGTCCCTACCACCCTGTCAGCATCAGCCACACCATTCATTCCGCGCCAGGCTTCGGTCCAGTCTTCGGCCCAGTCGACCAAGAAGACCCGGTCTAGGAAGCCCGCCGAGCCCCATGGTCGAGGCATTCTTATCAAGAACCTCCCTCCGGACCTCACTCTTGCAGAGCTTGGCACGCATCTGGGTGGGGGACCACTCGAGCGCATCGACTTCCACGATGGCGAGTCCCGAACAGTAGTCGGGATCTACTTCATCTCCCGGGATGATGCAGCCCGTTACCGGGACGCCGTCAACCAGAACCGTGGAATCTGTTGGGGAGGTGGAGTCGTTCCTGGACGCTCCATCCACATCCCGCGGAGCTTCGTGGAGGTCATCCCGTCACGGAAGGGAGGCCACGAGCCGATCAAGCCAAACGTGGTGATGGCGATGGAGTCCGAGGGGGCCACGAGATGCATCGAAATCACTGGGCTCCCCTCTTGGATCAATAAGGAGAAGCTGCTGGCCATGATCAGCAGGCAGAGCAAGGCTATCATGCCTGCTGTCGAGTACTGCGTGGTCGGCAGGGACCCGATGATGAGGCACCTTGGCCTCAAGGCGGCAGTCATTCGGATGGCCTCACTGGGGACTGCTCTAGGAGCCAGACTCTGCCTCCGCGACAGAAAGGGCTTCAACCACATCGGCTTCAGGTTCCTCCCGGATCCGTGCCAGTTCGTGGATCTGGGGCTCCTGATAGCGAAGTGGGATGACGCCGACGAGCTGGACAGCAAGCACAGGCTCCTAGACAGCCGGGCTGAGATGGTCCGTCGGCGTGTGCATGCGCAGGCGGGAAGGAGGAGTGGCTACCACTGGTATTAAGAGGAGGAAGGAGGGAAAGGGTAGGGGAAGCTTGGTAGAGGCTGTCCTCTATATATTTGAGTAAATTTTAAATCCTTTAAACGGGTCTGTGGTCTTGGAGTTTGTTTTCTATCGTAGATGCACTTTGTGTATGGTGATTCATGATGGTGGTGATGAAATAATTGTACTGAGTGATGCTTGTGATGATCAATATCTCTTGGGGCGCATCAGGCCCGCAAGCGCTGTTGGAAGGTGCAGTAGTGGAAAGGAAGGGGGGCTCTCTGGATCTCATGTATATTAGACCACGGGCTCGCCCACTCCGTAAAACAAAAATCAATCATTGTATCATTGAAACTAAACGAAAATACGACGGGATGAATTTTAATATTTGTTGTACCGAGTGTTCGTCTATTACCAATAGTCTCTCGTACGAAAAAGGTTAGTGGATATTTGTCGAGTGATATTTCATGATTGTGCCTAATAACCAAAAAAAAAAAAAAAAAAAAAAAAAAAAGAAACAGCCACCATGTACTCTACATGTATCTACCCAGTAGCCGTGCGTGTATATGAAATATCATGCCTGGCTTAAGTCGGTTAATTTGTACACAACAAAAACAAGACTACCAGTATCCCCCTCCACCAGCACATGTAATTGATGAAATGACTGCTCGGAAAGATCAATCAATCCTTCTTCGCAACGTCGGAGGTTCTGTAAAATACATCTTAACTCTATGTATGTGTCTCTTATGCTTCCCTCTATCTTCAAACCCTAACAATGACCATAGAAAGAAGATAGCTGCCAAAGCAGATAAGCAAATGTATTCCAGCTATAAACCGCAAGATAGCTCGAGCTAGCTGGGTCCTCCTCTGACATACACTGAGACATGACCTGCTAGATAGCTCTCCAGATAAAACGAAAAATGGGCAGATAAAAGAAAGCTAAAGTTAAAGGAAACGAATAACCAGCACCTTGTGGTGCTAAACGTAGCATCCACAATGAAGCCCCATGCTTCCAGCAGCACAGGTCAAACAACAAGTCCCGCTCTCCTCAAGGCCTCCCGATTCTCGTTTTCACCCGGAGCGTTTCCCGAAGGGTTTGCAAGGCTCCAATTTGGTCTGCCGGATAGCCTGTCGGGCCCACTGAATAGATGGCAATCGTTCTCCGGGTGCTTCGGCTATCCGTGCGGGTCCGTTAGCATCACACGGCTAGTTTAATTGATTTCTTGCTGGGAACGACGGATGAAGGAAGCAAACATACATGTCTAACATACTGGCAGCAGAACCACAATTTGACGTTCCGCCACTGCTTGCTGAGCTTTTTATGGAAGGCTCCCCAGTTCTTGCATTTGACGTAGTACCAGTAGCTTACACACAAGATACAGCTGATGACGAATAACGTGCCGAAAATAATGACGAAGGCTACACCGCTGGAGACCATCCAGGGGAGTTTTGCGAGCTTGGGGTCCTGGTAGGTGGGGGGTAGTGGGGCCATCAGACTTTTTGTATGGTTCTAGGGGGTGTTAGTGGGTATATTTTAGGTGGTGGTGAAGTAGGAGGGTGAAGAAGGGATGAATATGTTCGCGTTGGAAAAGACATAATTGGGTCTTTAGTACCTGGTGGACGAAAGTGTTTAAAAACGGAGTCTGAAGACTACAGAGATTCTTTGACAGCAGTAAGGTGTCCAAGCTCCAACAGAGAAATAGTATAACGAGCAGCTTTCACAAAGAACGTCGAGAGAAGGTTCAGGATGGAGAAGACAATAAAATGAGAGAATGCTTAGGATGATGAAGATCAGAAAGCAGGAGAATGATTTGAGAGTGAACGTGAAAGTAGCGAAAAGGTAAGGTGTTGAAATGACAACATAAATCGTTATGACGCCAACTTTAATTAGTGTGAACTTACTTACAATGGACTGCACACCAGCCCAGGCGCTTGAGTGCGATTATATTAAAACCACACACTCGTTTAAATTCTTTCAATCCCTTGTTACCCTAAGAATTCTAGTTAGGAGGCGTCAGGAAAGTAACATATCAAACTTGATATACGTGAGTTTTTGATATTCATGGGACAATCAAAAAAATCCGATATAAATCTAATATGTACTACGATACAGTCATTTCGCGCTCGGTTGAACCCTGACCCTGACCTTGACCTCTGCGTGGCAACAGGCTCACCCACCCAAAATATATGCCACCCCCAATGCACCCCCCAAACGGTATATCAAACTCAACAGTGGAGACTGGATAAAAACTAGGTGGTATTGAGATATCACCAACGGGGTATGGGGATGTACCACCAAACCACCCAACTAACTGGGCAGCATCGTCAACGGGGTATGGGTAATTAATCTAGATGTCTCTTCACTGGCGGGGAGAAAGAGAGGGGGGGGGGGGGGGATCTTGAGCTGGACATGCGCAACTACGGGCAATAGAGACACAATTAAGTCCTTATGAGTAAAACTCGCGCTCGCGAGTCCCCTCCACTGCTAGTCTACATGTATCATAAAAGCACTCTCACGAATATCTCCCTACCAAGACCGCAGTAGGGTAGACGCCTCCTGTTCACCGCCACGGTACCGGAGTTACTATACCTTCAAGCCACTCTCCCAGACAGCTGTACAGACAGTACATGTAGCAACCCTTCTAGTACCTTAGACTCTTTCGATTGGCTCTGCCTTCTTAACGGCTTTCACAGGTTCTGTTGCTGGTCAAAGGAGCTTGAGGCCGGCCTCGACATCATGAACAAAGCCTAGATTTGTTATTTCCCTTGCTGAACGTTGAATCTATCTCCCTCACCTGTAATTGTACATCTTTAATAATCGACTTAATACTGCCGGGTTATCTGGGAAATTACGGGAGGATTTGGTACATTTAGTGGCTGAATAGTTCGTTCTTCACCTCCGACTGTAGCGCATCAATGACTCGATTGCTTCAAATTCAGATACCACTCTTCAGATTCTCTAGCTTTAAGGTTGATAAATATATTTAAATTTATGGTAGTACAGGAAAGACACATTTGTTCATAGATTATCACTCGATGGTGCTTATCCCGCATTTTGGGCGAAATTTATGGGTTGCGGGCAAGAAATCGATTCGCAGGAAACGGAAACTCGATTGACTATCGATATATCTTACAGACGCTAGTTCCTTAATCTCGAATACTCCTATCTCGTAGTGCATGAGAAGCCCCTGCTACACAGCGTCAACCGCTGTCACTGGCACGCGCACACCCAGCTGGCCGGCGTACACAGAAGCAACACTACCAACCGGTCTGATCTTCACCTACCTTCCATCTCCCCCATGCTACAACCACCCAAGACCACACTCGAGCCTCGAACCTCGAACGTCCCTAACAATCACCCCCCCAAAAAACTCATCTATATCCCCTCTTCTTCGCTCAAAATGCTCGGAAATCACGTTATCATCCTCGTCATCAGCATCATTATCGTCCTCATTATCCTTCTCATCTGGGGATCCATGATCGGTCTCGGTGCCTGTGCGGCCTTAGCCATCATGAGGAAGAGAAACAACGATGATCCGGAGATACAGGCATGCCCACCTGTCACCATTATTGTCGATCCTCCAGCTATCAAAGCTTAGAGGGATTGAAAGTCTGCATATACCTCTCTTGAAGGTCAATAGGAGTTGTCTGGGTGTAAAAGGTTAGAGAATCATCCCTGATCCAAGCGCCGGGACTCGAAGACTAATGGAGACAGTAGGAGGAGATACGTTTGATGGTTTCTCGGGTATAGATGGTTGTTCATCGTACATTGTTCAGGGCTTTGAGCGGCTTGGGATCTTTGTTCATGTCTATATTTGACTCATTCAGAGAGCTGAGTTTCTAATCTCAATATTAATGACTTGATTTCTCTCTTCACAAGATTGAGGATCACTTTCCTCATATCCGGATACCTGTGTACGCGATGGATGGACCTAGTTGAATCAAGTCTGAGTCTCTGTAAAGTCTTTAGTACTTTTCACCGTTGTCTTCAGCTACGCATGAAGGCCCGATGGACCAAACCCATCGATATTTCTCTCAATTCCCTCAGGTCTTCTTAGGGATACTGTGAATTGGTGATAGAGAGTTGGTCGGCGAGGATAGAGACTTGGGTTAAATGGGAAAGCATGAATACCAATCATCTTGATCAAGTTATGTGCCCACGTTCTTCCATTCATGCAAAATAAACTATCCTAGCCCAGCAGCCGTCACACCATCCAATGGCATAAGACAATTCTTGTTGAGAATTTCTACTAATTTCGACTGCTGCTGCTGTTAACGGGACTCTTGTCACGAAATTCTCGACTGCCCAAAAACAAATTTGACCTTAGGAAATAAAGATACTAGCCAGTCAGTTTATTATAGTTAAAAGTACATATTACAATAGTGTAGTATGATTGTAGATGTATGTACGTCGCTCTAGGATATATACATGTATGTGTACATGTAGTAGGATAGGGGTTTGACCTTTTAAAATTCACCGCGTATTACCTTAATGTCCGCAGAAATCGTGTTTAGCGCCTACAACTCCCAGCTATACGTACGCTTCTTTTTCAGTCAGGCGGCGCCAGCATGATTATGACGGAATTAACCACATATTATTTTATAATTTATACTCATATACTTGAAAATAGAATTTATGCTCTTCAATTCCCTTCATTTCTCACAACATATACCTGGCAGTAATCTCGCTTCATTACAATTACATACGACTTCTCTTCCTATGAATTTGCGCACTATAATAGATTTGGTTTTTAACGAGACTCTAAACGTTATCTATTATGTATTTTAGAATGCAATTAGCTTTCCAATCGCATTTATATCAAGCTGATTTCTTTAACAGTTCGTTCTGAGTGTGTTCGTTCGCATGAATCGGTAGATTTGGATATTTGTTTCGTAAGTACATTTGAATCATAATTTACTATGGGAAACGAATACCTTGAGCTAATGTGGCAACGCAAGTATAGGTACCAGAGATACATCTCAAGTTCTCTATATTTTCTTGACATTAGTACATAAGGAATCAGAACAATATCAACTCACTCAGAAAGAGTTTTGTGGTGGAAAGAATTAATAATATTCGGTTTGAAGATTGTTGACAATGTTTTGTTCATTCGAGCGCTGTGGAGAAAGCCATCTTTCGCAAGACCTCCAAGAAAGTATCTCTGGATCGAGGTCGTATCTGACCCGTGGATGTAGAATGTTTTAATTCCATTATTTCTCTAGTAGTCCTTCCAACAAGCTGGGTCCAAGTTAAGCGTCAATGGCCATTAAATCCTCGGCCATACATTCAGATATATCGTACTGGAAAGAACATATGGTTTTGTTGAGATATGAAAGGAGGTGACGTTCTGCCTATCAAGCTTATCTGAAAAAGGTTTTCGAACCTGAGGAGCTGAGCTGTATCGTTTACGACTAGAGGTAGAATACTTTCATTAATTTAGCTACACTAGAGGGGGGTGGTTTCTTTGCGTGGAACATGGTTCCACTTCTGCTCTTTTGTCTGCTCTTCCCATCTTCATCGCCTGGCTGAAGGACGAAAAGAAGGTCCGGACATAATCCCGGTCTAGCAGTATGTTTGCCCTTGAAGCTTGCTGTGATTCACAATCTAGATCGTGAAAGATATGGTGTTGATGATTAAAAGATTGCATTTTAAAATGTTTTGTTGTGAAACTATTTATTTATCTAAGGACGTTGGAGCAAGGTTACATGTATGCGAGGCGACTACATGAACTTGTGGACAGGAAGCAAACGACAGTGCGTACACACGGGATTACTTAAGTAAGGCAGGAAATTCACAGTGGTCCCGGCCGCCCCCTTTGATACTTACTTCACAGCACGCCGATAACAACATGTACCATTCCAATAAAGAAACCCATACAATAGGCGTCTGTCATGTTTGAAGGTTCGATTAGCCGGTTAGTACATGGTGGGCCCGGTGATCTTGGGCGTTCGTCATATCTACATGTAATCTAACTCAAATTTGATTTCAGTATATATGTTTATGGTTCTTAGATGGAAGCGCAAGCAAGACGATAACTATAGCCTGGCGGCTTAGCATGAGGTCACAGGCTCAGCCCTGGGGATGAGAATGGTATCCTTGAGGCTGTGATGGCTACATGTAAGTACATATATGTTAATTTACTCCTTATTGCTTTCCGTCCAGTTGTGATTGGAGTTTTATTCTCTTTACCTCTCCCCCGCGCGCGCCGCCAATTGTGTTATGCCCCGCTAAAGTCCTAGCCCACCCTTCAGACAGACCAGTCCAATAACCACACCACGCGCCCCCACTCTGCCGAGGAGCCAAATCCCTCCTCCATCAGCTTTTCATCCTGTCCTACCAAGCGTACATGTACTGAAGATTCTTTGATCTGGGAAATCTGCCGAGAATGGAAAATACTATCATTAGGGCTGTGCCTTATCCAACCTTGTTTACTGACGTTACCTTCCTAGCCAGTATGATCCTGCCAGAGTAATATGGAGGCTCTGTGGATGTGAGATTTAAGATGAGGCTTTATACTCTGTGATCGGTAGGGGAACAAAAGAACCGCCATCGCGTCAAGAATATTATTAACCAAATGCGCAGAAGTCCCCATAAGATGGACGTTTATGTGTGAACTACCCCGCGAAATACTTCACGCTATCTAATTGATAACGGCTATGGACGTGAACCAAACAAGAACGATTTCCGTGAGTTGGGTAGCCCCCAGTAGCCCAACAGACCCAGCAAGGGCTAGCTACCTTAATCAATATGAAATGTCCGGATCCCCACGACATTGATTGAATCAGGGAAATCCTGTAATTGCGACCTAGGGGTCATTGACACGGTTACCCAAGCTATTCCCCGAAACCAGATGACTGGAATCTATTTTTTGACAGACCCCATCTGATGATACTCAACTTGAGTCTTGAAGATTGATTGAGATAGGTCTCTCGTGTAGCTAAACTCTCCCTCCTAGCTACCGCTCTCCAAACTCATCTTATGTCCCTCCTATCAATATTCCTTTATGAATTACCCCCCTCTCCCAAACCCCTTTAGCACAAGACCTCCTCTATACCGAACCCGGTGCAGCGCCCTCCACGAATAATAGGTACAACCCCGACAACTATTCCCATAGTCGCACCATTTGGCAACGTCCGGTGTTCTTTCATGGATTCCTTGATAGGTCAGTATCCCTGGTATCGTCAGCAACGTTGCAAAGATCAGTATCCATACCAGAAAAAATCTCGCCGATCAATCGTGTGCATTAATACCGGGACCTTGCAGGGGTATTGTGCCTTTACGGGAGCATAGTTACTAGCACAAAATCTACAACAGGTGAGATCCCAAATTATGAGTGTATCATGAACATTTCTTCTGGCAAGCTCTGGCACACGTTCTTTTAGAGATGCGATAGGCCTCGAGTGGTGTGAGGGTGCATGATCAAATGGTGGGTAGTATTGAGGCTAGAGCACTGTTACGACTGCTAGCATCGCTGTATTCTTGGTATCGGTCTTTTGCAAAGATGAAGAGCAGGAATAGGAAAGAGAAAAAATGTACGACCTGATCATTAGACTATCGAGAGGATTTCTAGATTATTCATTAGATATGTATTAAAACGTATCATTACAGACGCCTATTAGAATGTTAATTTTCTCGGGATTGTCTTTGCCTCAAAAATATGTCACACGAAAATTAGATGCTCTACGTTGAAGATCAACCTAAGAAACTCAGAACCAAGGCTACCACAACTCTTCTCTGCTATCGCTTCCGTCCAATTCCACAGATGGATCTTGATGTCTCATTATCCCATGCTCATCCATTTCCAATTTACTACTTTTCTGTCGCCTTGCCTGTCTTCTTTTTCGCACGCATAAATAGATTGTAAATGCAACCCCGGAAGCTATGAAGCATCCGCCTATTGTTGCACCAATAATCGTACCCATTGGAAGCTCTTTCGATTTTATTTCTGGCTTTGCGCACCATTCTGTCCATCCTTTAGGTTTGTATCCAAAACATTCAGCACAACTGTTTTCATACGATATCAGTCGATGACCACCTGGTAAGATGTGTATACGTGTAGTCAAAGTTGAAAAACGACATGTGAACCTACGTTACGGCATTTCTTGAGTATCCACGTGTTGTACACAGACATTCCAACTGTGTAGCCGTAAAGAATGATGTGTCTAGATAAGCACTGATCGGGTTTTGTATCCTCGCCCCGCAGACCACCATCGTATCAAAGCTCTCGACGCATTCCGGGGTTGTTTCGTAGCAGTTCTCCGCATGATACTCGGTATCGTTTGCCCCATAAGTAGCCTCACTCCCGTGTGAAGTGAAAATCAGGGTGAAAATGATCAGGGCGATATTGACGGGCAGTAACGAGAAACTTAGCATGTTTTCTGACTTCTCGATGTGAAAAGCTAAGAGGTGCGACGTAACAGCAATAAGCTTTTTTTTCTCTCTTTGAAAGACGGGCTGGAGGGCCAATGGATGGGTTGAGGGAACCTCTACGATCTAAATAACTCTTTCTCTCCTACCATATTCATCCGAGACCGCCTTAGCCCCTGAAGCTATTAGGGGCAGCATACAGTACCGTTTTCGCTTCGTTTTACATTGGGTGGCTGTTGGCATGCGCAGTCGCCCGGCGGTGAAACATGCGCGCTTCCGTATGGACAGCAACACAATGTTAACGCACAGCAAGGTAGTAGTGGGGCACAATGGTAATGCAATGAGCGCTGAAATGAAACGGAAATTACTAGGTATCATTGATTGGTAGAGGAGATGATGATGAGGGAAATTCGGCCTTGTCTATTTGCTTTCGCCTTGAGAATAGATATCTGGCAATGGGATAGGGATAAGATACATGTAGCATGTGCTAACATACGTACATTTATTGATCTTATAGCCCAGAATGTGTCGCACCCTAACCTCGCATGACTTGCTGATTTGGCAGAGGACCACTACACAGACGAGAACCATAGTGGTCAAAGCAGAGTATCCTTTTGATCTTGTACTAAAAGTAATTAAAGGTCGCGTTCGGGTGGGGTAGCCAAGAGGAAGGTGGCGAGCTGCAGGAGGGATGCAGTAGATGGATCAATTACACTATCCCACGGTTCCAAAGTTGTCGTCACAGCTATTAAGTCTCTGGTTAGTTTTTAATTCCCATACACATAAAGATCTGGTTCCATAATATACCGTCTGTAAGGAGATCTCACGATCGAACCCAAGTGCTTTCAACAACCGTTATTTATCTCCATAGATGTTACAGGACTCCTCTGAAAGAGAACAACACTAATTTTCTGGAGCCTTAGGACCGCTCATGTTATAGTAAACGATAGTGTTTAAGTTTTAATTCTTTATTCACAAAAGTCATCATTGATATATTCTGATAACACCTGGCCCAATCGGGTTAAGCTGTACATCAACCTGAGTGATAGGCTGTGTCTCGGCTATCCTTACTAGTATATTTCGTGTGACACCAGTGAAGACCTCATAAAAGGTCTGCCGCGACAATTGTATCAGGCGTCTTTTTTTTAGGTATCTTTAACTACTTGTAGTTGAATTGCTCATTATTTGAGTGGCTTATATATAGACGGGCCTAGCTATGAAGTAGTAATCAAAGTAAAAAGCAAAAACAGAATTACTTTTCGGCAAATTATTAATTTATCTAGCGTTATTATGTGCTTAGTATCCCGAACGATTCTATATCTGAGGGTTTCTCAATCTTTCACAAAGCTGGAAAAAATGAGTTTACTTAATATGTTTTTGTTTTCGATAGTGCCATCTCATGACGCAGGTTCAATGATACGCTGGATCACCACGTTGTCACTTCTTTAAGAACTACAGTAATGTTTACGTAGTTTCGAAAGTCATCTCCCCTGATGACAGAATGTCATAAATCGAAACCTGCTCCTATAAAAGGGCCACCCCTCTTCTCATCCTTTCCAATATCAATTTCTCAACGTATCTAGCTGCCGCCTTTTATTCACTGTAAAAGCCACACACAACTGTTAACCCCTCGTCCAGTGTCAAAATCTAAAAGGATTTAACAAACGCGGTCACCCAAAAGTCCATGGATCCAGCAATCGAGTGTTAACTGGCCATCGGAGATTCTCGAAGGTACTTACTGTTTTAAATGAGGCTGAGGTAATTGAGTTTACAGTCGCCTCTCGATATAAGGATACGGTCGGACCGAAAATCTGTATTGAATATATTCTTATAAGGCAAATATCACTATAAGAAGTAAGGAGGTACGGGTAAAAAAGTATTTCGCGACCGCTGACTGCTATCCTTATAACGAGAGTATCACCATATATATGCAGTATCACTATCCCCTGGATGTTCGAGACATTTTGCGAAATCTCTCTCATGCATGAATATCATGACGATGCTGCTCTATATAGTGTCAATCATTTCCTGGATAGCGCTAATGCATGAGAGAGATTTCGCAAAATGTCTCGAACATCCAGGGGATAACGAGAGTCGACTGTAACAACTAGGTGTAGCCAGGGCAAGCTAATGCGAGATTAGATCAAGCAGATAAGATAACGATAACCTTCGTTAAACGTCACCTCAACCCCCCAACCTCGACGATCCTTACAGCGGAAGCTAAACGGTTCAAATTAACCAATTCACGCCTCAGGAATTCCGTTTGACGCATACACATACCATGGCATCTCAAGGACGTCTTTCCAACGATGAGGCACGGCGCCCCTCCCCTCTCACTACTCGTCAGACCAGAAGAAACCACTAACACCCTGTGCAGTTCTTCGCGCAACTGACCTCTCTCCTTGCGTCCACTTCCGCCAGTGAGAAGAACTCCGTATACATTACGCAAAAAGTTCTGCTCCCTTTCTCTGAAGACTCAAAAACCCCCGTCGCACCCATAGATCCCGACGCGCCCCTACAGCTCCTCATACGCGCTACCGATGGCCAGGAAAAGGCGAAGAAGGTAAAGTTCTCCACAGTAGTGGAAGCTGGGCAGTTGGAGGCTTTCTATGTACGATATGCGGAGGTGGCGAAGTCGGGAATGACCACCCTGAAGAAGAGGGATAGGAAGGCCAGGAAGTTGAGGGCTAGGAAGAAGGGGAAGGCAGTGGAGGGTACTACGGCGCCGACCGTTCTAGCAGCATAGAGGAGGATGCAATTTACATTATTTGAAAGCGGGTTTGACCAAACTTGACCTATCCGTTCGAAACTAATACGCAACCAATCTGCCCGAGCTGTTAAAGCATGTTCTAAAGGGTGTATATTATATTCTCAAGAATTTATTTAGCCAGTAGGAGGCACCATATAAAGTTGGTAGAGCCCAACTTCAATCGCAGATGATCGTCACGAAGAACTACCTTACCCCACAATCTCTAAAGACTAATTTGCGCATATATATAAATAGCGTCTCCCCCGCGAATTTAGCTCCTCCATACGCCCATTTAGCTAGATTAACATACATAAAGTATATAAGTAGTGAATGATCATATCGGTGTATCTCGCTTTCGGTAAAGGTTTACAGTTCTTCGCCATTTGGGTCGAGCTCGATGCAACATTCATTTCTGATCTGACATAAGAAAAACAAAGAGGGGGAGACTCATTAAAACTATGAATTACCCACTACTTGAGGCTTGGGTTCAGGACGAGAGAGGACTACACAACAAGCAGCCCCTCCGTGGGCATAACCCGGACGACCTCATCACCACCCATTATATACATATATCTACTTAACCTACATGTACACCTAGGTATGAAGTGATCTAGATACGAGGATAGGTGATACCCGGCCGCCGCAACAGGGCGTAAGCTTAGGTTGGGGGTACCAAGATATATGTAAAGGCCAAGCTGCGCTGGTTTAGAGGTACGCCTATGATATCATCTAGCTTGACGATTCATTCATGAGGTAATTAGTACATCTAGTACAAGTGTACATAACGATCGATCTTATATGATGCTCCGATGCACTGCCCGTAAACGCAGTTGGTATGTACTTTACCGTAAGCGAAAGATGGGTAAGATAAGGTGGCTTAATCAGCCTAAGAATCACAGCTAGAGTGAAATTATGTAGTTCTTTTTTCATCTCATTTTGTCAGCCACTAGTACTGAGTTTGGACATGGACTGATGGGCGTTACATTGAATGACCATTGAGATTCGGTCTATGGATCCAGTCCCTATAGATGAGTCAATTGTATAGGTCCCACGATTTGTAGAATTGGTTTCTAGCCTATCATTTCTATTATATATATACCTATTGGATTATATCACATCATTCTCACGAAACGAAACACATCTAGTAGAGTTATAAGGGCCATGGGCTTTTGCTACTAAGACTTTCAGGAGGTGCCGAAATTTAATTCTTGATTTTCTAGCTGTACTAGATTTACGTTACTACGAACCGATTGTTTAAAATGAGCAGTGATTAAACGTTTTTGGTACAAAGAACTCATATCTTAACCAACATATTCATTGTATGTGATAGTCCGGAAACAGAGAAGTCAAGCATCCTTAACTTTTTAAGTAATTAACACAGAACCTTCACCAAGAGTAGATACAATACTATGTGCATGTAGCTTTCAAAATCAATAATTTGGAAATCTGAACGGTTCAACATGAATTATCTGACATCTTGTAGACCATAAGATCATCCAGGCCGCCAAAGATCTTTGTGACAACTTCTTCATAAATCGTCACTCGGTAGGTTATCACGTGATTCTTATTCCCGTTTTAATGTCAACGATAGATGAATAGAAAGAGCAAGCTTACTTGCATGACTAACACTCTGACTTCTGTCGACTCTATTAATTCATGTTCCATAGAAACGAGAATCAACCACAATGGAACCATTCCATGGGTATATACGTATTCGGAGGAATTTGCACCATTCTACGACCTGATAGTGACTTCCAACCCGTTATATAGATTATGTGATGAGAAATTCGGAACGAATTATATATTACCAATGCAGAAAAAAGACAACGAGTAATCTTTCACAAGCATCTTCCTTCCGAATCCTAAATATCAAAAGATACTTACACAGGCCATCCTCGATAACTGACTGAGAACCCCTCATCGTCCAGTATGCCTAGGCCTTTCTTACCTAGTGACAACTTTTCCATTAGCCCTCTTCCATCTCCATCTTCGGATCTTACGGCTACGAGTATGGATTGGTCTGAAGGCGCGCCGGTAATTACAAACCCCGCATCAATGATATCTGAACCCAACGATACACCCACGATCATATCAAGCGAAGCAGCTACCGGAGTTTTGAAAACTCGTTGGAGTAAATCTCACAGCGTCACAAGAATATCAACTCGAACACGTAAACCAGCAAGCAGGAATTCAGGTGAAGTATCTTATACTGAATCCTTATCTACCTTTCCTATCCCATCGGAGTCCTGCACGTCGTCAGTTCCGACAGAAGCCCCATCGACTACTGGAGATCAAGCAACACATGTTCCTGTGCTTACCACCCTCACTTCTATAAAATTTCCTTCTACTTATATCTCCGGCGTTAAGGGCATCACCTTCCCAACCCAAGGCCCGGTATCAGAAGGACTCGTTGGCTTTTCTCAGACGGTATCAGGATTGCCCACTCCCCAACCAACAACGGGAGACACTCTTGAGCCTTCACGGCCAATAGTAGTTGGCCCATGGGCTTCGTGGAACTCTGGCCAGAAGGCTGCCCTTCTACTAGGTTCAATTGGTTTGCCTGCTATTCTCATCGCGTTAGGCTTCGTGCTTTGGCTACGTATGAGTAAACCTCACAGAGGATCAGATAGGGTTGACCATGAAGAGAAGAATGGAAGGGGGAACAATGTCGAGGATTATAGCGACGGTGGTGGTGATGTATACCGAGAGGTAGAAAATGAAGGCGAAAGGTATACGGAGGTAATAGAAGAGATGACCGGCAGCTTGAGAAGGGCTTCAAGTTTTAGCTCCTTATCGAGAAGAGGCCTCGAAAAAGAAATAATTCGGGACTCTGGATTCGCCTACGATCATGAAATCCACGGACATATTTCCAACGCCGCTACCCGGAAGATATCGAACAGCGATCAAGCCTCATCGATTGGAAGATCCCCTTCTCCTTCCACTTCGGACCGAAGGAATAGTACCTCTTCTTCATTGTCCGTGGATGTTCAAGGAAGCATTGATGAAAGAGAGCTAAGATCTTCAAGACAGAGTTTTGAGACCTCCATTGATAAAGTCGAGCAAGGTTTTTCTTCGGGATCCTGTGCGGAGGATTTGACCATCGAAGAGACATCTCACAATTCATATTCTCTCATCACAGGCCTCTCAAGCTTCGACAAGTCATTGCGCTCTGAATCTGCCAATTCAGTAGGAGAAAAACAGTTGGAGACCTCATCAGTGGCACAAACGACACTAATGAGCCCTGCTTTCTCCATCTCCAGCAATTCTCGCAGGCTCATTCGCTCATTTTCATCCTTTGAGACACCTCAGTTCCCGGAACTAGGTGCAGAAACCCCCACGGATATTTCGGTACAGGTACTCCCCGACGATAATGAAAATCGAGCTGGTACAGGTGATGCAGAGATCCACGCACGTGATGAGCTTTCTGGTGCATCCAGATCTTATGGCCGTGGGGTTCCTGTAAGCATAGTGCATAGGCACTCTGCACATGGGGAAACCGTTTGTGCTGTTCCAGCGGAGGAGGGGGAGATGTTTGAGAGTGCTGGCAAGGTAACACAGCTCTCGAGGAGCCTAGCTAGACATAATGAGGGCATGTAGAAAGATAACAGAGTGAAATGCAGCACCTACGTTGAGAAGCTTAGAAGAGGGGAAGATCCAAGGTGAGGTGGAATGTGCTGTGGATTAATCTCATGTGAGAATTGGTGGATACATGAACTCGGGGGTGGTGTATCCAGATAGGGGTCAATCACTACTGGACTTCCATAGAAACGGCTTCAAATATGCACGATGAGTTTAAAAGAAACTTCAAGCTACCCAAAGAATTTCATAGCAAGGAGAAACTGGTCATCTATAGGGGCTTGGTGCAACTATGTATTACTCACAATTACATTAAATTTACTCATGCTACGCTATCCTAAATTCAAGTGTTTTTGTCATCATTGTTTACACAACGTATACGTATGCTTTCATTACTTTGCATGTTCCGTCATTGACACTGATATATACCACCTGGTCAAGAAAAGTACGTTCTTATCTTGATAGCAGCGCTTTGGAAACCTTTTTTTTGTTTTAACTATTACCAACCACTAGAAGTAAAGATTAGAAAATAACTTCCGTCGGTATAATCTTTCTGATCGGGCGAGTTTCGAAAATCTTTAGTAAAATGTGATAACGTTGTATTTAATGATCTGACGATGGTTCTAATTTGACAGTTTTTCAGCAGTATCTTTAGGTGATGAAGTACTCACATGTTTAGCTAGGCCATTTTGATACGCCAGAAATATCGGTCCGCAGGATGATTGTCTTTGGTACCAGAAAAGGCGGGATAAATGAAACTTAAAATAAAAAAAAGATGAAGCCTTTCCATTCGCACTGCTGAGTTCAAGGCACATCCTAAACATCAAACACAGGAAGCCACGCTGTAAATTCAGACTCAGACAGGAGCTTCAGTGAGGTTTTTGCGAATTCCCTTATTTCACCGGTACTCTAGGGTGGGCAAAGCTAACATTCTGCAGGACCTAGGATCAATGACCATCCCAAGTATTCCACGTGCTTTTCTATGCCTCAAATATCCCGCAAACAGCGCCTGATTCATCAAGGAAGCGGGAACTTACCTAATGCTTCTCCTCCCCTTGTTATACAGTCCTATTGCGTTCATCAACCAATCCTCACTACACACCTACGCTGTGAAAAAGTTTTTTTTTTTTTCACTATGTCTGTTGCCGGAAAATGGAAGCCCTGATCGTAAAGTGAGAAATGCATCGAATCGAGCAGGGCAGGAGATGTTGGGAACACGTCGTGACCGAGTTTCTGTTTGTCTTGTCGATTATATTCACAGAAAGGTGGTATAAAGCTGGAGATCCTACACTGGTTGAGATCGTATTTTCCTCCCTCTTAGGCCATTATCCAAAAGAAATTATTTGGCAGTACTTCACCTTATTTCCTTTCATCCTGCTCTCTTCCTTAATAACTTCGGAAGTACTTTCTAGTACCTTAGTGGACTCCCTCTCCAACTTGGGAATTTATCACAAGACTCTCCTGCGTCTCCCCGGTATCCCCAGAACATGCCACTTATGCCTGTACCTACCCGTTTCCCTAGCTCAGTTAACTTTACTACCCTATCCTACAGTGTTTTCCCTCGTGAACTCACTAAGGCTTATGATGCCGACTCAAAGCGTGCAGTCAGTATAAGCCTTGGTATAATCTTTGGAATCCTACTACCTAGCTTGATTGTCAGTATATATTACTGCGTTTGCTACAAAAAAAGACGGTTAGTAAAGACCTGACCCACCCCTAGAGACGAGATTTGTGATAGTTATGTAATACATTATTTGGAGGAAAGAATTTTCTTTTTCAGATGAACTAAGAAATCTTCCAACAGTAACCATAAGAGTCCAAACGACGAAGAAACTTTCTGTACAAGCGTTTGCGGCGATTTGGCCAGGTGTACGGTATCGGAACATGGGAACACCCATGGGAAATGCAGCAGTGATATAGATACCATAGGTGGCCCCAAGAGTCAGATACGAGGTAACCCCGGATATCAAGATACGAGCACGCATACCATGAATACAACCCCAAATGAGAGAACGGGTCGAAGTCAACATCGTCAAGAAATATCAAGTCGACAACGTAATGGCTTCCAGGAAAATCATGGAAGAAGATATCGGCAACGGGCGATAAAGGTCAGAGACCCCAGACTAGGGACTGAACGTAGCGCTAGAAGAGCTCGCAAAAAGGGGAGCAAACCTAGGCGGTCCGAAGCACTGGTCTCGAAGTTAGAAACAAACTCAATTAGCCCAGAACCATATATACCAAGACAACGAACAAACTCACCACCTTTTGATCTCACGGTTCCCTCTCGGTCCACTCAGGAAAACCCACCAGATTCTGATAATCATCAGGTTCCTTTCCAGAGCTACACACGAACTCGGCCACGAAAAAGTTCGAGAACAGGAATCCTGCAATCACAGGCGCCGAGCCAAGATAGTAATTCTGATGTCTCATACCCAGAAAAATCTCACATTCCACCTCTTAAACCAATTGTTTCTAAGCCTCGGCCATTGCGGGAGTTCGGGTCTGAGAACGACATCAAACATGAGGATAGAAGGTTTTATTCGTCTGAGAGATTGGATTCTGGAAAGTTTGCGTCCCCAGGATATTGCATTTCTGATATCAACGCGCCTCCGTGGTCCAGTTCTGCCCGCCTTATAGAACCTATACCTCTTCCACTCAATATCCACCAAAACGTCAGCGCGATCTCATTTGAGGAAACACATGGAATATCTATCGATATTAACAGCGCCATCCATGATAGAGAGGAATTTGTGGCTTCCCGAAGTACTATGGGCGGTGCTAAATCGACAGAGCCCAAGATTGAGCTAAAGCACCCTGGCACGTTGGTTGATTTTGGGCGAAACAGTAGCCTAAGTAGAATTTCCACCATATCCCGTGCTTCTAGAGACATAGATATAGCGCAAGATCCAGTGCCTGTGGGACCAGTAATGAATTCCATAATACGACAATCTACGCCTATACCTATACAAAACCCATCACCGAACTCGCTCACAACCATCCTTAATTCTCTCGAGAGAAGCCCCCAGTGGTCTGATGATATATCATTGAACGCTAGCATAGGAGCAAGTGACCCCGACATCGCTTCAGACTCCCCTGTCAGACATGATTCGGGGGTAATCTCTCCAACACTTCTTCGAAACAACGTTCCCCATGTTTCTATGGTTTCAAGCTCACCTATGAATGCTCGAATCGGCGATCGCTTGAGGGCAGACTCGCAAAGCTCCCCAACAAATCTCAACACAACTTATACTTCAGAAGAAGTCATAAATTATCACTCGTCTTCCAGCTCATCTTCAGAATCTGTTGCCTCAAAGCCCTACTACAGGCCTCTAGGCTCACCTGTAGCTTCAGATACTAGTTCTGTTATCAGCATGGCTGGTTATCTCCTTGGAGCTGGTATCCTAGGTCGTGAATCTAGAGATAAATTTGAGTTCAACGATCTAGATTCTGTATATCGTCCAGTAGCAAGCTCTATCGAATCGGTTGAGGTTGGAAAAATCGGAACTCGTTTTGTCCCTACCTCAATGTCCTCCTCTTCGACATTGGGCTACGATGTTATTTGCGCATCGCCATCTCTTGATGAGATCACAGTCCGCGACAACAATCAAATTACATCCTCAAGACTCCCCAGAAATATAGGCAGTGAGGCTGTTTCCCTTTCTAGAACGCCTATGTTAGTAGGATTAAGAGATACGAACACGGTTGGTATAACATATGGGTCACCTCAAAATTCATCAGGGTCAGCCTCAAACGGCAACTCGCAGGGCCGTCGAGGAAATCACGTCTCCACTTCAGAAGTCACAATCCATTATCATCCAGGAAAATCATCAGCCAGTACTGTTTCTCGGGGGTCCCATGTAAGCGATTCACGTAGCCAAACCTTTATTCCTCCAGTAACGATTACTCAGAATCCCAAAAATATTGCTGCCTCACGGATAGTAAATCCATTGCCTAAAAGGATTGACACTAAGAGTATAAGGCGTCGTGGGGTCAAAACAGAGGAAACGCAAAGAATGAGAGGTTCTGGACATGAGTTCCGGGGTATGCAGAGAGCTGAGCAGGTGCATATAGCAAACTTTCCCATGGGGCAATTAAAGTACAGGGCGACAGTGGAGAGCGTTGTTGATAGTGAAGATGAAACAAATCGTCCGCATTTTATAGAAGATCAGGGGTGATGTATGGGTAGAGGAGATGTGGCGCGTATATATACAAGTATGTGGTTGTTGATTTTCGCATTAAGTTATTACTGTGAATGAAGGCATGTAGGAACCAGATTTTTTATGTTAATGGAAGGGCAATGGAGTAACACAAATACGAAACAAATACTACCAAAGTTACAGTATATAAACGGCAAACAAAACCTGGTGGAGCGTCGACGTCTCCTTACGTCTCTGAGGCGCTCATAAGTCTATAGTTTTTAGGGAAATCTGATTCTAGAAGGCTTATTCAGTTCCATATATGGCCTGGGCTGCATGTAGTTACATCCCATTTGTATACATACATATACATGTATACTTTCAGGAAGATCTTTAATATAATTTGTTCTTGAGGGGATGCCGGTGAATATAGAGTACTCACGTAGTAAAATGGTTTGAGAACTTGGGTATACGGGCTAGAGCTACATGTGCGTACTTTAGACATGAATAGGATTATTAAGAGAGCAGGGAGTGATTTCCAACACTATTGGCTACCTGTAATCTTGCTTACCTACCTCAAACCGAATAAAAATTCGAGCCGAAAAATCTAAACTGATGATCGATGAGGATGTGAATTTACCACTTGTCACGGGTTTCGGCATCCCTACCTCACCCCCCTGTGCTCTACATAGCGACGTCACCACCACAACCACAGCCTCAACACCCCCACTATCACCAACATCTTTAACATCACAGACCTCACCTCATCGCTGCTAGAAATACTCCCTAGGAGCTCAGAGACACTATTCTCAAAAATCCGTGTCTCACTGCTTATCGTTTATCTCTACCTACAACTGTGACTACTCGCTCGCTTCTCCCTTGACAACCCCTTCACTAGCAATGTGGGAGGACAATAACCCCCTCTCCTACGATCGCCGGTCATCTACCTCTTCGTTCCATCGGCCTGGGCTATCTCCAGCAGCTTCAGACGACTCCCATGGTGCTGATCCGCCTGATTTCTTAACCTACCAGGCTCCCTCTGAACACTCCCAGGATGACTTTCCAGCTCGAAACAATCTAGAAGACGACGATGACGATGAGGGTGAAGAAGAGGAGTATAGACAACAGAGAAAGCCCACAGGCTATGGCTCTCGAGTTGAACAAATGTTAATGGAAAATAAGGATGTTGCTATCAAGATTGCCGACGCGGGGAAGAACTCGGAAGGAAGTGGTGGTTACATTGTGTACACAATTAGGACCGGGGTATGTTTTGATAGCTTCCAAAACTCCATCCCTCACCAAGATATAAGTTTCAAAAGAGGCACGATCGACACATGGGTGTGATTGAAATTTTCAAGCTGACCAACACTACAGGACCTGGAAGTTCGTCGTCGCTACTCCGAATTCGAATCTCTTCGCAAGAATCTCGCCCTGCTACATCCCTGTCTTATCGTACCCCCCATACCAGAGAAACATCAAGTCTCCGACTATGTAGCCGCACCCACGAGCGCTAAAGAAAATGTTAACATCATTGATCACCGGAAACGTATGCTGGGGGTCTTTTTGAACCGTTGCGCTAGAATGCGTGAGATTCGGGAAGATAGTGTCTTTCAGAGGTTCTTAGATTCTAATGCCAGCTGGGTATTTACACTCTCCCTAGCCAGAAACTCTGCACTGCTAACTTCAGACAATATATATAGAGCGAGGTATTGAGCTCGCCCCCAATTTCTAATCTACCAAAGCAACATTTAAAAGCTCCGCCTCTCGACCCCTCAAACCCCTCACCAGGGCACGCCTTTCTCCCAATTCCCTCAGCTTCTGCTAGGCTCAAACAGAGCTCTCCTCCCTCAACACCGCATGCCCCCCGTGAAGGTCAACCTTTTTCACGATTCCCGCCACCCAACCACACGCTCTCAGAATCAGAGCTTGATCCTTACTTTACTACCTATGAATCTGCCACCCGAACATACGAATCGCTTTTGACTGGCTCTATTGAGCGTGTCAATCGCCGTATTCTTAAACGATTAAGTGAACTTTCTCTCGACTATAGTGAACTTGGCGCTCGCTACAACGCTTTCTCGCTATCTGAAACCGGCGATCTTGCTGCTTCAATCGAGAAAATTGGACAAGCGGTTGACTCTTCCTACATTGCAACAGAAGAGCTTGCCAGGGTCCTTGGCTCTGGTTTTGCTGAGCCCCTCCGCGAGTCAGCACAGTTTGCTGGTGTAGTTCAAAAGGTTCTCCGTTACAGACTTCTGAAACGTGTCCAAGAAGAAATGACACGAGACTTATTGGCGCAAAAACGCCTACTGCTACAAAGTCTTGAACGCTCTGAAAAGGAAGCAAAAAGAATTGAACAGTATCTCCATGGTGACACTGATGTTTCCAATGGAGAGTCTAGAGGTTCTGGTGGTAGTGTAGATGGTGGGTTTTCCGGTGATGACGTGGAAAGCATTGATTCTGGTGATTTCCCCCCTACGCATTCGGAATCTTCGCCTCCTCCGCAGAGATCTAAATCAACCACCCGACCATCTAGAAATAGCATATCATCTTCCTCTGCAGGTGCATCATCATCGACTTCACACGCTCACAGAAAATCTTCTTCCTATAGTGCTCCGTCTTCCGCTACATCCAGTGGAATTGGTATTATGGGGGGTGGTATAGCTGGTGGAAGTGGATTTCTAGCGAAGGGGTTCGGGAAGCTTAATTATGCGATCCACGGAATTGTTGACGTAGATCCTGAAAGAACCAGGAGGGACAACATCGGGAAAACGCACGAACAGCTAAGTCAACTCGAGGCTGCAAAAGAGGTGGCCGAGGGAGACGTGAAAGATGCCAGTAAAGGCGTATTAAGAGATTTGAGGCGATTCCAGAGAGGAAAGGAAGAGGATTTGAGAGCTATGATGGTAATTACAATCTTTATCATCAATCACCTTTTACCAAGACTAACAACATATCCATTCAGATTGTATACGCTAAATGTCACATTGAGTGGGCCCGTAAGAACCTGGATAGTTGGGAAAATGCTAAGGAAGAGGTGGAAAAGATTGTGGTCAGATAATCAACCCAATCGCTGTACGGGTAAAGGTGGGGGCTCATATTGTTGAAAAACTTCAACTGTTTCCGTAAAAACATCTCCTCAGTTTTATTAAGAGGACTGCACTGTTGTTATTTAAGAAAGAGCACAAATAGTGGGCTTTTTTCAGTTCACCCGAGAATGAAACATGACAATTTTATGAAAAAGAACTCTTGAAAGGTTGACATATTTTAGCTCTATTCTGAATGCCTATTCTCTATCAACCAACAACTACATGTATTTATCTCCTACAATAGCTATTCGTAGTTTTTGCTTGTCACGGTCATGGAGTATCACTCGATAATCTGATTTGTCCTATTTTTTAGTAAGCAGATACTTATGTCAAATAAAGCTGATTATTGTGGAAGCGTTGCTCCTTTTGTTCACCATCAGTTTTGGATATTCAAAGCAATGAAAGATGTCACATCCTTAGGTACTGGTGCCATATGGCAAACCTTGGAAGCCCCTTAGCGAGATACGGTTGACTATTACAGCGAGTTTTTCGGATCCCCACACCCAAAACCAGATCAAATTTATCTCAGTAAAATAATCATCCTCAAAGAAGTGGCTGGCCTCGTTGAGGGTATGTACTTTTGACTGAGTTTAAAGTCACTAGATGTGAGAGCGGGGCCAGGGTGAGACTTGGTATTGATCTTATCCTATAGAAATAGCTAGCTGCATGTATTATACTATTTCTTGAAATCCTTATTCCGAGACTAAAAGCTAACCTTGGATATTCGTCAATCAGAGTGCCACCAAAGTTTCTCTACCAGTGACATTATCCTTGAAATGTGGCTAATTAAACTTAGCAGCAACTCTACTTGGTTTTCTTGAAAGGCCAAGACTAGACATCAAATCGCATCGTCAGTTACAACTTCTTCGAATCAGGTTCTGGTATCAGTTGATCGGGGATTTAAACTATTCCTTACCAGTCTCAACGATGAAACCTTCCTACTCTGAGACTTCAGAAGGGACACCTTTGTCTCTTTCATCTCCTTTCCCTCCTTTCCCTCCTTTGCATTCTTCGCATCCTTCGCATCCTTCTCATCCTTCTTACTCTCTTCTAGATGGAGATAATTTTCTTTTAAATCTGTCAAGACTGAAAACCCCTGGATCCTCCGCCCAATCTGAGTTGACAAATATCCTGGATGGATATCGTAAAACTGGGCTTTCCCTACTCGGTTCGGTGCACAGTTCTCCTTGACGGGGTCTCTCGTAGGAATGAGAATAACGCTGGCGAATGACTCGTCATACCCATCGAAAAAGACACCCACCCTGTCATCTTCTAGACCATCTCTCAAGAGTTGAATGACCTTGTAAGTGGCCCTCATCAAGCTGACGAAATTCGCAGACTTCATAGAAAATACATCACCTCTGATCTGCTTTCGCGGGACTAGAATAGTCATTCCAACGCTGCTGCCATGCGGGTCAAGGAACGCAACATGTTCGTGGTCCTCCCAGATCCGATGGTGCGGGACCTGGCCACAGATGACTCGAGTATAGTAGTTATTTTCATCAGTCTCCCCTTCGAAGCTGAAATCTTTGGGTTCAGCGGCTCCCAGCTTCTTGTGGACCATAGCGGTGAGCCCAGCTGAATATATATCTTCGCCCTTCTTGGAAGTTAGATAAGGTAGGTTGGTGTCACGTTGCATTCGTTCGTAGTGCTTTTCGGTCCAGTTTTCTTCCTTATCATCAAATGGTAGGAGTGAAAGTGTCCCGGTACCATTACAGGCCAGTCCAACGAAGGAGGCATCTAAGGAAGCAGAAAGAGCCAATGACATGCTCCAAATCGAGACCATGGTTTGCATAAATTGGGCATAGTTTAAGTCTGAAAGATTCGAACAGTCTTTCAACGTTGCCACTATTTGTCCCTCGCAGGTTGGGTAACGCGTGAAGCCTGCTTCCAGAAATGCATCACATCTAATGAGGTGATGGGAAGTGACTGGGGTTGAGTTCCCATGGACACGAGTCCAGCTACCAGCAAGGTTAGAACAAGTTGAGACTAGATGAACACGGGCATTCGAACGGATCTCTATTGCTCCGGTCCTATCAACGGCAATAATTGAATGTGGATTGCAATCCTTTTCAAACAGGAAGTCGAAGACTTGATCAACAGCTCCTTTGATGGTTTCGGCTGGGTCTCTCTTGAGCATGCACACTATTCTTCCCGGCTCGTACTCCATGAGATCCTCGTTTGTACCAGCGCTGTTCCAGTTAGTAAAAGAGTTACTCCATTATCAGAAAGTAAAGTCTAAGTAACTTACCAGACAACTGCACAATTATTATCGCACATTATTCCCGCACAAATTTCAGGCATAGTAGTAGGATCTCCAGCTTCTCCGGCAGGCCCACCACTGGAAACAGCCGCTGCCAAATCCCCATGTTTATCCATGGCGACAACACCCACTCCTTCCAAGAAGGTTGGAAGATATGGTGCACGATATAACTCTATCGTGGTAGAATCCAGCCAGTTTCTGTCTGCCTCCACAAAGTAATCGTCCGGCATTCTTCTGCATCTGGACTTGCGACCAAGTTCATTTGCTTGTTCTCCAAATCGAACCCTAAGATCTTTATCCAAAAATGCTCGTGCAACACGAATCGGATTCTTAAACGACTGGATGCCTACAGCAACCCCATGCCTTGTAGGAAGATCCTTTGCCCTCTGAGCTCCTCCTATGATGGCCGCACTACACTATTGAACACACAAAAACATTAATATTAATATCTCTCCAATAACGGTAAAAGATCAAGCAAATCTTCGAAGACCAACCGGAGGGCATTCAGAGTCTATCCTAGTGGCGCCCTTCCCCGCGTTGAAATAACCCATGTTCTCCAGCGTGTAAACCACACTCTCTACAGCATCTAGGGCGGTCATGCCCGCCGCAAGTTCCCACCCAATCTCACGACAAATGTCGTCGATTGCTTCCATGACCGCTTTTTGTTCAGATTCGGGGGCACTCCATGAATCTGCCTGGCCGGCCGAGATGGCAAGGGAGAATACGGGGCATGGAGACTTCTCGGGGGGTTCCTTCCGAAGAGCGTTTTTGATTGCTAGTGCCTGCTTTCTGGCGCGGTACTCGTCGATAGGTCGGGCTTTACTACTCATTTTGTGCTGGTGTTGTGGGAGATTTAGGTGTGGTTAAATGAGCGTTTGGGAATTTGTGGTGTTGTGTACGGGGAGCGGTAGAAAGGAATCTCGGGCAAGTTTCGGAGGGTATCAGCGTGGCTGGGGCGGGACGAGTTGGGGATTGTTGATGGGAGGAAATTACTATGTTACTACGGAAGGTTCCACATCACATTAAAACTATCTCTTAGCATTGTAGTTTGAAGGATATGCAACATTGAGAGAGAGAGGTAAGTCACGGGACTGGTGAATTTACGTCTTTTTTTTTTTTGTCCCCACGCCAGGTTGTAGCATATAAACACAGAAACTCCAACTGCTATTTGTGACCATATATGGGAACAACCTCTCAATTCGCTTCAGCTTCAGCTTCAGCGTATTTGTATTACGAATCCTTTGGTACTGCGTGCTCTCGCCGTCCCAACAAGAGGGTCTGGATGGAAACCCGAAAAGCCTGGGTTGCCAAGGCTCAATCATACTGCATCACTCGCTCTTAAAGTGCAGTGAATGCCAAGACGCTTATCATTTACGTCGAAAAAGAATCTCCGCCAGTAAAAATCTCATACCTAACCCCAGTTCGTAGGCCTAAAAATCCTTGGCCTTTTGGTCTATATTCTGTAGCGTCACATCTTATCACTCGCTCTGGATTTCAATCTTGTGCGGAGACCACATCATACGAGGTTCTAGAAGATACATATACATCCAAAGCGGCTTATACACAACCTTCAACTTCGTGATCAAACCCTTCCCCGCTTCAACCATCGAACATATTCGCTGCCTAATTGAAACCGTTTGGCACGCAGGTACCCATCAAAACGAAGACCCTATAGGCCTATCGAGACCTTATGCTCGGTGGAGAGAGAACTTATAAACATGTAGTATATACATGTAGTTACCCACTCCAATCAGCCTACGTTATGCATACTCCTTTAAGAACCGCTCTAAGTACGTTCAACAATTCGATAGAATAGTACGAAGTACTACATGAGCTATAAAGTGTATTGAGTTTCATGTCATTATGATAACGATCGCTGTCAAAAAGAAATAAACCGCGAGATCCTTGGCGGGGTTTTGGGCTTGGAGGGCAAAAGAAAAGACAACAAAGGTGGAGCTGGTATCATAATTCTTCAGGCGCAGCATAAAGACTAGAGGAAGCATCTGCTGTTGACTTTAATAGTCGAATGTCGAATGGCTGTGTATGCAGAGGAAAGAAAAAGAGGAATTCGGGTGGCAGAGTGACAGAGTGGCGGGTTGAGTGGAGGTTAGTTGGGCCAAGCATGCAGTAAGCCGCCAAAGGACCGCGGATATATGCCTTCTAGATTTTCACCTGGCCCGGCCTAGGCTCGTTCTCAGCTCTCCTATCGATATAAACTTTCACATGTTACAGTGTGTGATAGGTACGAGACCAGGCCCGACCCCATCCCCTGTTGATTTGTCCTACACTCAGAAGCAAGCTACTCGTAGTACGTAGGCACGAGGCTAGATTTCACTACATCTAGCTACTGCGGTATCTTCTATCCTTCCCATAAATAATACAACTCTTCACATCATACAATGCCTCGAGCTCCTCGTTTCTCAAAGCTCGGACCTGCATGTATATGAGTAACTCTATTGCGCTTAAAGGATGGCTATTCGATATACGACGGAGTGCCACTCATGCCAGCTCCAGAGGTTCTCATCGGGCTGGCTTGTATCGTCGTACTCTTGAACCCTGGCATTTCAAGTGGTTTTGCAGGATGGATTGAGGGAAGTAAGAAGAAAGTCCGACGCACACTTACCAATATCAATTGACTTTCTTTCTCTAATCTGGTACTAGTAAATAGTGACAAAAATTCAACATCGACAACATCTCTCCATTCCGAAGTGCAGACACAATAAGTATTTAACTGGACCCATGGCTTGAAGTCATCCTCCCCCCCAAAGAACCAGGGCTGCCAAGCATTTAGTCAGACTCATAGGCTGTCACTCGAGAATGTCATTGGCTTCCTTCCTCCGGTCCGGAAAACGCATCCCACTAGAGTACAATCGGTAGTCAACGGGGAGTGGCGAAACCTTCGGGATACTGCCCAGAGTTCACCTTTGAAACCCAACTTACGCGTCCTTACCGCCAAAACTCTGTAGTTTCAAAGGCACACCCCGATACAGCCCCGACACATTGCTCCTTCGATCCTGCCGTTGGGAAGCTCACCGCTTGAAACCCAAAAACTCCTCTACCTTCTTCACTCTGTTAGTGACCCTGTTGATCCTGTACTGATATCGGTGTCCTCTCCGCGCAGCCAACGTCAGAGTGACTACGCCAAGTGTAGATCACAGTAGTGAACCCTTGGTATGAAGCGAACATAAGCTCCGATCGACGTGGTTCTATTTTCGGTACTTCGGGGAGATGTGGGGAGATCAGATAAGATCCGGGGTAACCACAACACCTCTTTGTTTTGGCGAGGTGATGTGAGTTTGTGGAGTATGACTGTACTGCGCACATTCTGGTATCAGCTCTGCGTGCAGTGAGGCATAAGCAGCGGGAGTGAGTACTACTCTAAAGAGCATTACATCCAGAAGTCGAGCTCCAACAGTTTGGTCGGAACTCCAGCCGCACGCGCGGCTATCCTGGAACCAAGCTTAAGAGCCTCACCAACCAGTTTCTCGGTAAGACGCGTTTGTTCACAGCCAGAAACCTACTGAGACATGTCTCACCTTATTTGGTCCTAGAGCTGCAACCGGGTTCAAACTTTTTTCTTTTCTCTGCGTGGGAGCCGCATGAATTCTCCGCATATTTTGGAAGCTTCTTTTTGAGGGTTTTTCTCCCTTTCTTCTATGCATTTCTGTGCTTTATTTTATCCGGGGAGTTAAGGGTAGAGCGCGCAGCCTGCTCCTTAGTGGTATGATCGTGAGATGTAACCAGGTAGTATTTCAGGCTGAGCATCTCTGCGGTGAGAGCTCTCCGTATTGTATGTCATGTATGTATGTAGGTAGGGACTATATTGTGTTTTGATATACCTATGTAGGTGCTGTTGAGTGTGGGGGGATGTTTGTGGGCATATCGGCCTTCTGCCCTCGGTAAGAAGCCAGGAAACGACCACCGTTAGTTGGTCGATATGTGGGTACATGCATGTAGGACAGCATTTGGTGACTCTTGAGGCTCAATTCCTCAGCTGGTGGTGTACTGGTAAGGGCCTGTGGTGATACGAAATGTCTATCCAACTAAGCTCGCGTGCACTTGTTCTCTGCACATGTACAGTCATTTCAAAAGTTTCATTTGCTCTAGGGATCAATAATATCTAGGGCCTGATTATTCATGACCTCATCTCAGCACTGTCTTGTCTCTTGTCTTCTTCCCCTCGATGGATGAATGGTAGGGAAGGTTCAATTCTCTCGATATTTGTAGGAGATACTAATTCTGATACCTACAAGTAGTTATGCATGATATTACACAGAACCCACTTACATGCTTTGCTCTACGAGTCTACAGATAGGCAGTGAGTGGTGTTACTCGAACAAAAGGACCTCAAGTACTTGGCTGGAATTGGTCGTCTGAATTCCAATTTACCCATGCGACTCGAGTAACCAACTGCAGTAAGTGGATGAGAGGCAGATAGACATGAAGAGGACAGGAATCCACAGCAACCAGCACAGGTAGAAGTGAGGAGCGGCGGGAGAAGAGCTGGTCCAATCCTGCTCTGTCTTGTGTGTTAGTCACTCTGACTTCATTGCGGAGAAGACGGGAAGAGCGTTCGTTCAACTCTTGTATCTATCTATCTATCTATCTCGCAGACGATTTCCTCGTTTCTCTCGGTTTCGTTCATCTTCTCTGAATATACTCAATTCAGTCACTCGCTGGCTGTTTTGTTTTTGTTTTACTATACATACTTCTGATCAATCGTTCAATTCACCACTGTCACCTCATTGTCACTTCAATCTCGCTCTCCCGTGTCTCGCGGGCTTTGGGTTGGAATACTCGCACGCAATAGCCTGGCGCCGAACCTTTCCTACAATAACCCCCCCACACAAGAGTTTCTCCGCAACCGTGCCCATACCACCAGATTCCCCCACCAAACCACCGGTGATCTTCTCCCTCCTCATCGCCACTTTGTTCATCTCAATTGCATCCCACACCCCCTGCGCTCTCTACCTACAGAACTCTACGATACGCTCAGACGAGGCTGGCTGCATTTTCATTTCGATAGCCAGTCAAGTCAAGTCTGAGGCCTACGTTGGGTGCTACGTACCTAGATAGCAGCCAACCCCCATCAACAACTCAACGATCATCCCTCAACCGACAGCCCCAACTTTGTCAATCAGGGAAAATACATAATGCCATCGCCTCCATCAGTCAGCCAACTCCTGGGTATTAACCCTTTCCCTGCAGAAGCCTCGCCGATCACACCCCCCGGCGATTCCCGAGAACCAATGAACCCTTCCCCCCCTCATCCTCCTCTACCCGCATCAGAAATCGAGCTCCTGGCACGACTCGACCAGAAGCGAAGGGAAATTGAGGCGGAAATCGAGGCGTTCAAGGCGGCAAAAGAGGAGGAGTACAGGGAACTGGAGAGGTGGCTGAGAGCAGAGCAGAAACAACTACAGAACACGAATGGTGGGGATGCGACGACACATGTTGCCGCGGCGGCGGCGACAACGACTACAGCAGCGTCCTCTAGTAACGATAAAGGATTCACCCGTGGTGAGGAACAAGTCGGACGCACTTCTGGAACTGTTGGCACTGGCACTGGGAGTCAGATCCCGCTGGACCTCGGCGGTTCAAAGCTCAACGACACGCTGAAGCTCGAGCTCCCTGACAACCGGAAGCAGCCAGGTCTGGACGAAAGCAGCGCTGACAGCAGTGCTACCACCTCCCCGCCATTTGAAAAGGAACTGCAAGCCGCGGGACTCTTCACTCCTAGATACCTCCCACTGCTTGATAACAACTTCTTTCGACAGAGCCCTCCGCAGGAGAGCCCGGCTTCGTTACCACAACCTGTCATGCCGAAGCTTACAACTATCCCAGGTCCGCCGTCGAGGACAGGAAACACATCGCCGGCATACCCCCTCGCTTCGTCGCTCAAGAGTTCTTCTGGCAGTTCCACGGGTACACTCAACAAGTTGAAGCAAAAATCGCCGAAGCGGGTTACGTTCCTGTTCGAGGATGAGAACTCGGTTCCTTCGCGCAGTAGCCCACCACCGTCTACGAAGGTCCACTGGACTTTGGAGGAAGACTATCCGTTTGAGGATGAGGATGGCTTCGTGGAATACGAGGGAGAAGATGTTGAGGAAGTAGACCAGGAAGAATTCGAAGAGACAGCTGGCAAAGTAGAGCAGGTGGAGAACATCACAGAGTATGTAGGCGAGAGGTCTACAGGGGATGAGCTGGTTGTACCCATGACACTCGACAATAGTGCGCCTATCGTCCAAGGCGGAGATGCATTCAGTGGCCTGGGTATCAGAGGTGTATCCGGCGGGCTGGATACGACGAATGGGAACAATTCAACAACGCCAGGATTCGACTCAGAAGATGATGAAGTTAATGGGACCGGTGCGGATGATGATGACGACGAAGAAGCTCTCTTTGATCTGGACGAGACAATACCAGAAGTTGTGGATAACTCCCCGCCACAGCGAGATTACTCGGCACTATTGGACACTGCGCTACCACAAACGAACGATCGCCTTACGGCATCTAAATTCCCTATGCTTCCATCGTTTACACCAACATTCCCTTCAGTCCCTGCGTCCGCTTCAGATCCGATCCTGACTTTCGGAAAATCGCCTGGTCCCCGTCTTGGGCTTCCTAGAGGGGGATCAGGAGGGGCTCGTAGGGGTTCTCTAAGCTCCTCTCTATCACTATCACCGCTTCTTAGCCAGAAGAAAGAAGAAGAGACAATTAGCCCCTCGTTGCCAACTTTTGGATGGAAGGGCGGCATGAGTACTGAACCGTCTAAAAGCGGATTCGTTCCCACACCCGGTGGACGATTCAGAAGAAGAAGCATCGTAAAATACGACCTCCCCGAAGATGATGTCAACTCTCTCAAGGGGAAAGGCAAAGACTCATCACGGACCGCTATTGACGAAGAAGAGGAAGACGAAGACGAAACCCTTCTACTAAGCCGTAGCCCGAACGCAACAAGCCTGCCAATGTCAATAAGCCGTCATAGCCCTGCCGCATTCGTAGCCAAGTCCTCATCTTCAACACGTAGCCCCAAGCTCCCCGTCATCCAGAAAGACCCCCAGAACTCACTTCCAATCGCTGGGTCCCGCTCATCACCAAAGCCCGGTCGATCCCCACTCTCAGGCGCATCACAAGTACACTCTACCCCAATGCGCAAGGTAGACTCCGCAGACCTACTCGCAGCAATGCCGACATCATTCTCAGCGCCAGCGGAGGAAGGCTCGCCGGAGAAGAGCGACTCAGTGGCTAGCTACCGCCGCAGCTCACCATTCCCATCGGCATACGATCGCACGCCGTATCGGACCGCATATGCCGCTGAGGTAGCGGCCGCGGCTGCACTCGAGGACGACGAGGACTATGGCGGCGCGATGAAGAGCGTGGTAGGCGGTGTTGACGGCAGGACGGGGCTGGACCCGGACGTGAGCAGCTTCTCGTACCGGCCGGGCGTGGGGGTAAGGGCCAGGAGGGGCAGTGAGAGCGGTGGTGTCATGGGAATGGAGGCTATGGATCCGGGGCAGATGAGCTTTGGGATGAGGATGGCGTTTGAGAACGTTCATAAGGAGAGGAGCGGTAGATAGGTCTTGGTAGCAGTAGTAGATATGGGCAGTGTGAGGGAGTTGCGGTTCTTGTAGGGTTGTTTCTTTTTTTTTGTCTCTTTCCTTCCTTTCGATTTTCCTATATCTTGAGATCTACCATCGATTATCCATGCCGTCGATATTCATTTCTCCTTCTTGTGCATAAAACTCTCGGACACTTCTTTTTTTTTCCCTCTCTTCTTTTTTTCTTTCTTGGGGGGGGGGGGGCTTGGTGTGAAACATCTTTCTTTTAGCCTTTTGGTTCGTTTATCTCTATGTGTGTTCATTCTGGAAGAACTCATGAGTGTTTGTCGTTGTTATGCATAACTAGGGTTTTGCGGTTGTCTTTTTGGGTTTCCTTTTTCCTCTCTTCTGTTGTGAGCTATCAGAGCTGTGCACTGGGTTTGAAATCATGTGGTTATTCATGGCTTTGTATATGGATGATATGGGGTCTGGCGAGGGGGCCGGAGGCGGTGGTGGGAGGGGGTATGTAGGTGAATTACGGGGCGAATTACTACATAAAATACGGCATTTGCGTCATGGGGTAATTTGCGTGATGCATGTGGGGTGCTTGTGGTGATTATGATGGTGTCGATAGCTCGCTATAGGCGCGTGCTTGTGGTGTGGTGGTAATATTCGGGTCATCAGAACTCACTCGGGTTTGGGACGGTAGGGAGTCTGCTTGTGGCTGGCTGGCTGGCTACATGCAGCTAGCTAGGTTGTGGTGTATGTAGAGACTAGACCTGAATACATGTCCGTCAGGATGCCTTGCTTGTTATCTCAAGCTTCTTCGTGGTTGAAGGATATGCCACAGCACCAGTGGTAGTTGATGCTACCACTGCCAGTTCAAATATCTAAAATGAGTACTATTTGCCTTTCGGGGTGGTTTTCCAAACACCCCACCCCATAACCCAACCGTTTGAGCTTCTACACAAACCCGTTGCTAGGTAATAAGGGTGTATATTATGATCGAGGGGCCTTCTCCGTGAAGGCGTGTCGCGGCTCATCAGTGTTGGATGTAGGACCCAGTGCCGTACAGTATGTAACAGTAACAGTACATGTATCTACATTCTGTGTTTTGCTTTTGTTGTTTGATAAACATGAATCATATGTAGCGAATCCGTAATATATAATCATCTCCCCCAGCTCTACGATTGCCAGTTTATAATGTTTATCTCAAACACGCTTCCAGACCAAATATCCTTGATAGGGCTATTCCATAGAATTAATACTTGAAGCTCCAAGCCCTAAGCCCTGCTTCGTTTACCAGGAGGGAGGTCTTAGATAAGTATGTAGCTGTGCTGACGGTGTCGCCCAATCCAATTAATAAGCGATATCATAATCGCAAACCTACGCTTTGAAATATAGATTTCAATAAGGGCCGGACAAACCTCTACTAAGTGGGGCTTATAAGAACGGGCTTCTACTTTAGTTAGGTGATATCACCACTCCCAGCAGCAGAGTACGGTCTAGAGAGCAGAGCACACGATAAGCAGAAAGTAGCACCTTACCAACCCCTACACAGCTAAGATCAGCAGCGCAGCAAGTAGCCCCACCACACAAACAAACCCGCAAAACGATCATCACCCCACCCCACCACCCACCATGCCGGGCCTCCTCCCACTCTCAGAGTACAGCTCCCTCATCTCCCTCACCACACCCTTCGCCCCACCCCCCGCCCCCACCGGTACCGCAGCCGCCGCAGCCCTCGACTCGGCGCTCTCCCACCTCTGGGGCGACTACCGTCGGCGCAACGGCCAGCGCGCCGCAGCCCACGACATCACCCAGATCGACCTGAGCCAGAAGACAAAGCTCCTCCACCAGCTGCTCACCGTGCGCGAGCCGCACCCGCCGCTGCCCGAGGACGTGCTCGCAGACATCGAGAGCACTCTGCGCTACATCAACCGCAAGAAGGCGCTGACGCCGGTCGCCTCACTGCCCGTGGTGCTGCCCGCGCGGCCGAAGATTGCGCTCTGGCGCGGCGATATCACGGCGCTGGACGGCGTCACAGCGATCGTGAATGCGGCGAATGAGAGGATGCTGGGCTGCTTCACGCCCGGGCATCTGTGTATCGATAATGTCATCCATTATGCGGCGGGCCCGCGGCTGAGGGATGATTGTGCGAAGATCATGGGGATGCAGGGACAGCTGGAGCCGAATGGGAAGGTGAAGGTGACAAGGGGGTACCTGCTGCCGGCGAAGTACGTGCTGCATACGGCGGGGCCGCAGGTGCCGAAGAGGCCGATAGGGGTGCCGAGGGTGTCGGAGGCGGAGAAGAGGGACCTGGAAGGGAGCTATCTGAGCTGTCTGGAAGCTGTGGAGAACCTCCAGGTCGAGGAGGGGCAGAGCAAGTCCGTGGCATTCTGCTGTATAAGTACGGGCGTGTTTGGATATCCTCCGGAGGAAGCGGTGAACGTCGCCGTCGACACAGTGCTGGCGTATCTCGACGAAAACCCGGCCACCAGCATTGACCGTGTCGTTTTCAACGTCTTTACGGCCACTGACCTGAGCCTGTATATCGACAAGCTCAACAGCCTCCTCCCCAAGCCCACAATCACACCGGAGCTCCTCATAACCCCCGCAACTACGTCCGCCTCCCTAGAGCTCGCCGCACAATGGCTCAAGTCCGCGCCCAACCTCCTCATCACCGCCGGCGCCGGTCTTTCTGCCTCCGACGGCCTCGACTACACCTCGCAAGACCTCTTCCGCAAGAACTTCCCGGGCATGTGGGAGCAGGGCTTCACCTGTCTGTACGACTTCATTGGCTACGACGAGTGGGAGTCACCCGCAGCCAAGTGGGGTTACTACTTCTCCAGCACCATCTTCGTGCGGGGCTGGACTCCCCCCTGCGGCGTCGACAACAGCGTGTACACGCAGTTGCGCCGGCTCATTACATCCCTCTATGGCGAAGGCGGTGAGAAGAGCGCAAACCTGTTTGTGCGCACGTCGAACGCCGATGGACTGTTCTTCCGCAATGGCTTCAGCGCGGAGAGGATTGCGACGCCGCAGGGAACGTATGAGCTCCTGCAGTGCATGCGCAAGTGTCGACCCGATGCGTACTGGCCGGTGCAGGAGTTTATTGACAAGGCAATTCCCTATCTGGATACTGTGGCGTGTGCGCTACGACAGGATATCAAGGGGTGGGAGGAGGTCATTCCGAGGTGTAGGCACTGTGCGGGAGAGGTGTTCCTGTGTGTGCGTGGAGGGAGCTTCTTCACGGAGGTGCCATTCGAGGCGTCGAATAGACGGTATACGGAGTTCAAGAGGCGCGCGTTGAAGGAGGGGTTGGTGGTGCTGGAGTTGGGCGCTGGGTTTAATACGCCCGGTGTTATCAGGTGGGAGGATGAGAGGCTGGCGACAGTCGGCGAGGGACGGGTCAAGCTGGTGAGAGTGGGATTGGGCGGAAGTGAGGCAGTTGAGTGGGATCTAGAGGGTGAAGAGAGGGCGGTGGCCATTGAGGGCGATGCAGGAAAGGTTGTCAAGTCGTTGGTGGAGCTTCTGGCGGCCGAGTGATCAGCTATGAAGATAATTGATTCTTGTAGATAATATCAAATAGGTGTTGGATAGGCACATCCATGGAGCTTTGGGATGACTTATGATTTCTTTTGTCTCTTCTGTTCAGTTTGCCTATTTGTACTTTCACTATCATCTCTTTTCGATCAGCATTCAACGCCCCTAGGAATCAGAACTTCAAAGATTGGCTACCTGCATAATAGAGCAGATGTTAGGAAAGATATCGGGTGGTAAATAACTTTGAAGAACCTAGTATTACCTCTCCCATTACACCGTCCGACTACGTTCTTTCTTCCCCCCTTTAGTCCTCTCTTGCACCCTGACCCCCGGGCGTCGTTCAACAACTCTCTATAGTAAATATTTTGTTATCCATCTACTAGGTCAAGAGATAAAGCGAGGGGCTTACGCTAGATAGCCAGTCCTGTGAAATCAGGCTCCAACAAAGGAGATTCGCAAGAGGTATAGCAGAACTTTGTGATGCCGTGATGAAGTAGCATTCACTCATACGCATGACTCCTTGATTTATCCAGACCTTGGAGTGACGGAGTCTTATCCTGACATCTGATATAGTAGCTACTACATTTGGTATATATATTGTGGCTCTGGACTGTACAGCTTTGTAGTAGTATCGATAGTTGACAGAAGGCAAAGGATACTGATTTGATATATGTGTGGTGAATAGGATGGTAAAGAGATGCAGTGGTGGGAGATACATGTATTTCAAAGATTCTGAACGGGCGAGGAAAAGACCACGGTGCACAAATATCGAGGCCAGATTGTATATTGGCACTTTTTCACTACTATCCTCGACGAAGGGGGGCTCGTACCCAGTTTGTGCTTAACAGAGACGTACTTGACCACACCCTTCAAGCATCGTCGATTCAGACATCTTCATCACACCGTGTACTGTTCCCAATCTTCATCTGGTCATCTCCAACCGTTGGAACCGGTGTATCGCCATCAACATCATGATTACATTAGAAGGTTCGGCACTCGCTTACTCCTCGTCAAGCCGAGCTATAAACTGTCAACCCTATGAATCGGCATCAGAAGCTCTGCTATTCCCGAGGCCCAAGACCTTTCCTCTCTTTGACTCAAGGGCGACTAAGATCTGTTCAAAATCATCAAAACGACTTTTCTGGGAAGCAGCTATATATAATCTATTCCTTTCACCGCATTTCAGAGAGCAATATTGTCTTCAGGTAAATAGTACAGGAACAAACCAAAGATTTTGCATTCTTACTAGCTAGCTGACCGCTTTAATTTGTGTGCATAACAACCTTTTTCTCTTATAGATGCATCACCAGGCAGAGCGCTTGCTGCAGCTGACTATACTACATGTATCCAGAAATGTTCCACTACACTAGAGAAGATCCATCGAGTGATGGGCTATGACCGAGGCCTTGGAGGCTCCGTTGTGCTAGTTCCAGCCATCCGCGCTTTCCTCAAGTATCTATTAGTCACCGATGCTACTGGAGAGGTTATTATTCACTCGAATTTCCCTCTTACCGAGCGGCACTGTATTGAGGTGCCATCCATACCTATAGCTTGAATTCGAACTCGAGATAGTTGAGACAACAGATATGGGCGTGTTCGAGCTTAACATTAACTGGGGCTTAGTTTGATCCGATCTTGTCACCTATTGAATCATTCATAAATGAGTGGTTGGACTTGGTCAAAGTCCCTACTTCACCGAGAATCTAAGCTACTTGTATGGGATTCTAATAGTGTTCCCCATGGGACGAACCGGCTCGTGATTTTTGGCTCGAGACAGCGGGCTCAACCATGAGACTAAACCTTACATGAGACAAGTCTTATCGGGGTTCTCTTTAGTCTGTTTCAAACCCGTCAAGATTTGGTAATCGTAGAGAATATATATATATATTGGAGAATATCGTGATACTTGGATCCACCCACAACCCTGAGTTCCCAATTGAACGCAAAATATATGCACGTATACTAATCCTGATAGCATGCTTTTAAGGGTAAGATGGCGGCAGCAAATCTGGGATCAGTTTCATTTCTGTGCTGGATCATACGCTATCACTCAGATAAGAGTGAGCCTAGACTCCAAAATAAGACAAGACTGAACCGCCACAAGACGAGACGAGACGAGTCTATTGGGGAGCGCTAAATGGAGATTAAATTAAGAACCGTATGAGTTTGGGACCGGGACCGCACGAGAAGGCGGGTGGTCTGGGAGGTGGCAATGGCAGGTAGACTGACCCCCACATGAATTAGAATGAAACTCAATTACTTAAACTACCCCTTATTTTGGCACTTACTTCGGCCTAATTGCATGGGGATAACTTACTGCTACTTCCCTGCTTTCTGCCTTGAATTATCGCGATATGGTTTTGGACTCTACACGTCATTGAAATGCGTCACCAATCCTAATTGAAAGCCTTAGCTCGTCTACCGGCACTAAGCGGAACTCCTAGTTTAAAACCTTATCAACGAAGAATACGGCAGGGGGATAGAAGACTAATAAAAACCAAAGATTCTTTGCTATCTTTTCAACGCACGTCAAAGCGTGGAGCGCTATTCAAAGCTTCAGTTTTAGTAAGCGGATGCAGTCCGAACTCGGTAAGTGAATGCCCGAGTGATAGCCTGTGATCCTCACAAAATCCCGAGGATTACACAGACACACGGTAATAACGAAACAGGAGTACATTGTTACAATACGTGTCCGTTACTCGGAGGAGGAGGTGTACGGACCTTTTTCTCTGCATACATGTAATTACTGTAGGGGTATTGTATTACATGTGTGCATTGATCATTCGTCATTCGACATTGATTCGCTATGGCGAGTGTCGAGAATATATATGCGACACCGTGAAGAGAGAGATACCACAGTTCCCACAGACTAAAATATCTATAAACGAGTTATTAGAAGCAAGTGAGTCCCGCTGTTACGCGGTTAACGGGAAGTTTAGATTGGGTGGATCATGATATATCACTCTGTCTGCGTACGCTGTTCTCTAGCCCTCAAGCGAGTGAGACAGGACACGTCATGTAGACAGTTCGTCCTGTTTTTTTCGTGCTATAGAGCTATATGTATGCTAGCTAGATATCCGTGCCTATCGTTTAATCAAGTTTTCGTCACCTCACGATATCGTTCCGCTAGAAGGTTATTAGTTTGGTCCATTTCACCAATTCCTGTGCTGACTTTGGAACACGTGGGCTCATAGTGTCGGTATATCTATTTCAATAACAGGAACATGCTGGTCCTTCGGGCTGATTTATACATAGTCTGACATCCGTGCAGTGTCTCACTCTCATGTCCACTCTTTGCAATTGCACCATATTGACCACGGCCCTCCGTGCTATTGGTCATGTGAAAAGATCCCTGATATTGAGGTCGACCAGAACGACATTCCGTATTATACCGAGAGTATACATCCCCTGTATGAAAGCTTGTTTCTAGGTTGAGGGAACTTTGGAAAAACGAACCTTGGCCTATCCTTGGTGAGACGGCTAACCTTTTGCCGAGGCAGCTGTCATGAACATTCTGGAACACAATCCTAGCACTGTCACTTTAAGAGAAGTTGTCTCGGAACTTCCATGAGCGGGTTTACTTATCTGTGTATCACATTGGGCCGGATTCTCTGTGTTGCTAGGTGACCGTATGGTGCTTCAGGTTGAACATAAGGATATCACATACTGATTTCACATAGAACCAAGTTTCATAACTCGGGTAGACCAGCATTGGCATGGATCTATAACTTATACATGTACCATTAACACTGGACCCGGCCCGGCTCTGCCAGCTACCAGACCTGGACCTCCGGCATATTTCGTCTTGACACGCTTCCTGTACGTACGCACTGCGAAGAAGCTTTTTACTAACTATGCCAAGAGCCGGGAGCTCTAGGCCAAGGTTCTTCACTACGCCAGTTGCAGCAGATATATTGCCATTTTCTTAACCACCGACACTCCGCACTCGTCTCATCCGGGATAAAACTCAAACCCAATACAGTGTCACCGTCTCCCAGACATCATCCCGGTACCTCCAGGCACCACAACCAGGATTCTCTTCCCGAGCGCGACAACAGGTACTTGCAACCGACAGTCATGCCAGGGTATGAGGAGCCAGGAGGAGGCAAGGAAGAGTTTTGGATATCTTCATGTTGAAGATGCGTAAAGACTCTATAGCACCAAGGTAAGTATGTAGCTGCTCGACCTGCCGGCATGGAGCTAGAGCTATCAATTAGGAGCGCCACCTAAGTGATGGAAAACTTTTTCAGGCACACAGTTAAGCGAAGAATACACAGGGGGAAGAAGGTAGAGTATGTAGCTAAGATCGATAGCCACGCACTCTCGTTCCGGGAGTGCATGGAAATCTCAGATCTGATCTAGTTTTATTCGTTATTCTTGTTTATCCTTCCCGGGGTGCCTGGCATTAGCCTTTGGATATACACCAGCCTGCTCTACTAGCTGGACGACGTTAGAACGGGACGACGGGTATTTGACAGTGCGGAGAGATTGTGAGGAGCCAGAGAGGAGGAGGAGGTGAGGAGGTGAGGCGATATGGAGAATGGAGAAGAGGGATTTTCACCACGATAAACAACGCAGCGGGACGTTTCCCAGTGTCCGCTGCTAGCAATGTACGATCTAGCAACGTTGGAAGATCGTGGAGCGACGACGTTCCTGCGCCTGAACCGCGTACTGGGGGGGTGGAGGGTGGTGGCTATTTTAGCATAGGGCTGCAGTGACGGTGCGGGTAAATTTTGAAAAGCCACCGAGTGATTGCTTGTGATGCACAGTAGTGATGAGTAACCAAACCCGCCAGACAGGATCACTCACAACATTTCCAAGATGTGAAAGATGAAGAGGAGGATGGGAGGATGGAGATGAAGATGGAGAATAGCCTGGTAGAGTTAGTCAGTGGAGTAGAGGCCTATTGGACAGATGCTCAAGATCGGGATCTGGCTGGGTTGGGCATTTATCCGGTGCTCTGTTCTGTTCGCGATCATTATTGTTCGTGGATCCTCACTCTAGCTAGCTGGATACGTCTCTCAATATGCTCAGGTACATACATCATGTACATACATATTGTTTTATCCGGGCATCGGCGTGTTTTGTGAGCAACAGCTTGAGCACAGTAATGTTTCAGGTGGCCCGAACTAGCTTGATATATAGCGATTGTTTCGATCTGTGCGGGGAATGGAAGCTGTTGCAGCTACCTACCGACATGTCTAGCTAGAATTCAGAGGAAACAAAAAGTCTGGAGAGAAAGTGTTTATGCTGGCTGTATGTACTCTACTGGCAACAATTTTTTGGCCTGTCTGCATAATAAATGTTTCTACCTACATATTGTCACGATTCCGCCAGGATGTTCCCCGCTCCCCCTCGTCCCGGGCCCCGGCGGCCATAGGCGGGTGCTACATGTAGTCAAGTTACGACCTAGCCTAGTACAAAGCCACCCGGCCCGCCCGGCGGCGACATGACAGCGGCCTCGGCCGCCTAGAGTCGCACACACCACACCCACACACCCACACACACAGTTAACAGAGCCTCATGCGTCACCCAACCGCAACCCCACCACCCCACCCGCCACCAGATTCCTGCAAAACCGGGCCGTACCATGGAACCAAACAAACAATTCGCGGGGAGCCAGAAAAGCAAAAAAGAAGAATAAACATCCGGACTGTCTGGCATCACTCTCATCACCTCACCTCACCTCTACTCTCGTTATGCTCGCGTATCATATCAGACTCTACCACGTCACATGGAGTCACTCACATGGAGTCACTCATATCATTGATTTGATTGACGGTATGTACAGTGATGGCGATCGCGCATAGTAAGATGAGATCTGGAGCGCCATCGACATACATATCTGCGCTGGTTGTGACGGGAATTTAGCCAGGCTGCCTGTGCACTGGGTTTTGCTGCGAGGGCGTGATTGGTAGCGTACGTGCTGGTGAGTGAGGGAGTGAGCGCTGGAGTAGGTTTAACAGAGTACGAGCTCGTGCCTGGAGGTAAGTATTGTAAGCAGTTAGTACCGTGCTCTACTCTATGTAGGGACAGGCAGAGTAGCTGCTACTGTAGCTAGGACAGCAGTAGAGCCAATGTGAGTGTTTGCACTGTACGTCAGTGACCGGACAGGACAGCACAGAGATAAGGTAAGGCATGGTGGCATATTTGTGGTGGAGATAAAGTTGAACCCTACGATAGTGGTTCTGCATGTAGGTACTCTAGTGGGGCTGACATGATGAAACCTCACTTTCACTTTTGGAAAGGAAATTGGAAGAAGGACGTTACGCTACATGGAGCCATAGCGAAACAACGACCGCCAGCTAGCTCGCCGCTTACGAGTCCATCTGCCTGCTCTACTCTGTCTGCTCTGCCCTATATTCTGCTCTTCTATGCTCTACTATACTTGGTGATCTGCTTTATGCCTCTCGCCCACATACTACTCTACCTAGCTATCATATCAATCACGCGCGCTCGTGATACAGCGTAGCGTACTCTAGACGCACGACATAATTGCGTCTCTGGACACGACACAGGCGCCATCCGGAACATTCTAACAGGAAGTGAAGATATGGGGTTAATTGGTGATGTGACAGCTGTCGACTCGTGTTGGAGTTGCCGGTACTGGGTGTCTGTTCTGTAACCCGTGACAGTGATGGTGTTGCAACTTGGATGACGGAGTGGAGTGCAGCAGGTGCGTTTGGATGTATTCGCAGGCAGAGTGGATGTAGATGTAGTTGTAGATGGATTGTTGTTGTAGTAGCCGACTCTGGTAGGAATTGGATATATGTCCAGTGGCTCTAGCTACAGAACCGGGCATCACGACGCCCATCACGGTCACGCAAAGCTGAAGCCAGACATTGACGCTCCAGATTGGGGAGACGAGGAATGCCTGATACCCGGTAACACTGGTCCTCTAGAGTACTGTACTCTAGAGCCTACCTACTGTACTCTACTCTATGCCTCTTCTTCCTCCTCCACTCAATTTGATCATGTAGCCTTACTCTACCCTACATACAAAACACCCAATACCAGGTCCGAAAACTAGATGACGATGACAGCCTATCGATAACCCACTCACCCACTCACCCACCACCCACCGCCCAAAACACAGCCCTGTGATGCAACAAACCCACCCATGGCCAGCCAGAAAGAAAACCGGTCACTAACTCACTGACGACCTAGCTAGCTGGAAGCTCATTCGGACCACGTCGAAGGTCGTTTAATTGCACATGCCTATCTGACAACCGGGCCTAACCACCTCCCAACCGGGAATTCTCGGCCGGGCGGCGGAGGCGTTTGCGCGCGGGGAGGGGAGGGGGTGTCCTCCATCTTCTTACTGATGGGTGAATGGATAGATGGATAGATGGAGTAGGGGAGGGAAGCTAGCTAGCGGCCCGGAGATCAATGTTTGGTTTCCTGGCTGTGAGATCAGATCATCTCTCTCTCTCTCCCTCTCGCTCGCCTCAATTCATCCCGGTGCATAGCATAGCATACCCACACCAACAAACATCCAAAGACCGGTTTTCCGCCATCTCCGCGTCCGGGGTGGCGAGCGAGCGAGCGAGCAGGCAGGCCTGCAAGGGCTCCAGTGAGTAGCTATCAAGCTAGATACATGTAGCTAGAGCAACGCTTCTGGAAAGGCGGCTGGCTGGCCCCGGGGGGTATGGATGCGGCTCTCAGGGTTTTCCATGTTGGATGGATAGAGGAGAGATGCCAACTCATCACCTACTCTAAGCCGGGTAGGTAGGCACTGGGCAAGCAAGCAAGCAAGCAAGCAGAGAAGAGAAGAGGATGTAGGCTTTTTTTTACTTTTTGCGTTGCCTTTTCAGGGGAGGTTTTGATGGGAGGAGGCTGGGGATATGTGGATGGCTTAATAAGGTACAATGGACACCTACAACCTACATAAGCCCGCGTTAATTGATTGCAATTGTGGACCTGGCCTCAGTCAGTCAGGACAGATTGGTATCTACAGAAGAGTTAGAGGATTAGAGGATTAGACGACAAGCAGAATTGGCAATAGCGGGATCCGCCGTCTGCGCGTATCAATCAATTGGGAGACAGCAGGAGAGGTACAGTAGCTGGGTGCAAGTAAGCATGACGAAAGAAAGAAAGGGTCTAGCTAGCTTGCATGGATTGATCATGACGGCTGTAGGTAGGGAGAGTGGCTCTCGAGCCGGATGCATGGAAGACTGGCAAACGTACGGGTCCGGAGAAGGGCAGAAACAGAAACGTGGGGAGGGCATGTTCTGTTTTCTCCAGATTCTTGTTCTTGTTCTGGGGAGAGACGAAGAGGGATGTAGATCGTGTCACTGACGTGGTGAGTATGAGGTGAGGTCTGGACAGATAACTTGGCTGTACTGCTAGGACTCTGCTCAGCTACGCGCCTTATGTAAGGAAACTCAACAACCGAGGCGGCGAGAAGACCGCTTTGGGGGGTTTTGGGGGCGGTATGATCGTGAATATTAATTAATTGAAGCTATGTACTATGATAGGGAGGGACGCAGGGAGGGAGGGTCCTTTTTCTGCCTACTTGAGATACAACAGTTTCCTGTCTTGGGGGCTCAGTTTCCGCCTTATCCTTCTGTCTCCCCCATCCCATACCCCATACAACCCCTGACCCCATGTTTCCATCTCATCACAGTGCGTGCAGCAGGTGGTTGTTGAAACTGGATCGATAGAGGTTGGAGGTTGGTTAGGTTAGCTTAGAGTAGGTTACTGTCGTTCACGGGGTATTGGCGGATACTGGGTATTGGCGAATTGCAGGTAAAAGTTAGCTTGGCTGTCACCCCGTGAACGACAGTACTCTAACTTCTTACAAGCCAAACCAACCAAACCAGCCAACCAGGTTCAGTAGTGGCTAGCGTTATCGCTTCCGCTTCGGCCCTACTAACGCCTTTTATCTAATCGTAAATCGGATCAGCCTTACATAACCCTCCCACCTCACAAGCAAACAAACCATGCAGTCACCTGACCGATAGTGGATGGGATATCATGCGCGCGCGCGCGTCCCGCCCGGATTCCCGTGCGTGTGTGTGCGCCGCCGGGGTCGGATGAGGGTTGCGATGCGTGGGACGGCCGCGCCTCTGTTCCGATCTGATCGGAAAGTTTTTTTTTTCGTTTGCTTGTTTGTGGTGGGGGAGCGTCCGCGGGGATGCTGGAGTGGGTGGGAGGGAGAGTGAGACAGAGTAAAAGGCGGGATGGAGATGTTGCGGATCGGGGCCATTACGGGTTGATATGTGTGGTGGGCTTTTCTTCTTTGATTCGGCCGAGATGAGATGATGGAAGAAGAAGAAGGTTACTTTGCATTCCTTCCTGCACTAATGATGGAAAGGGCAGATGCCGAGGAAGTGGGAAAGAGTAAGATTGTGGACTCGTATCGAATGGCGCGTGTCGGAGTTAAAATGTGTTTCGGGGGCCGAACGAAACATTAATTATTACCTTATCGATATGGTAGTAAGGCATGGGGAGAGGATTTGCCGAGAGAGGGTTGCGTGATTGTTTATTGAACAAGCGCAGGCAGGTAGGCAGGGTATGTGCTTGTAACTTGGAGGCATAGTGATGGGCGTTATAATGGCTCGTGAGAGCGGAGTCTACAGAGGTTACGAAAAAGTATAACAAGTATCGTGAGGCGGACTGGTATACCTACCATGTAGATAGGATACTTGATACTCACCCCACCACCACGTCCACCGGACCTCCGAGAAATAGATGTCGTCAAGATAGAACATACGCACCGGTATTCAAACCGTATGTTGCAAGAATCGGGAGACCGATCATTGACCCTGCCTTTATTTGAACAACGACGACGACGTCAATGATTGTCACAAGCTTAACGGTAGTAGTTATAGACACTTGATCAAGATAAACATAAGAAACCAAACCGCAGCAGCAGCAGAAGCAGCAAGGCCCTTCCTTTCCATCTGAACGGCCGATCTTGCAGGACATGATGGAGAGATGAGATGTCAAATTGAAGCTTGGTACATAACTTGCATAGGAGCTCACATTTTCATTTTCACTGGCGGAGATTGGTTGGCTGTCATAAACAAATAAACAAATAAAGTGTCTGGATATGATACAGTAAATAGTAAATAGATACACATATCCGAATCCGGCCGGGTGCTCGAGAGATTGTTTCGTGCCTGCCCTGTTTTGTAACTTCTGTTTCCGGTGAGTGTGCTTAATTGGTTGGGTTCCACGAACAAACCTAAACCTATTTTGCGAAACAAATATATCTGTGGGATGTACCGGTACAAGTGCATGTACAAGCCACAGCACTCTAATAGAATACAAATAGAAATGGAAACACACACACACACACACTTCCATATCGATCTGTAACCTCCGGGCCACCAAACATTCTCATAATAGAAACCGCACGCGTGGGGAATAGAGGTCGCACCCTTGCTTCGGAGGATAAGTTTTACAGGGTAGAGTACTGCTGCCAAGGATATTATACTACCTACAGATGTTTGGTAGGATACGGCAATGCACTAACTGTGATGGGTCGAGCACTCTAGATAAGTAGAGCGAGATTGGGTGGTGCATGGGTATGTATATATCTCGATGATCTGCGACTCGGCGATCCATATGAGTCTCATGTGGCTAGAGTATGTAGCTAGCTGGAACTATTTTTCATTTCATTTCGGAGAGATCTTCGTTCTGCTGGTTTGAATTTTTTAATTGGCCCGGCCCCCAATTAGTGGTGTTGGGTGCAAACGGCCACCTGCTCAGAGAGATAATATCGCGGGTTGTGTTTGAAATATTCGTGAGGCGAGGGGCGGAGAGTGGTAAGTGAGCTAGGCAGAGAGTAAAATAGAGTTCCGTATCCCGGTGGAGAGATAGAGTTTCTGTAATCTCTATGTGGTATGTAGGATGGATGGATGGGGGGTTTAATTTAATTTTGAGGCTTTGAGTTCTTCAGCCACAGTGTGGTGGGAGTGTGGTACTGGTGGGTTTGATATGGCCGATTTGAGGATAATAATATGGAGGTTTTATTTGTACCCTACTCTAGGTACTCTATGTAGGTACCGGTAAGTTCATGTAGAGTAACTAGAGCATTGGCTTTTTATGTGGGTAGAGTTATAATTATGCACATAGCGGCGGCATACTACATCATAGACTACAGTCCATATTTCACCCCATTCGCGTGTCGGGTATTAGCGAAGCCCACCAAAAAAAGAAGACGTTAAACGTCGTTCTCGACGTTCGTCCAGTAGGTGTAGTTAGTTTTTTGCGCTGAGAGGGGATAAATGGTGGATGATATGATACTCGTCAGATTATCACTTACTCACCGAGGGTCTCATGACTATTGGTTCCAGCTCGAATAAACAAAAAAGAACACACAAACAAGTTTCGACGGAACGGCCGCGCTCGCTCGCTGCTGCACCGTGTTCATCCGACTTACCAGGTGGTGGCTAGGGCGACCAATGATATCTCGACGAACAAACGAGGAAACACCCTGAAGGGCTCGTCGTGTTCGGAACTCGGCCATCATGAGAGAAGTGAGAGAGAGATGGCCCATGGCTTACCCTGTGATTCGTTTCGTTTAGGTATGCAATGTAGGTAGAGTGGATTTTTTGTTTGTTATTTCTCGCATTTGTCACCTTATGGGGGGTTTTTGCTACTCGTGCGGGTGTTTAGGGCAGGTGGTGGGTGGTGGGCGGGGATGGGGAGTGGAGGAGCGGAGGAGGAGGGGGAGGTTCGGTGGATTAAATTGATTTTTGCCAATTATTTTCTTTTATTTTTTTTCCTTTGGTCGCTCTGCAATACCCTATGGATTGGTAGCTTCCTATGTATCCGCCTCAACTACTTACTCTACTGTGTTGCAGCATCTTCACACCACCACTACAGTATGTACTGGCATGTAACCTTAAGGGTGCCTCCCCTGCACTGTGCGTCAATGCATTAGAAAAATTTGCAATCTACATGCAACAGTCTGAAGTCGAGAGTTATGATGGATGTGGCGCGTGGGAGGCAAAAGAATATTGAGTTCTCACTGTCGTAGCGGGGATCAATTGGGGTGTGTAGGGTGTGTCCAGAAGAGAGTGAGAGTGCGCAGGCAGTTGATTGCTGGAGGTCAGATAAACCTAGTCCTAGTTTGACGTCTCTGCTGACTGCTCATATGACATGGATAATGTTTGATGGGGTCTAGCTCGCCCTCCCTCCGACGAGTTGAGAGTTGAGGAGTTGAGTCGGGAAGGAGTAAAGTAGGAGGAGAGGGGAGGGGAGGGGAGGGGGGAGACAAAGGCGGGCTTACGAAGCGGTGGTAGTGGGTGGTTGTCACGGAAACGGGGGGATGAAGAAAGCTGGGGAGGGACAAGCCGATGATCATAAAGGGTATCCGACTGGTCCATTCCAACGGACGCTTGCCACGTCGACAGCGGATGTCAATGAGGGCAGGTACCGCCTGTAGAGTACTGTATGTACCGTAGAGTACCTGACGCCAGTATGTACGATGTAAGTACCTACTTCTGCCTGCCTGCTTGCAACCTGCCTCCCTTATTAGCTATGCGGTTCTGAGAAGGAATAATCTCCCACTGCATCTGAAAATTTCCTTTCTGATGCCGTGAGCAGGTAGGTAACCCACCCCCCCCCACACACATCCGGGCGTCCTCTTGCCTTTTGTTGAGAGATCTCGTTTCTGAAGAATTTACTTGCCATATGGGCCATTTTACGCGCTGCACGACGGGTTTTAATTTTTTATTTTTACCCTTTTTCTTTCCTTCTGCCAAAAATCGAAATTATTATGAGCCGCTTAATTTTTTTATTTTCTTATTTTTACTTTCCATATGTAAAATTGATTGAGCGAGAAACCTCAGTCACTAAATGTGAATTATCATTTCCCTCCCCCCAGTTCAACGTCGTCATCAAGACCGTTTTTAACCACAACCACCCCAGCAACACTTGCAACTATGTGTGCTGATATTCTTCGTGTTCCCTCATTCTCAAACCTCGTCAAGGGCCCGGTTTTGGACAAGTCTCGAAAGTACTCCGGCCAGCAGCAGGAGGAGAGGTGGTTGAGGTTGCACTTTCCCTTGCACTTTCCCTGTTCTGGTCTCACCGGCCTTGAACCACACAACCGCGCGCAGTTCTGCTGTCTGCTGTGGATGGTGTCAACCCACACAGCTAGAGTAGCAGGAAGGTAGGCAGGTAGGCAAGCAGCCCCGTTTTCTGGGTTCGCATGGAGATATGTAGCACACACAGTTCAAGCCTCAATTACCACAGTCCGATTCGTGGACGATCCAAGACTTTTTTTTCTCTCTTTGATCAAGCTGTCTTTAATTCTCACTCCCCCACACCCCTCACGAAAAGAGGAAGGGAGGGAACCAGACCCTTTCAACTGCACTACCCCACATCCCATTGGACGCTGGGCGTGGAGCGGTTCCCTGGTTGGGTTGTCGAGTGACTAGAGACACAAGGGCGTGAACGAAACAACGCATCCACTGGTGAAATCAAGCAGGCCATCAAGTAGGCAGTTTGAAGCAAGCACTCCACCTCTCTTTTTTTGCTCAGCAAATTGTTATCACTGGACTCTTTTAATTGATTTATTACCCATCTGTGCCCGCACGGTCCCCGCACGTATGTATGAAGGGCATGTAGAGTAAGGAAGAGAAGGAAAAAAAAAAACTGCCCTGCTTTGTCTGGTTCTACAATTTTTTTCAATCGTCGTCACTTTCCCGCAGGTGATGCGTACTTTCTTTCACAACCTATCCCCTCCTCCTCATACTGTCTACCACTCCTCCGTCCCCTCTCCTGCTTTCCCTCCAAGTGAATGCATCACTCACACATCTTCCTACTCTCTCCGTATCCGCCCTTCCACTGCAACTACTACCCTAGAACTACTACTACCAATCCCACCCCATAACCCCTGTCAATTCTTTGGGTGGGTCTTTAAGCGACTACTTTTGTAGACCCTCTCTACCTCCCCTCCCACTAAACTACTCCCCATTATTATTACCTTACCTATCCCCTTCGCCTCTTCTTGCAGTTGGAATCCCCTTCCAGTTCCAGAAGCCCAAGGTTACTGTCCTTAAGGAAGCCACATCCCATCTTCCTCCTGCGACCCATCGTCGTTTATAACTAGTCCAATCCCCCTCCACCCCCCCCTCCAACTGCTTGCTCTCACTGGATCTTGCAACCCACCCACCCACCCATATCCAAACACAGCACACCCTCTTCAATCATCGCCTATAGACATCACCGATACGTTCCCTTATCGGTCTGGCTGCTTGTTTGATTGCTTGGATTGATTGTTTCTACCTCGACTACAGCAGCAGCAGCAACCGTCCGTGTACCATATTATATCCATCCATCGTCCCCCACCCCTCGCATCTCTAATCGATATCGTTGACGATACCGATACCGAGTCTCCGTTATCAGTTTATCAAAATAGCCTATCCCATCCACCTCGCGTAGTTAGTGTAATATTAAAGTTCTATCCTTCCCCCCCCACAACAGCAACAGCAACCTTCTCATCGACCATCGAACTAGCTACAGTAGCTCAGATCTTTACCAATGGCTGTATATGAGGAACCCTATGTCGAGGACTACAACTCGGAGCTGTCTGAGGCCATCCCTCTGACAAGACGGCAAACAACAAAGCGTGCTTCGGGTCTGTCAAACTCGATATCTGCTGATTCAACCAGCTATGAGCCAGAGAGTACAAATGTGTCGGATTCTGGATACTCATCACACGCTGAGGCCAGCACCCCAGGAGAGACTCCTCCACCTAAATCAGCTACCCCAAGTACCCCATCAAGGAACCAAGCTCGATCCAGCCGCTCCCCATCAAACCCGGCACTCCCGCCATTCACTAGACCGTCGAGCAAGTCCTTCACTCGTGCCCAGGCATCGGCGGGAACCGTCCCCCGGAATATCCCAAGCAGCTACAACACGGTGAGGAGGGAATACAGGGAGAGCTCGCCGTCAACGTCGACCGGTGGTGCGGATGATTGCGATTGTGCGGATTGTGGAAAGCCTTCAAAGCCTGTGACTAGCTCCCCAAGTAGAAACAGTGGTGCCTGGCCCGGTAGTGTCCCAGAGCACCCGTACCATGCTACGTACTCTTCATCACCCTCTTCTTCTTCGTATGCTTCTTACCCATACCCGTCAAAGTACGATGGTTACAGCGAGAGTGCCCCAACCCACGCTCCGTATGCCACTGATCCTCGTGAGGGATCGTCTTCAAGAAGGGAAAGGTCATCGACACAGTCAACGATGCCTCCTCCCCCGAGACCATTGTCGACTTTTGCAGGTGCTTCAGCAACAACATCTTCGCACAGCCCAAGTGGATCGTGGTCGCAATCCACCTACAGCAGCTCTGGATATGTTGGACACGCCTCATCACCAACTCCAGCGGCGCCGGCTCCATCCTCAACATGCCCACCAACGTACTCGTCCTCGATGTATCCTCCTCCTCCGATAGATACATCTGTGCATTCTTCATCCCACTCATACGACTACTCGCCTTATGCTCCTCCGTCAGCATCCACTACATATGGACATTCTTACACTCCTGACCCGTACAGCCAGAGCCCAGTTCCACCGGCACCAAATTACTACCAGGAGCCCAGCTACCACTCGGATAGCCACCACTCGGACAGCTACCATTCCGACAGCTACCACCATTCCGACAGCTACCACCAGCCCGAGTACAGCTCCCTGCCACCTCCGCCCGCGTTTACGGGCCGCAGAGGTAGTATGCGTGCCTCGGCAAGTGCAGCTGTGCTCGACTCCAGCGAGTACTACACTCAGCCAGAATACACTCACCCACAGGTAGCGCAGCACCGCGAGCGCCGCTCAAGTAACCGTGTCCACAGTTCCGAGAGGCCCACATCATGGTACAGCCAGTCACAGTTCCAGGATGTTCCCAGCAGAAGCATTTCCGTTCCTCCGGCCCAGCCAGATCCTCAGGCCGCCCCGACATCGAGCCGTAGAATGGCAACACCGCAGCCGATCAGGAGAAGGGACAGCAGCAACTCACAGGGGTCGGGCTCGCACTCGTCGAGACTTCCGTCGTCGCTTTCTCGCTCGATGGAGACTTGTGCTATTGATGATGAGCCGCCTTCACGTTCATCACGCCATGGCCACAGCCATCACCGTAGCAGCGGGTACTATGAGCATCATCAGCATGGTGCTGTCACTCGCAGGGACGCGGGGACTTTGATGCAGAATAGCCACAGTAACCGTAGCAGCGACTCGGGAAGCAGTGGGTACAGCCATGATAGTGGAAGGGAGGAGCTGGTTGTTCTGGATTCAGATGAGCCGTTCACTATGAGGTACCCGGCGGGCGTGCCGGTCAAGTTGTCGCTTAATGGTGGCCACTCTCCGAGGACTATCTCTGTGGGAAACAAGAACGACAACTTTGAGTACTCGATAGGATACAAGTACGTCCAGCAGAGGCAGCAGCAGTTGCATGCTCAGCTGAGTGGAGGAACTGATCACTATGATCGCCGGACAACCAGTGCGGATTATTCGCACAGGAGTTATGAGCGCCAGAGAGTTTAGGATTTTATGACTGTTGGATGATTTATATGAGGGGAACAGGAGGAGCATCGGGGTTTGCTCGCTTTTTTTTTATGTCCGGTTTTTGACGATATGACTGTTCTTATATCTCCTATGTTTTTGGGCGGCCGGTATTTGTTTTATATTTTCTTTTTCTTTCCTTTGTTCGATAAAAATCATCGGACTCATACTTGACTCATTTTGACACCTTGGGTGGCGATTAATCCTCTTTTCGGCAAGATTCTCTTGTCTTCCCTTCACTTTTTACAACTATTATTACTAGGGGGAAGCAAAAAAGGAAACAGGACTTGGCGGCACTTCTTGTGTTTGTTTATTATGTTTTACACCTTTTTTCGGCCTTTTTATTTTTTTCTTTCTTCTCTTACTTACTCCTTTCTTACGGTTTTTGGCGAAAAGAACGCGGTTTCTTTAGCCCGGGGGACCTGGGTACTGGGTTGGGCGCGGTTTCTGGCTGGGTTTTCTTTCCGATATACCTTTCGTGTACTTTTTTTCCCTCTCCCCCCCCATCCTCCCCCTTTTTGTTCCCTGTAAGATATTTTGTGCAGGACGAACTTTTGCTTCTTCTTCCTCGGATTGAGAGGAGAGGGAGAAGGGGGGAGAGTTTTACGATTTGGTCTGTTTTTTTGATATCAACACATTATTTTACTTTCTTATATTCCAATATATGGCCGCAGCGGAAAGCATGCAAGGAAGGAGTTAATGAGACTGCACTGGAACGCATCTTGGCTTCGTTTCTTTCTCTAGATGGGGTTCGCGGTGCGGGTTACTTGTACTTTCTTACTTACTACTTACTTACTACTACTATTGTATTGGAACGGCCCCCCTCCCTCCCCGGTACCGAAAGAGAGGGAGAGCTGAGAGGGGGCCTGGGGAATCCTTTCGAAAACAAAAAAAAATCGGAGAGAAAAACCGGAGAGCAAAAAAAGATTGGGGATTGTTGTTTTTTCGAGTCACTCATTTGGTATCTTTGTTTTGTTTACTTGTTATCGTTTTTTTTTTTTTTTTAGTCACGGGAGCTACTTAGCTGGGTGTGGGATTAATGATCTGATCACGCTTTTAACGCTTAACGTTTTGATGAAGGTTATGGATGTTATGTCAATCAATTATTATTTATTTTTATTAAGCTTTTTTGATCGTGCTGTGGGCTCTGTGCGTGCTTGCCTTGCTAGCTAGTTACATGGTGATTTACCTTAGCACTAGGCAGTGCTTGTGAGGATCATGGAGGGTTAAGCTTTGAGGGTGACGGTGACGGCGGCGGTGATCATGTTAGTTACATACAAATAGGCAGCCAGTGACATGTCCAAGCTTGGGCTGGTGATCGGTTTTTCTGGCGGCCCTATCATTTCCAGTAGCTTTTTGGCGTACATATATGGCCCACCTCAGTGCATAAAGTATACTCTAGTGTGGTGTTACTGCTTCCGTTACACAGGTACCACCCTCGCGCGCCGCCTTGGATCAACGTCATGGAATGGAGCTCGAGGTTTATATCGGTTGTATGGGTGCTTGGCCTGCTTTATGTACTGTAGATAGATGATCTACTTCGAGCTCTATTTACCACGTAAACATTGTTATTGAGGTTTGCTGGTTGAGTGGCCATGGGTGGAGTGGAGTGTTGTGAGTAATTGTAATTGTAATCTGCAATTGCGTTACTGCTGTCGTCAGTTGTCTTGTCTTGTAGCTTTATGTAGGTAGGTGCTGTTTGAACATGTTGCAGATGTTTGTCTTGGGGCTTGAGTGTCATATCACTAACCTGCACTTCTACATATCTCTCCTACATACCTCAATTCACTCACCTACCAGCTCCTGCTGAATCCCCGCTCTGTACGTGCTTGCGCACGTATTATAACCGCAACCGCAACCGCAACCGCCGTGTTGTGTTGTGTTGTTTCGTTATATTAACTTTTGTTTTGCTTACCTGCTAGCTAGCTAGCTAGCTATCCAAACTGCAAACACAACCCACCCATTGGGTCTGGGCAGGTTACAATAAAAGCCGGTGAATCACCACCCTCTGGCACCCAGGGCGGAAACAATTATTCCCGCCGGCGCTGCGTCGCCCGCCCACCCACTCATCCAGCTAGTAGTGGTAATTGGTGGTGGTGGTTTGGTGGTGGTGTTTTTTCGGCGTGGCATGTCATTGACACCTATCCTCTACTCTACCAACCCAGCACTCACTCACTCCATCATGGCCTCATCCCACGTGCAGATCTGCCCGCCTTGCACGCCCCTGGCGAGCGAATGGCTGCCCGCCGAGAGTCTGGAGGATTTGCGTTGTGGGTGTTTTGGGGTAGTACGGTCGGGGACGCGACCCGGGGTTGGGTTGGGGGTTGTTGCATTGGTGCTGGGGGATTGCGGTCTGGACTGGCGGCGCATCTGGTGTATGTAGCTGGATGGGTACTGGTACTGTGCTGGGTGGGTACGTACTGGATGGGTGCTGCTGGTGGTTAGTGGGTGCTGGACGGCTGGATTGGTGGTGGACCTATCGCTATGAGGACTGTGGATCCGGAAGAGGGCTTTTTTTCTTCTTTTCGTGGGATGAGAGCTGGGTTTGGGATGGGGTGGGTGGGGTGGGCGTTTGAGAATCTACCCCGTATGTAAGTACCCTAGGTAGAGTATATGTATGCGGGTAATTAGAGTACTTGGGTAGAGGGGAGGAGAGTGCTGTTCTGGAAGATCTGCAGCTGGATACTAAACTACACGTGGCGGGATGGATGAGTATTTTCGGCTTGGAAGAGTATTTTCGGCTTGGGAGGAAGAGTAGCTGCTAGCTGGTAGAGTGCGTGCAGGTAGGTGTGGAGTGCAGGCTGTGCTGATGATGGGTAATGTTGGGGTACATTACAGGCAGCATGTAGGTAGGTGTCTATTCGTAGAGTGCTCTAGAGTATATAGACTGCGGAATTGGGTAGGTGTGAGTAGAGTATATAGATGGAATTGGGTATGTGCAGCAGAGAGGTGCTGATCTGCTCTACTCTGCTCTACTTGCAATTGACAGAGTGGCCGTTTGGTAGAGCTGTCTGTTCGTCTGTAGTTACTCGAGTGCTGAGCTGTGGAGGTATGGAGGTATGTAGGTAGGTAATCTGCCATCCCCACACTGATCTACAGACCCAGGATCTACATGTAGGTAGGTACTCTACCGTTCTGCTAATACCTCGTCTCTACTCTACTGACTCAACTCTACATACCTACATACCTACCCACGTACTCCCCTTCTACTCCCCATTCACCATTCACAAGACAGCACATAGAGTACCTCAAAGCCATTCACGCCCAACAAACAGCCACATCCATCCACATCTCCTCTAGAGGCCAATGCCGATTTCCCTCGGCTTCCGCGCTCACCCCACATATCCCAAACAGGCATCGATATACCCACCTACCTCCTCCAGCACAGTAATCATTCCCCGAACCCCGAGTGCACCTCCGAAACAGCCACAGCCATATACCGGCCGAGTAGGGTAGGTCTCGGAACTGAACGCTGTTCTTTCCGCGGCCCATGCCATTGAGTCGAGAGTCGAGTCGTGGCGAACCGGAAAAATGAAAAAAAGGGCAATGAGAAAAAGGGGAGCCGGCATATGTAGTGTAATGCAATGTACATACAGCACTTCGCATTGCGCATTGAAGAAGTATGTATAAAAAACAAAGAAAGAAAGACCACAAAAGAAAAAAAAGGACAGAGCACCACCATGGGATCCGGACTTCTAGTACCCCGGCGGATTGACCCTCTGACTGACCCGCGTCCATTTCGGCACCTCTGTGAATCACACCCCACTCGTCAGCCACCGTCCCATCTCACCATCCCATCTCACCTCCCCGCCCCACCGCCCACCACCGCCACACCCCCAATTGAGAAAAAAAGGAAAGTAGGGCCACTCACTATGCACCCCCTTCCGGTACTTCTTCGCATTGCGGTCAAACAGCGTATACTTGTCCCGCGGCTCCATCTCGTCCTCGGTCGGCATCTCCATCTTCCACCGCTCGACGGCCGCCGCCGTCATGCCCTGCTTTGCGAGCGCGTTGTCGACGCACTCGACGAGGCGGTCGACGCGGCGCAGGCGCTGGCGGTGACGGTATTTTTGCATGCTGGACATGCGCCAGGGGATTTTCCTGTGTTTGGTTGGGTGGTTAGTGGGTGTGTTTTGTGGAGGCGGGGAGGAGGGGAGGAGGGGGTTACCAGAGGAGGCCGCCGCTCAATGGCTGCGTGGGGCGGAGGAAACCGAACATTGCGTTGGGTGTGGATGGGGATTGGAGAGAGGTTAGAGGTGACGGGCGAGAGTGGTGAGAATTGACGTTGGAGGTGAGGTTGCTAGTTTGGCTTGTGGGTTGAGGCTCTGGCGGCCCCACCACTCGAGGATTAGTCATGGGCCCTCCCTTGCTTTCTTTTTTATCGCGGGGGAGCTTGTACGCAGCAGCAGAAAAAAATATATACATCTCCAACCCCACCACTACCACCACCAATAAATAGATCAATTCTTCTATAAACACCATCCCCCGCACTCACACACCCACACACACATATATATATACAGAGCGTCAGGGAATGACCTCGCTATAACTAGTGTTTGCCGGCCATACTCTCAGTCAGGCACTCTTTGAGTAGCACGCATGCGTCCCCGTCGCTCAGGTCACCGTTTATGCGTCGCGCGATACAGAGCACCGTCTCCCGGCGGCCACCACTCCTCCCCACGCGGCCGTTACTGAGAAACACCGCCACCACCACTACTAGTACAACCACAACCACAGTCGACACCAATGGCTGGAGATCCTACGCAAGCAGCGTGAGCGGGAACGGCGGGAACGGCGGCGACAGGGAGAAGAACAAGAAGAACAAGAGGAGCAACGACGAGCGGTGGAAGAAGCCTCCCGGAATCAGCTGGGACGGCTTCAGGAAGACCAATAAGCACTTCAGGCCTCAGGGCAAGTCCCAGAAGAAGGGACAGAAGCGACAGGAGGAGGAGGAGGAGGAGAAGAAGGAGAAGGCGCCCCCGGAGGTGGTGCGCAAGCTGGCCGATACAGAGTTGTCGTTTGAGCAGTGGCAGAAGATCAACGAGCGCATTGTCAGCTTCTCGCAGCTGCTCGATGAGTCGTCTGTTGCGGCGCCAGAGTCGTTGGGGAAGAACAGACTGGTGGACCGGGTCGAGTACTGCACGAATATAAAGCTCTGGCAGATCCTGCTCAAGTTCCGGCGCCGGCTGTACGAAGATGCGGGGGTGCGTGAGATCTGGGGTGGCCTGCGGCTGCGGAAAATGGACCTGCCTACGGAGGGGGCGAGTGCTGATGAGCTGTGGGATGTGTTTTTGCGCTCGGCCACGAGGGACGATGCTTTCATGGGTGTTATGTGGGAGTATATACAGGAACTCGACACCCGCACCGGGGAGGCCTGGAACGGCGTCTACGATGCTGTCATTGGCCGCTATCTCGTCACCGACCCGGTGAAGGCTAGAGCATGGCACTACAAGCTGTACCCGCGGCATGCCTCCAGATCGCTGCCCGAGCTGTTTTCGGAAGTGCTGGCCCTCAACCCGGACGCCCACACGTACCTACGTATCATCCACGCAACGACAAAGAAGCCGGCGGGCGTATACACCACCATGATCCCGTCGCTGTGCAAGCTCGGGCTGCACCCTGAAGCCGTGCGGTGGCACCAGCACTGTCTGTCGTTCGACGACCTGCCCGAGGACACCAGCGCGGCGGACGAGCTGGTGTGGTGGATGGCAAAGTACGGGACCATCAACGAGCTGCACCAGCTTGTGTATTCGTTTGTGGAGATGGAGGTGCCCATGAGGCAGAGCACGCTGACAAGTATCATTCTTGCGCGCCTGGACAAGATGGAGGCGCTGCGGTTCATCCTGGCCCGGTCGAACGAGTTTGACACGAAAGCCATGGGGGATCACTTTTGGGCCCAAGTGATCTCGCAGCACAATATCGACAAGGAGGACGTGTATCGGTATCTGTGCACGTTTGCCGTAGGACTGACTGTCGGCCGGCATACAGTCGAGGCGGCGGCGAAGAGGTTCGACATCGCGGAGGACAAGGCAGTCTGGCTGCTGACCGAGATTGGCATCAAGATCCGCGAAAGTGACCTCATGCCGCTGGACGTCGGTGAAGACGAACCGCAGCAATCTCCAATGCATAGAGATCCCACCGCGTACCGGCGCCCGCGGAATATGGCCGAACTCTCGAAAGCTCTCCAGAGCCTGATCAAAGCAAAGGACTGGCAATCCTTCGACGAGCTCCTGTCCAGGCCCCTGCCCGGCCCGCCCGACGCAGCGCTCAGCAACGTCCTCCTGCAGTCGGACCTTTCACGCGGCCGCCTCCAGGAAGCCCTCCACAGATTCGAGCAGATGCGTCTCTCCTCGACCCTGATCTCCACGCCCTCCATCCAGCTCCTGATCTCGACCCTCCTGCGCCCCCGCCGCCGCGGCCACTACCCAAATACTCAGCCATGGTACATCGAGGACGACACCTTCCTCGTCATGGGCCTGCTCTTCTCCCTCCTCCGCAGCGAGGTCACAAAGGTCGAGCCCCACCTCTGGGAAGAGATATTTGTGCGCCTGGGCATGATGCGCCGCCTGGAAGACATCGAGACGCTCGCGTTCGCACTCCTGGACTGGTACCACCCTACGCGCGCCCCCGACACCCGCCGCCGCTACGCAACCGCCATAACTCCGCCGCCCAACCCCCCCCCGCAAACCGTTGCGGAGCTCGTCTCGAACTCCCCCGCAGCCCAGAAGAAACTAACCCCAATCCGCCCCACAGAGGTGGCCGACATCAGTCGCCATAACCCGCTCAGGATAATATTTGACCAGACCTTCTTCCAGGGCATCGTCGAGTGGGGCTTCCTCACTTACCGTGTCTACTCCCCCGAGAAAATGCCATTGATACCACGGCCCCCATCGGAGATTGTGAGACGCCTGCCAAAGCGCTACCACGAGTGGAAGCGCTGCGTCCCCATGTTTACGTGGGGTATAGATCTGGCACGGCGGCTGCGGGAAGAGGGCGTCTATGTTGACCCGCGGGTGATTCAGCGCGGGCTCCGCGTGCGGCTTGCGCCGGTGTTCCGGCCGGCGGATTCTCTGGAAACGCCGCATGAGAGCAATCAGCTCAGTGCTGCTCTGCTGGGGTATTTAGATCTTTGGCAGATTTTGAAGGCGGTGAAGACGGCGTGGGGGGCGAGGCTGTATAAGATCAGGAAGGGCTGGGATAACCCTGTGGTGCTGAACAGGAGGATGTGTGAGTGTGGGAAGGAGATGTTTATAGTAGAGGATGGAGAGAGGCAGAAGAAGGAGAGGGCAAAGAGGGATGAGGCGATGAGGGCGCAAGTGCTAGGTACGGCGAGTCCGGAGGGGGTGATATTGAGGAGGATGAGGAGGGATGGGAGGGCGGGGGAGATGACGAAAGGGCAGAGGGATGGGAGGGCGGGGGAAATGGCGAACTGGCAGAGGAAGGATGCGAGGGCGGGGGAGGTGACGAAGGGGCAGAGGAGGGATGGGAGGACTGGGGAGGTGACGAAGGGGCAGAGGAGTAGATAAGGAGAGGGCTCTAATTTGTATATACTGACCTTTCTTTTCTCAGTTCTTTTCTCTTCTTTTGCAGGGACAGGGTTCTTGTGGCTTTTCTTGTATTATATCCATATCCTTTTTTTGAAGTTTTTGGGACGTTTTCGGGCTGTTGGTGATCGAGTTCTTCTATCTGGGGTCTGAATAGGTCTTGAGAAGACTTGTCTGGCTCTTTCTCTCTGTTGCTCGGATGATTGAACGATTATAAGATTGAAGGATTGAAGGATAAGAGGAACTGTGATTGAGATCAAACGGGCCGTCGTAGCTTAACTTACATAGAGGTCTCAAAGCTAACACATACCCTTAATAGATTAAAACCAGGTAACACTTGTAACGGGTTTTAGCAACTAATTTTCTAATCTGCCCTAGCTCTGGGGAGTGACTGGCGGTTCTGGAAAGTGTAGAAATAGAGTATATCCAGTTCTTAAACATATACGTTTTAATTTCTTCCTTTCTCTTATTTCATCTTCTCCACCCGAATACTTATGGTAGACGGGTGCTAAACGGTGTGCCTTTACTTGCTTATCTCTCGTCTCGTCTTATTCCATTACAGTCGAATCTGCCTATATATAAGGGCATGAAGGGTCGACCATGATCAAGGTTGTACCCTTATAGGACGGGTACCTGATAAGGTTATGAGGGTTAGGGTTGAGGTCTAAAAGAACCCCTTACCCTCATTTCTCTAGAGTATCCCCTGGTGATCAGTCCCAATCGAAATAATCGAAATAGTGACCGATACGGTAGCCGTTCTCTGCTGAACGCAGTTCCTGTTTGCCCTATACTTGAGTTTCTTTTAAATTATATAAAACGCTACAGAGCTCTATATTCCAAGGAAAGAGCTCCGCCTGCTGAGGGAGAGAATGAACAGTTAGTAACTGCGTTCGCGATCGGCTGAGCATACATATATTAACGTTACCATATCTGGTAAGGATAAGGGCACCGCACCAAAAACTATCTTAGAGTAATAAGGGTATTCTTATAATAAGAATATAGCCATTTACTGACTACCTTTAATTTAGTATATAAAATAATGGGCCCCTACGCCGTACTCCTAGGCCTCAGAGGGCGAGTATCGTTTATAGAGGATATGCTTATAGGGCGATTAGACTGTAGATGTATACAGTGCTGTATACCGTAATTAATATCGAAATACTCAATATTTCCATGGCCAAAATACTTAGGAACCACCTTCGAACAAAGGCTCCCGGAGTGATCATGAGTGCACTACTACAGTCGACTTTCCCTATAATCAAAAGGTGCCTCTTAGAGGGGTAGTGAGGGGTAGTCAGCTTATGGGTACATATGGTGTTCTCGGGATATACATGTATACATCCAGGGAGTATGAGAGGGCATACGTACGTGTACCAGTTTCCACTCTCACGTATGTACATGTACTTACGCACCATCTGGCTACATGCACGTCGCTGAAATTTCCCTGGATCCTCCCTGTATATTATAAGAAACCCTATGGGTGAGAGTACGTTCGCGTCACTTTTGTACCCAATGAGGTGAGCGGATTCAATCAATCATTAATTGCATCGGGCCGCACTGGCTGTACTGATCCCTAATGCGATCGGGCTTTGGTGTTCTGGTTCGTATGTCTTAGGTCTGGGCCTGTCTCTAGGCTTTTGTGCTTTTGCTCAGATATACCAATGTCCCCGGGAATAGAGGGGTTTTGCGACGAGCGCTGTATCAATTCATGCGGATTTGAACTATGCGGAATATGTGGATCCATGAGGGGTGTACTTGTACCTACTAGCGTGGGTGGGTGTGTGATTGGAAAAATAGTGTAGTCCGCAGACTTCCCTAGTATTCAAATAGATGAGTCATTAGGCGATTGGGTTAGAGTAGAGTAAAGCTTGATATCGATTATGTCACTAACCGTACGTCATTCTATTAATATAATAGGAAAATCTTCACATGTCGCTGACCCGTCGATGATCTTGAGGGTCCTCAATGTACTGGGGAACATTACCCCCCAAAGACGTAAAGTACATGTATTAAAGTACATGTACATACATCTCCGGGTCGCAAGTAAGCTCTTTTCTGGAATCGCAGTGAGTAGGCTAATTTTAAGATTAAAAGTCGCAGGACCCAATTGGCCAACTACCCGTAGGAGCAGGATGGAAGGATCCAGATCCGATCTCGTAGGTTAACTTACATGTATCCCTTAAATGGCCAGGGCCCAAATGTCTTTGCTAAATATAATGATTACTAACCATATATAGATGGTATGATGTGCCAAATTCTCATACTAGTGTTCCTTCATCTGCTCATGATTATCGCTTATCAGATTGTGCAGATATCGTACCCGAAACCGTTCTCACAGCGTTCACGTTATCATGACTACTAAATAAGGCCAGTACATAATAGACATCAATAACTACTCGTCCCATGGCATGCCAAGCTGTCCTCAAAAATTACTAGTTACAGCCATAAGGTAACTTTATAAAAACTCGCTCCGTTATTTAATTTACCTTACGTCTCCATAAATAAAGACCACATCTCATAGGAAATCTCAGTCTACAAACACAATTCGTAGAATCCCGACAACGGAGTGAAGAATTGAGGCCAGAGCTAACTTTGGGACGCCAAGGCCATATTATGCCTCAAAAAAGACACTTTTGATTAAATTGCAAAGTAAGATACGTTGTAGTGCAGGGGTAATAAGCGGAGAGGTATTTACATATGTAGTGCTTGTGACAAAGGACAAGTCACAGGGGTCACGGTGTCCTTGCTAGCTAGACTATTTATTGTGTCAGATCTCGCTCTTCTCTTAAAGTTTCTCCTATCATCACATCATCAAAAACATCCTTCGAGCTTTTGTGTTATTTTCCTCCTCAGACTCGCGTAGGGCCAAATCTATTCTGAACTCTTGCTTCGATCCGAAACGTGAAGTACTCGAATGAAAACGGGGACGATTCATTGGTTAAGCCTCCTCATTACCATAGAGTGCGTCGTAAGTTACGATTTTTTGGCTTTTGGACTTTGCTTTTAATAACTCCCCTTACTGTTTACAGCAACGACGTAACCTCTACAATCAACGTTTTTGAACAGCTCACTTATCGGTCATCTATTCTACAATGTGCGTCGCTTACATACATTTTAACACATGTTATGACATAACTACTTAGCGTCGGAAAGTATACACATGTAGCCAAGTCAGTTAGTAGACACAAGAGACCCAGCGACAAGAGTCAAGCTGACGCAAATTAAACCCAGTCACAAGCACAGATATAGAGGCCAGAAGCCTAAAGCTAAATGTCACCGGCTATAATCCAATCATCTTCTCCGCCTCTCTTGAAATCCCTCTCCTCGTCGGCGGGCTGCTGCGTGGTTAGTATATCCCCAAGGCTGCCGAAATCCAAGGCTCGTTGTCTTGCCAGAGTCTATCGCAGCAGTTAACTAGTTCCTGCAAGCAATATGGATTTCCCCGCTAGTCTGTCGAACATTTGGGCTTTTACTCTATATTCGCAGACGGTACGCATCTCCAGGGAGAGTGCGGTCACTTGATGCGCAAAAGGAGGTTGTGAGATGCTATTCGCAACTCCTTCCGTTGGAGGTGGTTGGGTAATTTCGTTTGTGGGGGAAGTGATCATTGCCAATTCTATTCTTGGCATGTTCTCCGAACCATAATCCATGATGTCAACTCTACCACATCGAAGTGAGCGAGCGGGTTTAAATAGTCCTCCCACCACCCCGAACTGTTTCCCACCCAGCACGAAGGACGTTCCTTACTTTTGGTGTTGTTGTTTGGAGAACATTAAATCTCGTCGCCAAGCAACACCAATTACCACGATCGGTCCGACACTCTCTATCTCAAGGTCCGTTTCAAGATTGATTGATCTTCCCATTGACCTGGCGAGGGAATAGGTGGTCCAAAGGCCTGTAAAATGGCCTACCCTGGCCCACCCCGCCAGGGAAACCGCACCCCCTCGCAGTTTCTTCCCACCGATGGCCGTTATATAAGCTTCTGGCCCAACCTCCAGTCCCTCTACCAGCCTGAGTTCTGGGTCGACCGCCAGACCCAGCTCCAGAGAGAGGCCCACCACCAGGCCCAGCTCCAGAGAGAGGCCCGCCGCCAGGCCGAGCTCCAGAGAGAGGCCCGCCGCCAGGAACGGCGGGAACAGCTCTACCTCGAGCTTGAGCGCCAAGTCCGGCGGCTCCAACTCCATCACCAGGCTCGCCAGCTCCAGGCTCACCCCCAGCCCCATGCTCACCCCCAGCCCCAGGCTTACCCCCAGCTCCAGGCTCACCCCCAGCTCCAGGCCCACCCCCAGCCCCGACCTCATTCACCCTTTCTTTATCAATGTGCTGGTGGGGAGACAAATCCTCCAGCACCGAGATCGGCCATATATAGGCTGCTCCACCTACTTCGCCCTAGGCCGGACGGTGATTTCCACTCTACGTTGGGCGATACCTATGGGTCCTATGGTTGGCCTGGGTATACTGGCGTAGAGCAGTATCCCAGCATCAAATTCCTGGAAAAAGGTGGATTCAATACGGTATGGCTTCTGACCATAAATGGGGCGGACGTAAGTATAGAGCTTTATATATACATTTCACACTTTATAGAATGTTGGATAAGCTAACCTCCTCCTCCTCCACAGGGCCAGCCAAGACACATGGTTTTTCGTGTCCCGATAGACAGACTGAGTGGAGGCCCAGGAATCAAGGCTAGTCTTGTGAATGAGGTCGCCAATCTCAAGTATATTCGCAAGCATGTGCCGAGTATCCCGGTTCCGCAGGTGTATGCCTTTGATGGCGGCGACGCACTTATTGGGGTTCCGTTCATCGCGATGGAATTCATCCCTGGTAAGACGCTTAGGCACATGTGGCCGGTGTATAGTGAGGAAGAGCGTGAGATTGCCTGCGATAACTTGGCCAGTGTCGTGATGGCAATGATTTTCACCGAGTTTGAAAAGATTGGCGGTATCACACTCGAAGGCGGAGGCAGAATTGGTCCTGCTGTGGAGTATTCGAGATTTTCTGATCCATGCAGGGTATGTGTGTGACGAATGTGCTACCGATTTAGGCTGTTCTGTTTTTGTGGTTGCTAATGTGGCGTGTATTGTGTGGATATAGAAAGAGCTTTACACTAATCGGTGTTATGACATTGGCCCATACGACTCTATCAAAGACTATGTTATCGCCGGTTACGACAAGGAGTTGAAGTACTATACTAGTATCAGCACCGTTAGGCGTGGGGGGCCGCTCACTAAGGAGCAAGTCAAAAATATGGATTTCGCCGATACACTGATGAAGGCGCGCATGGCATTCTGTCGCTCTGAGAAGGCAAATTCCATCGAGCCGTTTGTGCTAATCCACGGAGACATGCACGGTGGCAACATCCTCATGAATGGGGCAAGCATCGCTGGGGTGCTGGACTGGGAGTTTGCGGGGTCGTACCCGCTCAGCGATATTCTGAGGAGGGGCTTTGGGGGCCAGAATTCGCCGTGGGAGAGAAGGGTCAAGGATATAGTGCTCGAAAGGGTGGGCGAGTGGAAAATGGATATGTTGGAGAGCTACGAGGAGCCTGCGTGGGCCAGGGTGAGGGGGCTCACCACCCCGTTGTCGGAAACGGGAGAGATTGCAGTTTATGATACTATATAAGGAGCTGCCTTGCCCACCCGCCCTCAACCCCCCGCTCTGGTCCTCGTGTTCGGGACCCTCTCCATGAAGGGGGTCGCCGGTGACTAAAAAAACGCCCTATTGTGGGATAAAAAGGCTCCTCGGATTCTGTGCGGTTTTTGTCACCTGGCATTAACAGGTTAGTTATATGCATTTTTAAGTGAGAGTGAATGTCTGTATATAGGGAGATGCTTTATTTGCCCCCACTAGCCTTCGTGTTCGCCGCCGCTCTCAGAAGGTCGCCAGTTACAATAAACTGCGCAAAGTCTTCTGCAATGCTGAGCGGCAAAAGTTCACATGTTCTTGTCTTATTTTTGTCACGGCCTGTCAACGGATTAGTTATATGCATTTTTTGTAGTGGGAGTACGTTTGAATATAGCTCTAAATAGACAAATTTTATTTTACAGGTATTCTGTAAATACCGATCCAGTAAAAGCAACGGGTGACATGAGAAAGCCGACGAAGCACCTGTACCTGCGTGGTTGAATGGTCCAGTAGAGAAGAAGATGTGTCAACACATATGGTGTTACAGAAGGTAATTTATGATAGCTTTTGTCGATTGCAATTGGGAGAGAAATAGTAGCGTGACACCTTAAAGTAGCTTATGAAAGTGCGTGATATTATGTACATTTATCCATGGGCCTGACCAACTATTCTCCAATGAAAATGAACAAGACTGAAACATGCATCAACTGGATTTTAATGAATCAACCTTTCATGAGTAGTGAACGGCCCAAACTTAAGTCAAATAAAAAGAACGTGCAAAGTAAAACAAAAGGTTCTCTTAAAATGTATTAAGGAAACACTCATCTGAAAACAAGCAAAAGCCATCAACCGCAAAAGAATGCATTCTAGTCATATATACCACCCGACCAAGGGGTACGTACAGTAATCTTTGTTAGCCAGTAGTGGCGCATCTACATATCTGCCTGTGCGCCTACCTGCGCGCGTGGTACTATCTATAACCTATTCATGCTCATACTACTCATACTACTCACAATTAATGAATTAAACGAAAAAAAAAAACTCATACTACTCACGATCATACGAGTGATATTTCATGATCCAACCCCACTCACCTGCATACATACTTCCTGGCTGCGACTATGGGGGGGTGTCGGAAGCAACAGCCAAGCTGCATAGCTAGGGGGGCACTGGAGTGTAAGGTGTCCGGCTGTGGTACGGAGGGTCGGTGATTTGGAGACATGTACCCCCCACATAACTACTTGATAGTGTATGTTTTTTCCTGGAAGCTGGAAGCCCGTAGATACGTAAGTAGGGCCCCGCGGGGGGGGGGGGGGGGGAGGGGGGGGGGGTTGGTTGGGGTTCAAGACGCCAGTGATTTTCCTCCCCCCGTTCGTGGGTTGTCCGTCAGTGAGAGGGGGGCCAATGTTGGATTACATGTTATAATTAGCCCCCCTTGTGCTTGGGTTGACAAGTACGTATGTATGTATGCCGAGACCCGGTCCCCCGCCTTGAGCGGGGTATATCCTGGTGGTTTGGATCTTCCCGGCCCGCGCGCGCGCGCGCGCTCTCGTGTGCTCTAGAGAATATGTGGTAGGTGAGGCCGCGGTGTGGGGTTCGCTCGCCTTCTTCCATTAAGACACTGCGGGGGGGGGGGGGGGGGCGGAGAGCATAGACCGGATGCTGGCCATTGCATTGCAGTGGGTAGCGGAAGTCGCGTAGTTGGTAATACCGAATAGCACCCGCAGGGCGAGTGATGCCTCGTGATTGGCCTGTTTGTATGTGCGTCTTTCTTTGTCGCGTTAGATGCCGGTGTGTGCTGCGCTCTGAGGACCCGAAACTTGCGAAGTGGCGGTGAACCCGGGGGCTGCATGATCCCGGCACGGCGGCGGGGGCGGGGGCGGGGGCGGGGGCGGGGGCGGGGCCGTATCATGGATAATCACTCGCCCAACCTGCGAGGAAACGAAGCCGGGTTCTGCGGAACGTTTGGACAGGACAGGACAGAGCGCTCCCCGACCCAAGGTTGCACCGCTCGCGACGGGAAAGCATATATATACATGTATACATGCATGCATGCGAGCAACCCCATGCACGGTCTGTGTGTATGCTGCCGTCCTTCCTTGGCAGGGGAGGAGAACCTTATTTACTGCCGAGATCCGAAGCAGCTAGACTCAGGGCTAAGGCCGTACCCGGTAGAGCAGGGCCGTAGCACAGGCCATCGGTGGAGCCTTGCCTTGATGTGGTGCGTTGGGTTGTTCGGGCTCCGTGGTTGGTCGTGGATTTATATTATGGCTTGTCTTTCTTCTGCCTCGCGGGTCTTGTGGGGTGGGCCGTGGGGTGAATGGAGGGTCTGATAGGTGATGGATGCATCTTAACTTTTCAATGTGTAGGAGGATCGCGCGGACCTCAACCTTCACTATTCGTGATAATCTCAAGCTTTCTGGCGAACCGTGTCATACTATATGTGTAGTGCCCGCCATTCTACGCCATAACAATCACCCTTTGCTTAAATCTATCTTAAGAGTGCCAGTGCTCGCCCACCTTCGCCTTCTTCTTCCTAGCATCCGCCTCTAAGTGTTTACTTTCCTCACCATACCGTCTCCAACATTTATCACAGCTTCGTCTTTCCTGATCCACCACTCAGCCATGGAGAACCGCGACCCCTCCACCCCCCACCTCCCAGACCTCCCCATCCTCATCCTCACCCTCCTCACCATCTCCCTCCTCCTCACCCTTCCCCTCCTCCTCCTCCGCACCCCCACCTCCAGCGCCCCACAAGTCGGCCGCGCCACCGGCCTCTCCAGCCTCTTCAGCCACTACAACTCCGGCCTCCACTGGCTCTCCTCCTCCTCCTCCCTCATCGCCGAAGGCATGTCCCGCCACGGCGCGCACGGCAAGCCCTTCAAGATCCGCAGCTACTCCCGCTGGATCACCTTCCTCACGTCGCCGTCGCAGCTCCTAGAAGCGCGGCAGCTGCCCCTCTCGGTGCTGTCGTACCGCGAGACCGCGGACGAGGCCCTGCAGACGGAGTACACGCTCTGCCGCGGGCTCATGAAGAGCGCCTGGCACATGAAGCCCATCCAGCGGGACCTGACGGCGAAGCTGGCGCGCGCCATGCACGAGGTTCAGGAAGAGGCGGCCGCGGCGTGGGCGGAGAGCGCCGATGTCGGCGCCGGCGCCGGCGCCGGGTGGACGAGGGTGGGCGCGCATAGGGCGATGGTGGATGTTGTTTCGAGGGCGACGAACCGCGTGCTTGTCGGTGCGGAGCTGTGCAGGAGTGGGGAGTACATGGCGGCCGCCACGGCGCTCGCGACAAGGGTTGTGGCCACGGCGGGGCGGCTCGAGATGTTGCCGGTGGTGGTGAGGCCGTGGGCGGCGAGGTGGATGCTCTGGGGGGATGCACGGCTGGAGACGTTTCTGAGGCATACGGGCCCCATATTTGCGGAGCGGAGGCGGCGGCAGGGGACGTGGGGGGAGGGTGAGAAGCCCGATGACGCTTTCCAGTGGATCTTGGAGGCTGCGCCGGCGGGGGCGAGCTTCCGTCATATGGCGTTTACACTGGTCTTTTTGAACCTGGCATCGATCCATACCACGGCGGGCACGCTGACGCAGGTGCTCTTCGACCTGTGCGTGCATCCGCACTACCAGCCGCTGCTCTGTGAGGAGGCCGAGGAGGCCCTCAAGGACGGGCTCTCCAGCAGCGCCCTGGGCAGAATGAAGAGGCTCGACAGTGTCATCCGCGAAACGCTGCGTATGAGCCCTACCAATGTCGCTGTTACTATTCGGAAGGTCCTCGCCGCGCATACGTTCAGCGACGGCACCCGTGTGGGGAGGGGGTCCTGGGTTGCTGAGCCTGTGGTGCACGCTAATGGCTCGAGGGGGTGCTATGATAGGCCGGAGGTCTACGATGGATTTCGGTTCGTGGATATGGCCGGGGGGAGAAATCAGTGCGCGAGCACATCGGTGGAGTTTCTGTCGTGGGGCCACGGCGCGAGTGCGTGCCCGGGAAGGTTCTTCGCGGTTGCGGAGATGAAGATTGTGTTGGCGTATATACTCTGCAACTATGAGATTAGGTTCCAGCCAGGTGTGGTCGAGAGGCCGAAAAGCTCTACGATCGGGATTTTCCAGGTTCCGGATGCAAGTGTGGAGTTGGAGTTGAGAAGGAGGAAGGGGAGGGATGAATAGGTAGTTTTCTTGATATTGGGATCCGGTTTAGACGGCTTGATTTAGGTATGCATTTCTTCATGTACCCTAGGGCCTGGTCAGTTGCAAGGAAGATAGCAACAATTTCATTTCTGCAGCTTTTTAAGTTTTGAGCTACACAATAAAATATTCTTTGGTAGCATGCGGTTGTCTCGAGTGATGTTTCATGACGTTCTGGTGATTGAAGGCACCGCCTGTTATAATGCATGTTATGGCCTTCTCAGCCCCATATTAAACACACGTATGAATATTGTAAAATTTGAGCCGCCTTGATATAAGACAAATACCTTCGATATAACAGCACAACGCTGGAATAAAGCGCCATTAAAACCTCCATCGATCCAAATGACGTTGCACCGTAGTCTTATTTAACAAAGATGTAGAGCCAGCACTTCTAAGCTTTATGAATGAACACTCATGGCCTTCCCTTATCGGTTCCATCCGTATTTCCTAAAGAATGAATTTGGTAATAAATGGCCCTGATAATGTATACTTTATTCTTTGGTTCCAAATGTATAGGTGGTATAATAATTTCCCGAATATTCAGTCCAGAAATCTGGGAGGATAGACAATTGTGCTCATAATGCGTGGCCTTCGTATTCTGAAGATACATATATAATTATGTCGAGTGATGTCTAGCCTGGTGTCTGAGTGCGTGAGTGGGTAAGCAGCATCTTGTCTTATTCGCCCATATAGATAACGCCACTCTTCCAGGTCTGCTGCATTGAGTATATCTTTTTTTGAGCTCTGGATTATTCGCTCCTACATAGTACCAACTCTGCCATAGTATTTGTAGCGCGGAACTTTGGTATCGAAGACCTGATTTACCCTGATATCACGGGTATCTCTGGATCAAGTTGAATCCCTTCGCTCGTTTGACAGGCAGTTTGGACGTTTGACATCTTGCGCAGATGCGTTCAGAATCCATCGCATCTATCACCGCTCTTCTGTAACGCGCATTGAAATGGAGATTAGGTTTCTCGTGGGATCCTCAAGAAAGGTTAAGTCTTGTTAAGATATATTTAATTGTATTGTATTTATCCAAGAGTGGTTAAACTGAGTGACTGATTGCTTCCAACGACCGGTTTTTGCTCGAATCTTCTCCTTGACTCATGTTTTCGTATTCTATCGTCGGTGCTCAGCCCATTTATATAGTTATCTGGGCATAAGTTTATTGATAGCCGGTTTAAAATCAGTATGGTAGATTGCTCGAGATGAAGGGATGTTAAGATCTGATCTCGTTGGGAGTACTGGTGGTACGGTAGATATCTAGATCTTAGCGTTCAGGTGCTGGTTCGTCGATACCGTTCTTTATATCAGAAACGAAATCTCTCCCCTTCCCCTTGTTTTAGGTTTTGTGAATTTTGTGGAGGAATGTTGGTCCGGTCATACAGTTCAATCTTTCTTTCTGTTGCCTGCGGCTGAGTTTAGCGAGTGATCTTCCATGATGTGACACCAACGCTTTAGCGCCACCTCAGACATCCAACTAACAGTCGGCGAGTACCGTGATTACATGTATGTGTTTGTTGCAATAACTAGCGCATCATAATATTTCTTCCCCCGTTGTGAATTATGAACTTAAAGTTATCGCTGCTTCGTCTCTAAGCTGTTTAGATATGTGATTTTCTCTCAATAAGTAGGAAATTCCTAAGGATTGGTGGTGAGGGCCACGCGGTTTTGTGTGTGTGTACCCTTGTAAGAGTTTGTGCAACATATGTGTGCTTTGTGACTCTCGAAGTTACTTTACCCCAGGTTTCTGCTTGGACCAGTGAGGAACATGATCGTGTCGTTTGACCCCGATACAATCGTGCTTTCATCTCTTATACTTTTATTTGTACACACATGAGAGGCTGGCTTGCTGACCGGAATTAAGGCCCATGTGTCCGGTTATGTTGATCTTCCGGCCACAGCCGTGGTTTCCCCTGGTTGAAAAGGTTCGAAATAGTTGTACCCGAGAATGCAACCAGCAAACGCCCCTTGGATACATGATATGATACCTACAGTAGTACGCATATCTTCTGTGCGCACTGGAGTGAGCAAGGGGAGGTTTGTTGTGTGTCCAACAGTAAGTGAGGTTTGTCAGTTTGTTGGATCTGGCTTGGCATGGTTGTAATACCCACATCTTACCAAGCCTGTGGCCCAAGAAGGGGAAGGAAGGAAGGAAGGAAGGAGAAAGTATGTGCGTGTATGCCAAACCTAGTGGCCACGGGCCGCCTGGGAAAAGTATGATGTAGGTACATGTATTCTATTCTATGAGGGGGCGGCGAAAGCTTATTATTACCATGTAGACCGTGCATTTCTCACTTTCTTTCTTCCACAGCTACTTGTATGTACATGTAGTAACGTTCTTCTACCTTGACTTCCTTCTTGTGAGAATATCCTTTTTTTCTTTCTTTCCTTCTCTTGCTGCTGCCGTCACATCTCTGTTCGATACGATACGCCCATCTTTGCGCCTCCCATTCGCTCAATACCTGGCTAGCAAGTAAGATATCAAGGCCCCACTACCTACCTATCTGCCAACCTGCCATCCCACCTATCCATCTACAACCACTGTAGAAGTCAGTTTGCCTACCCCACACACACCAATTTTCAATCGTCAAAACGTCTTCCACGCAGCAGCCACGCGGGCAGCTGGCGTCTTCAGCCTCCACCACGTCGCGGAAACGAAAGCTGGAGGCGGCGGCAGCAGAAGCAGAAGAAGACTGCTCGCCTTCTTTTTCCATCAATAACACCACCACCCCGACTTATTCTTCCTCTTCCTCCTCGCCATCCCCATCCTCTTCGTCTTCGCCTTTTTGTGAAACCTCTCATCCACCGTCGCCTTTCCCATACCCAGAGGCTGCTAGCGGCAACCCCTCCTTCCAGGCACCAGCAATCCCCGTCACCCCCACTACAGCCCCCCCAGCAACCACGAATCTCACTGGTATCACTACCACCTCAACGATAGCCCACGGGGATATTTCAGGTTCGCTTCCCCTGCGTGTGTTCGGTTTAGGTATCTATTTACTCTAGACTTATCCTCTCTACTCTCATACTCTTCTCTTTTTTTTTCTTTCTGCTTGCCACAATACCGCCGCCCCTCCTCCCCCTCATGAACTGGTGCAACTGACCACACAACCACAATCTAACCCTTCTTCATCTTCCACCACAGATATGGATACTGATTCAAGCGACGCGGCAGCTTGCGAGTCATCCGCACCCGCAGAATCGCCCGCTATCCTCCTCCACCCTTCCGCACAAACATCGTCGTCCACCGATACCATTGCTCGGTCCCAATCTCCCGCCAAACGGCTAAAGTCTGAAGAGGCCCCAAATAGGACCCCCGTTCCCCACAGTCTCGAGGACACAGCCGACCCTATGGACGAGGATACCCCGGAAGTAAGGAGAGAGGTCTCCGTGGATATGTCAGATGTGCTCGCTGGCTCATCTGAGATGGCTGCTCCTTCAACAGCTGCAACTTCGATCACTTCGGCTCCTAGGCCCTCAGCTGAGGAGATGTTCAACTTAGTGTTTAAAGCAAAGATAGAAAGCAAGATGGTGGAAGGCGATGTGTGGTACATCATCTCTGGGCCGTGGTTGAACAGGTTCATGCAATCTAATGAAGGTGGCAATTCCTTGTCAAAGGAGGAGGATGAAGGGGAACTAGGTCCGATAGATAATTCGGATCTCGTGGAAGCATCACAGGAGGCAAAGCCCGATCAAAGTATGTCTTCTAGATCACTCAGTTTTGGTTTGTCGTGAGGATCAGCCAACGCTAGCAGAAATGGACATAAATTAACCTGGTGGCTTAGTAGGCAATCTAGATGACGAAGTTTTCGCGTCAGAAGAGTTGGTCCCAATCAAGCCCGGCAATTGTGGAGATGATTTTGAAATTGTTCCGGAGCACGTTTGGGACTCGTTGGTTTCTTGGTATGGCCTTGCTCCAGGTTCGCCAATCATCAAAAGGCGAGTGGTAAATACTTCGGAACCGGGCGACGAACCAAACCTCCAATTTGAATTCTATCCGCCCAAATTTACCGTTTTCAAACTTCGAGACCCTAGTGCAACTATCACGAAAGATAGCTTACAAAATGAGAAGTCTCAATCTCCCAAAGAATTCATCGCAACGAAAGCCGGAAAATATCAGACGTTTCTTCAGAAGGTTAAAAAGCTTGCAGATGTGGAGCCTAGCAGAAAGATTAGATTGTGGAAAGTGCTTGGGAATTTTACAGAAGAAGAGACTGAAACAATCCCACAAGGAGTCAAGAAACCGAATAAAGGGAAAAGCCCGGGAATGTTCGGGAAGCTGATCATAGATTTACAACCATTTTTAGAGTTGCAAGAGGGATCTGAGCGGGAGGTTATAGTCTTCGCAGATTCTTCGAATGACGCAAACTATAACGCCCACCTTCGCGTCAGTACTGCCGGTGTTGGAGCCGGTGGGATTATTGTTGTTGAAGAGCAGAGCTCAGAAGGTGGATGGATTAGCGAGAAAAATGTCAAGTCAGCCATTAAGTTTGGCCAGTCAGTGACAGTTACAAGTTACGGGAAACCCCCTGCTATTACTCCGATATCCAAGAAAAAGACTACATCAAGGAGCTCAAGCCCCTCTGCAAGTAGTGTTAAGAGTTCCCCGTCGAAAGTCACTGTCATCAGGGGGAGGCGAGAGGGAAGGCCACAGGGAAAATGTGGGCTTAGCAACCTCGGAAACACCTGTTACATGAACAGTGCTTTACAGTGCTTGAGGAGCGTGAAGGAACTTTCTCGATATTTTATTTGTATGCCACCTTTCTATCCACTTTATGAAAGATATTATTTACTAATAATCAATCAAAAGCGGATGAATATGAGAAAGAATTAAATCCTGGTAATCCACTTGCGCATCATGGCAAAGTTGCAAAAGCGTATGCAGGTCTACTTAAAAATATTTTTTCACCAACATGCCCTGCATCCTTCGCTCCCAGAGAATTTAAGACGACCATCGGCAGATTTGGGCCATCATTTCAGGGATATGGTCAACAGGATTCCCAGGAATTTCTCGCGTTTCTTCTCGATGGACTGCATGAGGACCTGAACCGTATTCAAAAGAAACCTTATATTGAGAAGCCAGAATCTACAGACGAGATGGTTGGTGATATGGAGGCCATTGCGAAACTTGCATCAGAACACTGGGATATATATAAGAAACGAAACGACTCAGCTGTTGCCGATCTCTTCGGGGGTCTGTACCAAAGTACCCTTGTTTGCCCTGAGTGTGAGAAAGTCAGCATTACATTCGACCCTTTCATGGACTTGACCCTCCCGTTACCTGTAGAGAATGTTTGGTCGAAAGAGATCTTCTTCATCCCAAAGGATGATTCCAAAGGGAAACTGCTTAAAATCCCAGTAGAGATGGACAAGAATGGTAGCATAAAATCTCTTAAGGAATATGTGGGGAAAAAGATGGGGATAGACCCCCGGATGGTGAGTTCTTCTCTCTCTTTCTTTCTTAGGTTGACGGGGAATGCTTTGCTAAAAGTATGAAAACATCAGATCATGGCGTCCGAGGTTTACAAAAACAGATTTTTCAAGCATTATGACGATTCAGCCACTGTTTCTGATCAGATCCAGCATAACGATGACGCCTATCTCTATGAGCTCGACGATATACCTACAAACTGGCCTAGCAAAAATAAAAAGCCCAAGAAATCCCTCTATTACGGCAGTTCTTCAAGTTACCGATTCGAAGAGGAAGAGGAAGAGCCGCAACCAGGCGCCCCAGAAACCGAAAGGTTGCTGGTACCGGTATTTAATAAGGTATACAAAGAAAGCAAATTTAATCGATCGCCGAATCTTGATGGATTTGCCTTCCCTTTCTTTATTGTAGTCAACAGAGAGGAGGCCAAGAATCTTGACACAATTATGTCGAAGATTGTCGAGAAATACCAGCTTTTGACCAGCCGGAATCTTTACGAGCATGTGCAAGAAAGATATGATGACATTGAAGACTACGAGGAAGCGAACGAAGGTGTTGAGGTGAACGAGCAGAAGGAAAAGGTGGCTGGCGATCCTGAGCAAGAGGAGGATGATAGAGATGGATTTGTCAATGTATCCATGAAGGACGCCGGTTCTGTTCAGGATTCAGAAAATGCTGATGAAGCCGAAGGCAGATCTCCCAGGAAGACCATCAGACGTGGCCTTCCAACCGGACTGCAAGAACTTTTCAACGTTAAGGTCAGCAAAAGGAAGTCAGGGGATGCGTCATTGCTTACTGGTTGGCAATCGCTAGATGCTTCTCTTGATATTAGGGAACGACTATTCCCAGATAACCCGCCTACCCCTCCTCCGAGAAAGCCGTCTGTCTTTCCAGCGGGTGGAAACTCGGGAAGGCGTAGTCCAGAAAGTGTCAGTGATGTCGATAATTTTGAAGACGCCCCTGAACCCGAAGGAGATATGATGCAAGATGTTAGTGATGATGAAGAGAACCCTCAATTCGGTCAAAACTCTTTTTCAAGACCACCAATCAATGTTGCTTTTGCGCCAGTAATAGGCTCTGATTTCTATGGCAACAGCAGCGCAAACTCCTCTGTTAAGGCGTTAAAGACGCCTTCAAGAACGCCTAGCCCTACTATACTTGACGAGAGCCCCCTTATTAGATGGGGCGAAGGGCTTATCTGCGAGTGGACTGAATCTGGCTGGGATGCTATCTTCGGGGGAAAGAGTGAAGACGACCTCCGTGGCAGGGCGATGTGGAACGACATGGCGGTTTACAATGACCAAGAGCTCTACAATCGGCGACGACGTCGGGAGGACCGTAAAAACAAGGGTATACATCTTGAGGACTGCTTAGATGAATTTGCAAAGAACGAAGTTCTCTCGGAGGAGGACCCTTGGTATTGTCCACGATGCAAGGTCCATAGGCGAGCCACGAAAAAGTTTGAGCTCTGGAAATGTCCTGATATTCTTGTTATCCATCTCAAACGATTCTCAAGCTCGAGGAACTTCAGAGACAAAATTGATGTTTTGATTGACTGCCCAGTCGAAGGCCTTGATTTATCAAATCGGGTTGGATTGAAAGAAGATGATCATGGATTAATTTATGATCTGATCGCTGTTGACAACCACTATGGTGGATTGGGTGGCGGACATTATACGGCTTATGCCAAGAATTGGATTGACGATAAGTGGTATTACTGTGATGGTTCGTACAACTTTTAATAGTGATTCCTTTTATAGCTATTTTACTTATACTGATAACGGAAATAGATTCGAACGTACGAGAGGTTCTCGACGCTGATAAGGTCATCACACCGGCAGCTTATCTTCTTTTCTATCGTCGCCGCGCTAGTCGTCCATTGGGAGGACCGAACTACGAACGACTTATCAACGCTTTAGAAGGTGCCTCTGAGGACTCAGCTGATGAGACAGGATCTTCACGTGAAGCGTCCCCTAACCGGGCGGGGGAAGGTGGGCTATCCGACGACCGGATCCGCAGGTCGTCGGGCGGTGGAGTCGGTGGATTTTCGACAATTTATTCCGAGGAAGTTGGGAACGGAAATCTCTGGAATAGCCAGCCAAGCTCAACCACCAAAGTGTTCGAAGATGAGCAGCTACCTGCCTATTCCCTCTTGAAGCCTGACGATTCGGAAGAATCAGGCATTGAGATGACCTCATTGCTCACAGTCGAGCCTCAGTCAGTAGAGCTATCATTTACACATACCGAGCTGAGGAACGAGCTTATCAAGGATATGAATGAAAGTGATCCGGAGGCTGAGATTAGTGGTGGCGGGGTCTTCCTTCAGCAAACAGAGCAGGATGATGGAGAGCCTGCCGACATACTAGTTGATGGTGAAGATACGATCACACCAGCCCCTGATCAGGCATCATGATTTTATGTAGAGTAGATTGGGATTTGATTGGTAAAAAGCAATGAATCGTTTTGTTGTTTATATAGCAGGCATGTCTCGTCGCTTGTTCACGGCCAATGTCCAAAGTTTGTTTGAGGGTGTATAGGTATTTCTGTAGAGTATCCATAAAGCGGGGGAAACCGGGGGACCGTCAGCTGCATATCTGGGCTTGTCGGAGATGGTACAGTAGTTATAGGGTTTTCTTATATCATGCGAAACAAGGGTTTTTTTTGTATCCTCAAACGTAATTGCTAAGGGATTTCCAAAAATACCGACTGTCATTCTGATTGATAGAGACCTTAAGAGGGATACACATGGTATGAAAGAGTTCCACATGCCCCTATATATCGTGATTACAAACAAGACATGCCCCTATATATCGTGATTACAAACAAGACATGACTTCTGAATTTCGTTTGCTTCACAACCACGATAGCCATGATAATTTAGTTAAATATGGAGTTTATTCATCAGTGTATCAAACTCCATATCATCCCCTGAGCTGGTGGGACACGCAAATTCCAGGACTCCATATTTCAGTAGTCCCTTCAAGTGGCAAAGTCACTTAGCCTGACACTACCTAGGCCACTAAGCCACGCTGGATTATTCGAGGGGTGGTGACTTGGCTTTACCCCATAAATACCTAATTGAGATTATCATTGGCTCGGTTTCAAACACTCTCAGCCTGTGCTACCAATCTCCCCCACTTAATGTTGTTCTTCAGCCTTGTAGCCAGCACAGCACATAACATTTCTCATAAACCTGGAAGATCCCCGACTTCGAACTAGTTACTTGCAATCTTCAAAGTCGTGGTTAAGAATCTTATAGTTCAAATCGGGTGATTTCACGGGGCCGATACAATGTCGTTATTTAAAAGATGGAAAGGGAAAAAGAAGGAAACAGTAAGGGAAGCTATAGCGGAGGCTGGGTGAGTTTCATACGTTACCTAGTGTTTACGTACTTCCCATTACGTTTTATTAATAAGAACAGTCCCAGCGATACAACGGATCAGAAGTATGGATACCATATTTTACTGGAAGACCCTGAGCATGATAAAGTTGAGTAAGTGGTGATTTCGCTCGAACTCTTTCCAAATAGATTGAACTATGGCCATATGGTCCTGGCTGATATAATATATTATCGAATCAGCATTGTGCTCGTCCATGGCTTAACAGGCGATCGAGTTTCGACATGGACGGCAAAGCCCCAAAAGAATGGAGATAGGGGTGTTTTTTGGCCTTTAGACTTGCTTCCTAAGTCGATCCGTAATGCCCGGATCATGGCTTTTGGCTACGACGCAGATGTAGTGAATTTTTGGAAACCCGCGTCCCAGAACCGCATCTTTGATCATGCAAAGGCGTTATCTGGAGCTCTTGGAAACATAAGGGAGAGTACTGACACTGTAAGTATATATATCGCTTCATCATGGCTGGATTTAGTAACTGAAAGCGAGGATAGATGGAGCGTCCGATAATATTTATTGGACACAGTCTTGGGGGACTAGTCATCGAGGATGTTAGTAAAACCTTGTTACCTTTAGTTTTAATTTACTTAATTCCACGTTTTGTGGACTTGGCTTGCTGATTTATGTTTACTACATGCAAGTGCTTATTGAACTCGAATACCAGTCATGAAGATTACATTAGGGAAATCCTCAGATCCACAGCCGCTATCGCATTCCTTGGTACACCCCACGGCGGTTCAAATCAGGCAGAAATGGCTATTATTGGCGCAAACTTTCTAAAGCTCTTTACAAACCCAAACAAAGACATTCTCAAGTCATTGACATCAGGCTCAGAAGCCCTGGCTAGGATACAGCAAGACTTCCACAGAGTTATAAATGGTCTTCCAGACAGTCGAAAAATAAAAATCACTTGTTTTTACGAAGAGCTTCCTGTCAAAGGCGTTGGCGAGGTAGATTAACTCTGTGCATTGTTTTAATTTCTGTATGTACAACTGACGTAGGTATATCCTTTGATAGATTGTTCCTAAGAACTCTGCAATACTTCCAGCGTATTCGAATTACCCCTTACATGCAAACCATATGGACATGGCGAAATTCAGTGATCCAAAAGATCAAGGATATGTTGCGGTCACGAATGAAATCGGACGATGGATCAGGGAAGAGTTGAAACGAAATAGGACTGCTTCTGGTGCTCTCGGTAGCCAAAGCTATGTAGCAAGTGCCTACGGAGTGGGACAAAGAGCGGAAGAACCGACAAGTGACCGACGGGAATATTCAAATAGTAGGGGTTAGTCAATTCTGAGATGTTTATTAGTTTATTAGAAAAAACATTAAAGTCTAATAAATATAGTCGACCAAGTAAAGAAAGAACTATATTTATCCGACCCAGCATACGACAAGGAAGAAATTGTTGCACACAAAGGAAAACGTTCAGATGGCACTTGCGAATGGATTCTCAACACACCGGAGTATAAATCTTGGTTTAATAACCCAGAATCTTCTCTTCTACACTTATCCGGCAGCCCCGGTAAAGGGAAGACAGTTTTCTCTATTTTCCTGATAGACTGCCTCAACAGCCAATTAAAACCCAACAACACATCCTCGGAAACCCCAGAAGCTATTTTGGTCTATTACTTCTGTGACAATAAAAACAACATTCGAAATACAGCAGTGTGTATTATGAGAGCAGTTCTCTTCCAGATGCTACAAAGACGCCCAGAGCTCCTCAAATATATTGAAAATGACGAAAAATATAAGTTAGGCGGGGCACAACTTTTTGCGTCATTCCTGAATCTTTGGAGAATTTTCTTTGGAATGCTGAAAGATCAAAATATCCCCACGCTGTACATCATTATCGACGGCCTTGATGAATGCGACGAGAGTTCTCGCGCTTTCTTTCTCGGCCATATCAGGACACTTTTTCAAGATCCGAAAGATGTTTCTGTGAAATTTATCATCACTAGTAGGAACTATCCCCTTATCTGCGAAGTTTTGACACGATTCGTCAAAATCGACCTCGACTTGAAAACGGAGAAACTCCAGAACGACGTTTTCCGATTTATCGATTCCGAGATTGAACACCTAAGTCAAGAGAAGCCTTATATGGATATCGAGGAAGTACGAAATACCTTGAAAGCAAAGGCTGATGGTACGTTTCTATGGGTGGCCTTGGTTCTGAAAGAGCTTAGAAAAGATATTACCAGTGAGGCTATCAAAGCCAGGTTAAGGACACTCCCACATGGCTTATATGGTATATATCAGAGACTCCTCGACGAAATCCCTCAATCCTCCCACAAGCACGCAAAGCAAATCCTAATATGGGTCACCTTTGCAAAGCAACCACTCAATATCAAAGGACTAGCTACTGCATTGTCATTCGCCTCAGATCTCCGTCAATCCGCCCATGAGTTCGAACAAACCTTGAAGGATTTTATCAGAGTTTGTAGTTCCTTGGTACATGAGCAGCATGGAATCATCAACCTCGTACATCAGTCTGCTAAAGACTTTATGCTTCAAGAATTTGGTAGAGATACGCAAACCTGGTATCGGTGTCCACCAGGAGAGGTGGAAAAATATCTCACAAAGATATGCTTCAACTATGTGGAGAAAACACCCTTTGGAGTGGGTAATGTCAGCTATTCCACGCAGCCTCAGCTTACCCCATCGTCAAAGGATGATCCATTTCTCTCGTATGCAATCATGTTTTGGACAGCCCATGCCAAACAATCCGTGGAAACTATTGATCAGGTGTTTGACCTCAAAAGCCCGTTCTTTAATCATAATTCCACAGTCCGTAATTTGTGGTTGAAAGCGATACAGGAACCTGCACTCCCGTCGCTGGTGCATATCGCATGCAAGTTCGGAATCACTAGTCTTCTCCGGATGTTGATAGATAGTGGGAGAGATATCAACTCTAAAAACAGCAGGGGAGAGACACCGCTACATCTAGCGGTTGAGGGGGGGGAACTGGCCGCAGTAAGACTTTTATTGGAGACAAAAAAAAAAATCTGGGATCGGAGAAAATTTAATATCAACGTCCAGGATGAAGTCGATCAAACGTCAACGCTACACCGGGGAGTTTTTACTAGACCCGACGCAATAGTCAAGCTATTGCTGAGGCGGAAGCTGGGAGTCGACCCCACGGTAAAGAACGACAAGGGGGAGACCCCGCTGCATTTTGCGGTTCAAGGTGTAAATAATGAGGCAATAGTCAAGCTGCTACTGGAGAAAGGAGTTGACCCTATAGCAAGAGATAATGAAGGAAGGACCCCACTGCATCTTGCAGCTCTAGGCGGAAATGGGGCAATAGTCAAGCTGTTGTTGAAAGAAGGAGTCAACCCTATTGCAAAAGATAACGGAGGAAGAACTCCGCTGCATTTGGCACTTTATAATGAAAAGGGGGCAATAGTCAAGCTGCTGTTGGAGGAAGGAGTCGACCCTATGGTAAAAGATGACAACAAAAGGGCTCCGCTGCATATTGCAGCTCGATATGCAAATGTGGCAATGGTCAAGCTAGTACTGGAGAAAGAGGTCGACCTTATGGAAAAAGATAACAATGGATGTACTCCGCTGCATTACGCGGCTATAGGTGGAAATGTGGCAACAGTCAAACTGCTATTGGAGGAAGGAGTCGACCCTATGGTAAAGGATAACAGAGGATGTACTTCGCTGCATTTAGCGGCTCTAGGTGGAAATGAGGCAATGGTCAAACTGCTATTGGAGAAAGGAGTCGACCCTATGGTAAAAGATAAAATAGGAAATACCCCACTACATCTTACAGCTCTATATGGAAATGAGAAGGCAGCAGTCCAACTGCTATTGGAGAAAGAAGTCGACCCTATGGCAAAAGATAACAGAGGAAATACCCCGCTGCATCTTGCAGCTATAGGCGGCGGAAATGAGGCAACAGTCAAACTGCTATTAGAGAAAGAAGTCGACCCTATGGCAAAAAATATAGAAGGAAAGACTCCGCTACATTTAGCAGCTCGAGGTGGAGATGAGGAAACAGTTAAGCTTCTACTGGAGAAAGGAGTCGACCCTATGGCAAAAGATAACAGAGGAAATACCCCGCTGCATCTTGCAGCTATAGGCGGCGGAAATGAGGCAACAGTCAAACTGCTATTAGAGAAAGAAGTCGACCCTATGGCAAAAAATATAGAAGGAAAGACTCCGCTACATTTAGCAGCTCGAGGTGGAGATGAGGAAACAGTTAAGCTTCTACTGGAGAAAGGAGTCGACCCTATGGCAAAAGATAAAAAAGGGGAGACTCCAGCCAGTCTTTCCGGGTCGAAACATATTATCAAGCTTCTAAGAACGTACGATCGATCATATAAGAGGTAGTTACTGTTCCTGTGAGAATAGTTCGCTGTGTAGGGTTATTCAACGAAGTGTTGGGTCTTTGAACAGGCAAAGTCGTGGATCCGCTTATCCAGATATCCTTGTGTTGATGGTTTCATGCAGTCATGTATTTGGTGGGATTTCTTTTTATATTTTGGTATCAGGTTTTGTTTATGTGTGGGAATTTCGATCCGGAGGGTTAAGTGGTACTTTCTTGTGTTATGCACACGTTAGTCCCCTATTTATACGAATTATGTGATTTCTTTACTCATGACTTTGTTTTTACCTGTTGCTCTACAATGATAGCTCTTTCTTTTCTTCAATTGTATGCATTTATAATGACTACTACCGCGAGGTCAAAAAACACATATATCACCCCCACAAACGGTGATTCGGCAAATGGGTCCCTCGACGTGCCCTTGGGGTATGTCTTTGTGGAATACATGTGTACTAGTTATGTCTTTTCTATACTCATATAGTCGTCAGAATACCGCACTGTCGAAAAACGGATGCACTCCCCCATGTTGCCCACCAAAGGATTAGTAAAATTGAAGAAGAACGACACTTATATCAAGTCAATTTTCGGTATGTTGGGTAGGCGCTAGGATTTCTTTTGGGATGTCGTTACTTTCATCTCTTAGCTAGCAGCGCACGTGTTTTCTCGGCAGGCCTTGGCGCGGGGCTACATCGGAGTTATTTTTTTTCAAAACTCGATTCTCGAATTTTCCTTTTCACCTTGGACCTGTTCGGGGCGCATCATTAACCCTTTTGCCCTTTGCCCTTTAACTGATGATGCCCGGGATGCACATGACAGCTGAGGTCATCCCGCGTCACATCTGACAGGCAAGACAACCGCGAGCCAAGAGATCTAGATCACAAACCCTCACTCGCCGGCCTGCGTCTGATCCCCAGCGGAGGTAACGGCGATAGCGCCGGCAAGAGGAGATAACTATTAGTCAGTTGCTCGCGCCCGCCAAAATAAATAGAAGCGCCTCTCTCCTGCCCCTCGTTTCCGAATAAAGCACATATCTCCATATACCCATTGCCTACAATACGTATATACCCGTATAACTTATAAGCCATGCCTCATCCTGTGTTCGCCGCGTCAAACATCGCCGTCATCACCGGCGCTGCCTCTGGGATTGGACTGGCGATTGCGCGCCTGTGTGCGGCGCATAACCTCAAGATGGTGCTGACGGACATCAATGGCCCGCTGCTGCAGGAGGCCGTTGGTACCCTTGGTGCGCCGAAGGAGAATGTCGAGACTGTCACTATGGATGTCGGGGATCGGGGCGCGTGGGCGAGCGTCAAGGAGAAGGTTGATCAGAAGTTTGGCGGGAAGGTCGACTTTTTGGTCCTGAATGCGGGGGTGGGGCCGAAGACGAACTGGGAGGATGTGGACAGCTTTAAGAAGGTGAGTTTTGCGTTTTCAGTTTCTTCTTACTGTGTGGTTGGTGGTGGTGGGAATGTGCTGATGGGGGTTGGTGGGTAGCTGTATAACACCAATATCTTCGGTGTCTTGAACGGAATTGCGGAGTTCCTCCCAACGCTCAAGAAGAACTCGACCCCGAGCTCAATCGTCATCCTCGGCAGTAAGTCCCCACCCATCCAAGCTACCCCGCAGCTCGATACTAACCATCCCATGCAGGCAAGCAAGGAATCACCAACCCCCCCTCCAACCCCGGCTACAACTCGTCCAAGTCCGCCGTCAAGACGCTCACCGAGCACCTCTCCTTCGACCTCAAGGAGACGCCCATCTCCGTGCACCTCCTTGTCCCCGGCTGGACCTACACCGGCATGACCGGCGCCGGCAAGGCCGACAAGCCTGCAGGCGCCTGGACAGCCGACCAGGTCGCCGAGCGCCTGGCGAGCAAGATGGAGAAGGGGGAGTTCTATGTGGTCTGCCCGGACAATGACGTCACGGAGGAGATGGACAGGAAGAGGATTGCGTGGGCGGTGGGGGATGTCATTGAGGGCAGGCCGGCGCTGAGTAGGTGGAGGGGCGGCGAGTGGGGGGAGAAGCATAAGGCTTTCATGGAGGGGAACTAGTTGGGCGTTGTTTGGTTGGTTTTATATGTAGTTGGGAGGATGGCTACACTTGGCTAGGCCTCGTTGGTAGTAATTATTAGTTGTGACCAATCAGCGCGTGCGGTGGATGTGTTAGTGTGATGTGCCCTGTGGAACCCTGAGCGAGCCTCTGGATCTAACCTCGTTCTCTAAACCGGAAGATCAGGCGAGAGGGCATATTCGTCTGTCCATTCGCGGATCCATATAGCCACTCATGTATCTGAACAAGACATCTGCTCCCCCAGAGTCAGCCCAGGTTACTTTGCCATCTTAGGTTAGAGATGGTATCAAAAAAAAAAAAAAAGAAAGAAAGAAAGAGTAATCCTTCATCTTGCCCTCCCTGGCCGCTGGAGTACGGTGGATTAATTGATCGACGGTGGTGATATGGGCGGAAGTAGGGGCTTGCGAACAGAAGAGAAGAGGAGACAGCAGAGAAGAAGAGACAGCAGAGAGAAGAGGGAAGAGAAGAAGAGAAGAGAGAGCAAACTCCTTTTGGTCACATGGTGGGAGCGAACCTTAATTCTGCCACTTCCGAGATCCTGAAGAAGTATTTCAACTGACAATGTGGAGGGCGAGGTCTCATTGATTAGTATTCCACATCCGGCCCTGACCATGGGGGAGATTAATTGGCCAAATAATGAGCGAGAAGTAGTCGTCCCCAACCCCCCTGCTTCCATCCTTCCAGGCGAGAGCAGCTTGCTACTAAGTAGGGGATGGATTGGTACGAGACTAGGCGAGAAGCTAAGATAGTTCGATCAATCTGCGATTGTAGGCCGGCCAGAGAGAGCTCTGATCGATATCACACATACCCCACACTAAGGCCCTCAGGCCCCTCAAAAAAAAAAAAAAAAGAATGGGCAATAAATACACAAAAAGTAATGCTGTGACCATACGCCCCTCACGGACTATAGGCCCTAATTCGCGGAAGGACCCTGAGATCAACTACCCGGTATATCGGACTCTACTCGCTGTTACATGCCGTACACCTCACTGGCTACCCTCTTGTTATATAGAGATACGTGTTCTGTAAGGTGGTCTTAGTAATGGTATCCACAGTCTAGCTTAACTAGACGTGTCATCTAGATCTTTGTATGTGTAAATTGATAGGCTCTTAACCTCCTTCGTAATAGAATCGCCCATCCTATTACTTATCGTGTCTTACTACATATATCGTGTCTTACTACATATATGCCCCGTCCTCTTCCTCCGCCTCTCTCCATTATATTCTGCTCTTTCATTAAAAACGAGACATGTGTGCAGTGTTCTGTCACACAAAATACATCTTACTTGGGATGATGATGATCATCCTCATGTACGTCGCTAGTACAAGTACAGTACCATGCTGAGACCACCGCCCCGCCCCTCGATCCCCACCTTATCCATGATATCGATTTACCCCCCGGCCATGGATCGCGGCGGTCTTTGCCTCAGTCGTCGTAAGCGCGTAGCAAGCCAGTGGTTGTGCGTTCACTACATGTATCTAAGATACCAACTAAATGTACCTACCTACTAGTAGCTAGGGCTTCTCCCCTTATCCGTCCTCTCAAGCGCCAAGAACAAGATGACAGAAAAAAGCTGAAAGATAATCATTCACCCCCCCACCTCCAGCCTCCCCGTCCCCCCCCCACACAACACCCAGCAAAGAACAACGAGTGATACCTCATGACACGATCACCGATGAGGGGCAGTTTAGTAGAATATGTGTTAGTTTTGAGATGCTATAAAGTTAAGCTGCGGCACCGACTTAATTCAATCATCATCACTCTCATCTTCCTTTATTCGAGCATTAAGAGCAATATAGCCTACACCTCAGATCCCATGATCAGATAGCGAACCCTCGATCACCAACAGCCTGAAACCGATCAATCCATGACGTCGGTTGAATTTCTCTGCAACTACCATATATACATTTGTGTGAGTTTACTTTGTACCCCCAATCTCTCTCTAGCTCTCTGCAAGTAATGGCAATGAAAGAAGGACATGTACAAGGAAACTGTTGATAACGCCCCGACGCACTGTCTAGTAGTAACCCCATGAGGAAAAAAAGGAAAATGAAGGAAAAAAATGAAGGAAAGACGAAGGAAAGAGGAGAGATGTGACGACCAACCGACTAACCAACATACATAGCACGGGATACCGGACAGGACAAGATGGGATAGGATAGGATAGGATAGGACAATCGATGGTAGGAGAGGATGGTAAGAACAGATTATGAACCCACCCCGAAGAGCCACAGGTACCCGCTTTACTAACTACCTGCTCACCGAGACCACCAGAGCCCATCAGAGCCAGATCCAGAGCCTACAAAAAAAAAAAAAAAAAAAAAAAAAAAATACTACAGTAACCGGGTCCACCATTAGGGCCCACTATTCATTTTATCTATCCCCCCTCTTCCTTCTATCCTGCTTTACAAAAGCGCCTTACTCCCCACACTCCACACCCCCGCCGCACCCCCCACCATCATCGCACTCAACGCCATCGGCTTCAGCCCGCTCGTACTCTTAAACACGGCCCCCGCCAGCGCCCCCGCCAGCACACTGTTCGCCGTATCATGCTTGCCCCTAACACTTCCGATCGCCGAATTGATCCCATTGTACACAAGCGCCAGCACGCCCCCAGAGTTTCCGAGAAACGGCCCACGCCGCGTCATGCCATTGAGCACATAGTTGAGCTTCAACCTCGGGGGCGCGGCAGCAGGCGCCTTCTTGAGCCCCTCCATGAGCCCCCACATGCCACCAGCGGACAGGCCGAGGAGGTAGACTGTGCCCGTGCCGTAGCAGAGGTCGTCGGACCAGCCGCGGGAGGGGAGGGCAGACGCGGAGAGCGGTGAAAGCGCGGTCTCGTCGAGGTCCAGGTAGGAGAGGGTTGATGAGAGGCCGGCGAGGGGGTGCAGCAGGGTGGGGTCGAGGGAAGCGGGGGTGAGGAAGGAGGAGACGTCGCTGGAGGTGCTGGGGTCGAAGGCGGGGGCGGCGGGGGAGCTGGTGAAGGAGGTGGTGGGCGCGATGTCGCCGGAGTCGGAGGGGTGGGAGGTGCTGGGGGAGGAGGAGGAGGAGGGGGCGGACGCGGGGGTGGATTTGCGCCCGGTGATGGCGTCCCAGATTGATGCCATTGTGCTGGTGGGTGGTGTATTAGATAGATGTAGATATGGAATTGACTGATTTCTCAGCTGGCTTTTTTCTATCTGCCGAAGAGAGAGTGGGAGTGGCTCTATATCTCGTAGTTGTCGCTGCAAGTGAGTGGTGGTGGTGGCGATGGAGAAGATGTTGGTTGGGATGGTCGATGACAGGCCCTTCTTCTTCTTGCTCTCGTTCGTCGTTCGTCGTCAGTAGATCTTCTCGGCCAGCTGCGTCGTCGTCGTGCTCGCTCGGGGTCGGGCGAAAGAAAAAAAAAATCCCTTCACCCGGAAACGGCCGCCAAGCATTATTCATGCGGCTCTGTTACCCTGCTCTCTCTGTCTGCCCGTTCCCTCGTTCCATGCACGCCGCAGAAGAGCAGAAGAGCAGCAGAGCAGAAGAGCAGTAGAATTCACCCCGCCAGACACCGCAGCAGCAGCTGCAGAACGAGCAATTCGATGGCCGCAGAAACGACGAAGGCTCTGCGAGAGCTGATAGACCACCACCAGCAGCCACAGGATCATGCACCGCTGAGTGAAGACGTGCTGAGGAGTGTGCGCGCCGTGCTGATCAAGAAGCCGCAGCCGGGCGTCGCAGCAGCCACAGGCACAGACACAGACACAGGCACAGGCACAGACACAGGCACAGGCACAGGCACAGGCACAAGCACAGGCACAAGCACAGAAGCTGAAAAAGACGTCAAGTACATCATTACCCCTCACAACCTCTCACTCCCCACAAAAAATAGAAAATAAACTAACAACCCCCCCCCCCACAGCACCCCCGACCCCTCCATCTTCAACACCCTCCTCCACACCGCCCAAACCCCAACCCTCACGCAGCCCCACCGCGCCCTCGTCTGCGACGTCCTCAGCACCTACCTCATCCGCACGCGCACACCGCCGCACCTCCCCCTCCCCTCCCCGCCGTCCCAATGGCCGCACGCCGCAGCAGCAGTCGTGGTCGCCCACTTCGACGACGCGGGGTCCGCGCTCTCGAAGGCGCTCAAGGACCTCCTCGCCAACGTCCTCGCCGCGCACCCCGCGCCGCGCCCGTTCGCGGAGCACCTGGCGGCAAAGCTGCTGGTCGCCGTGAAGGAGGGCAAGGGTGGGAAGGTGGGCTATTATGTGCTGGAGACGCTGCTGAGGAGGCGCTTGGTGACGGGGGGGTTTGTGCTTGGTGCGTTTCCTGGGGAGGAGGGGTTGGTGGGTGTGTTGCTGGGTGGTGTTAGGGACCGCACGCTGTCGCCGGTGATTGGGAAGGCGCTGGTGGCGCTGCTGGGGGCGAGGAGGGGCGAGGTGGCGGCTGAGGAGGGGTGGGTGGGGGAGTGGAGTGGGGCGCTGAGGAGGGCGATGGGGGAGGAGGACCTGAGGGGGAATGTGCAGACGTATGTGCTGCCGGGGCTGTTTAAGCTGTCGCCTGCTGGGTTTAGAGGTTTCGTGGAAGGGCTGGGGTTGGCAAGGTATTGTGGCGGCGGGGAGGAGGAGAGCGTGGTGGTCATGGAGGTTGAGGGTGATGAGAGTGAGAAGAGGGAGTTGATGAGTCTGCTTTGCTGCCTGAAGGTGGGGAAGGATCTTGGGTATGTGTCTGAAGAAACCGACGCCGACGCTCCAGAAGGTGCCAAAAAGAACACAAGTACTCCCCCCCCCCCTTTTCCCCCTCCGTCTCAATCACAACTAATCACTCGCCCACAGAATCCTCCACAGATACAACCAAGATCACCGTCCCCACATCATTCACCGCCCCCCTCCTCTCGCACCCGCACCCCCACCTCCGCCTCGCCGCGTTCACGCTCCTCACCCACTCCCCCTCCCCCACAACGCCGCTCCCGTCCTCCTCCCTCGCAGCCATCAAAGCCGCCCTGCCCCACCTGCACACCGAGACCGACGCCGAGGTACGCAACCTCACCACCCAGGCCATCCGCACCCTCCTCGAGCGCCTCGCCGCCTCCTCCTACCACCTCACCAAGCTCGCCACATCCACGCACCCCACGCACCCCTCCGCGGCAGCCAAGATCACAGAGATAAGTCACTTCGTGCAATGGTACACCCACCACCACCTAACCACGCAGCTGTCGCCCTCCGCATCCTACCAGCGCACCACAACGGCGCTGAAGCTGCTGACTACACTCCTCCTCTCGGGCCTTGGCTCCGCCGCCCCCTCCGCCGGCCCGAAGAAACACCTCAATTGGCCGCCCGCCATCACGGCCTCCACGGTAATCTTTACGCCCGCGATGCGCCGCGCGCTGGGGGACGCGCTGTTTAACCCGTTCGACGACGTGCGTGCGATGGCGGCGGATGTGTTGCTGCTTGCGCCGCCGGACCGTGGGGCCGTGGAGGCCCTGTTCGCTAAGGGCGTGATGCGCGTGAATGCGAGTGGGCGCGAGAGGGATGCGGATGGCGTGGCGAGGGTTGTTGTGCTGCTGTTTGAAGCCTCCCCAGCCGGTGAAGGGGGGGAGGTGGTGGAGAGGGTGCTGGGTATGCTGGAGGGCTGTCTGGATGTTGCGCGGCGGGACTTTGGCGCGGCGGTGCGCGGGCGGCCGGTGCATGGGTTGCTGGCGGGGCTGCGGATGGTGTTTGAGCGGCGTGGGGTGTGGGAGCGCGGGACGGTGGGGAGGGGCGTGGTGGAGAGGGTGTTGAAGGCGTGTGCGGAGGTGTGGGCGGTGGTGAGGGGGGTGCTGTGTGTGGATAGTCCGGAGGGGTGTGTGGCGGGGGTGGGCGAGGAGGAGGAGGATGAGGAGGTGAATAGTCAGACGGTTATGAGCTATTCGTGGAGGGCCGTGAAGGAGGCGAGGTTTGTTGGGCCCTTTTCCTTGTGTTTTAGTTCTTGGTTTCTTTCTCTTATTTTTTTGATGAGCACTTGCTGTGGGGTGGTTATCGTTGGCCCTGTTTTAGAGGGTTAGGCTTTTGTCGCACGAGTGATCATTACCCTTTCTGCTTGCATCATGAGATATCACTCCACCCCTTCCCGATTTCATGACGTCAGATCATTGGCCCTACTCACAACCCTACATATACATACCATCCTACTATCTCTCACTCCTCCAACAGAACCATAAACACTCACTAACCCGCGCCAGCTCCCTTCTCGCCACCCTCCTCTCCCACGCCCCCTACGACCCCACATCCCCCACCTCCCTCCTCCACCACACCGACTTCCCCCCCGCCGGTGACCTCCTCCTCTCGCAACTCTCCCACATCCGCCACCGCGGCGCCTTCTCCGCCGTCTCCCCCTCCTTCACAACCCTCTGCACCACCTGCATCACCTCCCCCGACCCCACCCTCCACCCCCTCCCCGCCCAATGGCTCTCCTCAAACCTCCACCTCATCACAACCTCCTCCTCCAAAATAACCCGCCGCTCCGCCGGCCTCCCCTACCTCCTCCTCGCCGTCCTCGCCTCCGAGCGCGACCCCTCCCGCCCCCTCCTCCAGTCCACGTTCGCCCACCTGGCGTCCATCGCGGCGCTGCCCGCGCCCGCGACGACCGAAGGCGACAAGATCGACCTCCCGCAGGTGCACGCGCTCAACTGCATCAAGCACCTGTTCACGGACTCGCGGCTGTCGGCCGCCGTGGCGCCGCACCTCGGCGAGGCGCTCGCGCTCGCTGTCGGGTGCTTCGCGGCGCCGGTGTGGGCGCTGCGGAACTGCGGGATTATGCTGTTTACGGCGCTGCTCAACCGGCTGTTTGGCAGCCGGCGGCGGGGCAGGAATGAGGACCGGGGCGCGTTGGATGCGAGGGGGTTTTTTGGCAGGTATCCGAGTGTGAAGACGGTGCTGCTGGGCGGGCTGAAGGGGAATGTGGAGGCGTTGGATGGGGTGGATGTGGGGCTGGTGCAGATGGTGTATCCGGCGCTGTCGCTGGTGGCGCGGTTGGAGTATAGTGATGGGTACGATGAAGAGATGGCGGAGTTTGTTGGCTGCGTGCGGGTGGCGATGGGGTGTCGGGTGTGGAAGGTGCGCGAGATGGCGGCGAGGGCGTATGCGAGCCTTGTTGGCGGGCCTGAGTGGCGTCTTGTTGTGGAGCGGCTGCTGCACGAGGCGGGGAGTCAGGGGATGGGCATGAATGGTGCCCATGGACGGCTGTGTGCGGTGCGGGTGCTGCTAGAGAGAAAGGCCCGCAGGGGAGAGGATTTGACGGCTGTTTGGGCGGCGATGGACGCCGTCTTTGAGGCGCTGGTGGTCGGGAATCGGTGTGCGGTGATCAAGGCCGTGTGTCTGCAGATCATCACGGATCATGGCTTGGTGACTGGCGCGCTGGCGGAGGGTCATGGTGTGTAGCCCCCCCCCCAAAACCTGCGTTTGATCATTACCGGATTTATTATCATTGACCCTGTTTGCTATCGATATGCTAACACACTCCCAGCACTCCGCGAAAAGGTCTTAAGCTACGCCAGCACTGCGGAAATGGCACTCGCAGAGATCAATAATGCCGGCGTCGTCGGTCGCACGCTCTTCAAAACGCATCTGACCGCCTTCATGGTCGCCAAAGCGCTGCACCACCCCACCCCAACAGGCATCACCGAACTGCTCACCCTCCTCTCAGGCGCCGACGAAGAAGCCGCCCTCTCAGCCACCGAGCACCTCCTCTCCTCGCCGCGCCAGCTAGACCTCACCCCGCGCGAAGCCGCGCTCCTCGACGCCACCCTCTGGACCCTCATCACCGAGCACCCCTGGCACCAGCTGCGCACAGCAGCGCTCACCCTCCTCTCCCGCTACGGCACCAGCGACACGGCCCTCGAACCGCACTGGCGCGCCACCCTCGACCTGGCCACAACGCCGCCCACAGAGCCCTGCCAGCACGCGGCCCTCGCGGCCCTCGGCCTCCTCACGGCCCGCATCTGGGCGCACTACCAGCACCTCCCCGACGGGTCCCAGTGGGCCGAATGGGCCCTCGACCAACTGCTCAAACTTGTGACAGCATCAATCCACGAAGACCAGCCGTACCCGGCGCGCGAGGCCGCGCTGGCGGCGCTGAAGGCGCTGGCCCCGGTGCTGCGCTTCGACACGCTGTCGCTGTCGCGGTGGCGGTCGCGGCCCGTGGCGCTGCGCGGCGCGTATCTGGCGCTGTATGAGCTGCTCAACGACGACGACGAGGAGCTGCGCGACGGCGCGGCGGAGGCCGTGTGTAAGCTTCTACCTGGGCCTGGCGGGGCGGTGTCGTACATGCCGCTGCGTGCGGGGGATGCGCTGCTGGAGGCGATGGTGGGCGCGTTTGGTGGCGCGGAGGAGTTCTTTGGCGATGCGGTGGCAAGGGTGGGGGGTGTTGAGGTGGGGGGGGAGCTGGGGAGGTTGCTGGGCGCGGGGACGATCCTGTTTGCGAGGGAGAGGCAGAATTTGTTTGTGGATGGGAGTGTTGAGGCGCGGCGGTGGGGCGGGGTTCTGGCGGCGTTGGAGGTGCAGGGGGAGGGGGGCAGGGACTTTGTGCTGTGGGTTGTGGGGGGGTTGGATGTGTTTGGGAGGGAGGTGCGGGAGAGGGGGCGCGAGGGGGCGTTGGGGTGGTTGGCGGATGAGGAGGTGTTTGTGGTGGGGGTGAGGGTGGTGGAGGGGGTGAGGGTTGTGAGGAGGTGGTGGGAGAGGGGGGAGGTGGAGGATGTGTTGTGGGAGATGGTTGTGAAGGGCGCTGAAGGGCTGGTGGCGGCGTTGGAGGAGGTGGGCGGGCATGAGGGCTTGAAGGGGGCGTTGGGGGAGGTCCTGGATGCGTAGGTGGTGGTGATTATGGTGGTCTTGCTGTATATAGTACTAGATGCATGTTGGATGTAGATCAATAAAATGCCGTTGCTTGCCAGAGGAGAAGTTCTTGATATGGACCATCGCCATATTCATTTGTACGTATGTGATGATAGTAATACGGAAAAGGTCTAAAACGACACAGCTTTCGGTAGACGTGCTCTCAATAACACATGATGCAAGATGTCACAGCCCGCTATGATCCAAAATGAAAAAAATATGGCATTGACATCGAAGGGTTAGGGGTTCCGCTCCATCTTGGCACACCTCCAAGCTCAACTACCACTTCCAGCGCAGCACCCACCATGGGCGAGTGGTCTAGTGGCTAGACTGCTCGCCGGGTTAGACACCGCGTGTTTACCCAGGACACTCACAAGGTCCTGGGTTCAAACCAGGGGTGGGGGTAGCAACGCACAATGGGCAATAAGCCGTTGCAGTACCTTTTGTTCTTTTTTGTCTTTTTTTTTTTTTTTTTTTTTTATAGTTTGTCTTGAAATAAATTAGGAGGCTATTTTGATTTTCAATTTTTCTAGGAGAGGAAGGGGGTGGACTTTCTATTTTGGAGCATAGCGAAACTGTGGCATTTTTTTCATCGTGTGTTATTGCAGAGCACGGATACCGTCTATCTACTTGTAAAGCCTGAGCATATGTACGCATCTCGAGAATATTGCTCTGGCTCTTCTGCTCCGTTGCTCGGATGGCCGGATGATGGGTTAGAGGACACGAACAACGAACGTCGTTGGAAGGTTTGCCTCCCCCGGCCCACTCACCTGTATACGCGGGTCAAAGGGCAGGTCACAGTGGGCACCGTGCCATTGGTAGCTACATGTAGTGTGTCTTCGCCTGTTTCCTTTTGCGTCTTGCTTTCTTTTACTTCTATGGTTGGCCTGCTTTATCTTCATCGTGATACCATCATTCGAGCTTGTCTACTTCACGAACAGCGCTTGGGCGCGGCCCTTGTGCAGTGATTCGCATAGGACCAAAATCAATACTGAATTCCTGTTTCGCTCCCAAATGCCTAGCCCAATACCTATCCCATAGCATTCAAAAGTCTCGTCTACTGACTCTTGTCGAAATGGAGTTATGCTTGGTGGCGAGTTTTGCCGTATGAGAATCGAACCTTGGAAGAAGGCTGATAACGTCACAGGTTATCACTCGGATGCAGTTACAAAGTGCTGCATGCCAAGACCAAGACAACCACCAAGACGACCACTACCAACTGTGCAGTTACCAGTGATGATGGGGCCCGACTCGTCACAGTGGTGCTCAAGGGCCTTATATAAAGCGCCGAAAATCGTTGTTTGCACGGTAGCATAGTGGCAAATGTGCTTGGGTAGCAGTAAGACTTTAGGGCCAAAGAGGTGAGAGGTTAATTAGAATCTAGCAATATTGGATCAAAGCTTGTTTTTATTTCTATGCTTGTTTTGGCTGCGGGGAGGACCTCCGTTACATTACCGGTAAAGTAAGCTTCAAGTTCAAAAGATGGTATGCTAATTGAGGATTATTAGAATAGGGCTTCTACCGGATATTTACTTGAAGTGCTGTTTTCTTTCTATTTCAGTAGATGGAGGCATCTAGACTCACCTCGAGCAACCGCCCCTAGATGGCGCCAGAAACACCGCCAATACCACCTTTCTATACACAAAAGCATCTATAATAATGCATGCCATAATCCGAACAGCCCACACAGGCTCTACACGCCCCAAAAGCACATACCCACACGCACACCCCACCAACCCGCAATGCCCCTCCTCTCCCTCCCGCTCGAAATCCTCTACACAATCGCCGACACCCTCCCTCCCCAGCCACTCCTCAACCTCCTCCTCTGCAGCCACGCCCTCACGCACCTCCTCCTCCCCCTGCACACCACCCTCCTCGCCACCCACGACAAAGACGGCATCCCCGCGCTCTGCCGCGCCCTCATCACCGGCACCCTCAACCCCACCCTCCTCACCCGCCTCCTCGCCCTCCCCACCCTCACCATCAACACGCGCTACCCCGGCCTCGCAACCCACCGCTTCCCGCACCTCCCCACCCGCGACCCAACCCGGCGGCGGCACTGGTGGTGGACCCCCGGCGCCACAGCGCTATACATGGCTGTGCAGCTGCGCGACGAGCGCCTGGTGCGGCTGCTGCTGTTGCACGGCGCAGACCCCACGATTAAGGCTGGGGGGCGGCGGAAGAACAGCGCGCTGTATGAGGCTGTTGTGCCGCGGGGGGTGGCGGTGGGGGTGAGGTTGGTGCTGGCGAGGTTGTTGCTGGAGGCGGGGGCGGACGCGGCGGATTGGGTGGATAGGAGGGGGGGGAGGAGGCCGCTGCTGCTTGTGGCGGTGGCGAGGGGGGAGGTGGGGATTGTGAGGGTGCTGTTGGAGTATGGGGCGGATGTGGGCGCGAGGGAGGTGGTGGGGGGGAGGGAGAGGGGGGTGTGGGAGGTGGGGATTAGGTCGGGGGTTATGAGGAGGGTTGTGAGGGAGGCGTGGGTGGGTTGTGGGCTGTTGGGGGTGGGGGAGGGTGGTGGTGGGGAGGGTGGGGGGTAGGATATTTGTTTGTTAGATATTTCTAGATATAAATATATATACATTATCCGTTATGAAATAGAATATATAGGTTTAATTAACCCAGTCCTACCCTGTAGCAGTTGGGATTTCATGAACCAAGGTGTGTGTATTAGTCCAATAACACTTAAACAGCTTCCGATAATTAATGCTTCACAAGAACGACCTTCCATAGCACTACATGTAGATACTTTATTAAGCCCCGACAAGCATTGAGACCATCGAGTGATAGTACATGACGCCAACCACCCCCCGGCATGCACACCTGTCACCACCAACCTTTCCAGCATCTCAAACATAGTACTTACTCTCTCTTGTCCCGCCTCCTCAGGCCTTGTCTTGTTTTGTCAAAAGTCTCGAAACTTACTTCTCTTTCTCATGCCCATCACCCAGATACATATGTTCTAATGAAGACAGCTAGAAGGAAAGTGATCTTTACCATCTCCCAGCACCCATTCCTTCCAGCTCCATTAACATTGTGCTAATGTACTCGTGTGGAAACAAGTGCGATGGCGAGGAAGCAGATTAAGCTACATTTTTTTGCCCTTAGTCTTATCGAGTGGAGGAAGAGAAATATTTACCCGTCAATAAAAAAAAAAAAAAAAGAACAAAAAGTTCGCAACACTGCCTCAGCCTCGGTTGCTACATCTTTTCTACGTCCGGTCCGGGGGTTGAACGCTCTCAGGTTCGGTACAGAGTGTGACCTCTATACCGCTGGGCCATTCAACCCATATTCACCATGGTTCCTTTGGTGGTATTAGGTGAATGGGGGGCTCGGACGCTAGCTTGGCAATGCTTCATTGGGATAGCCCGGACCCGGGGTGGCTTCTACACTAACATACTACGCGCGTATACGTAAGGTGTACGTTCTAGTGCCCAACGCCCCTACACCTTTGCCAAAAAGAACGCGCTCCGTCTTTCTCACTCACCATGTCAGCCTGTGGTAATCACATAATAATCACCCTAAGGGTTAGGTATAGCACTGAGGATACTGTATGTCATACGTGGATAGAGAACACCCTAGCTTAGCTGTCATGCAGTTCAAGAGAAGAGGACTAATCCCTCTTCTCTCATCATCATCAATACAAGTAACTGATAATCAACCTCCGAAGGTACTTCACAGCCCACCTGGCAACGAATGCCTGCCTGGAAGTTCAGAGGCAAAAAATTCAAAAGCCTCCAGGAGCGGGTAGACGGATTGAACAGCACGGAACGAAAAACACCACCAGATGGCTCGGGATCCGCCAGAAACTCAAATCTCATCAACGCCAAGATCCGCTAAAACCCTGACCCATTGTGTGTAGTCGAGTGATAATCCGTGGATGCAGATCTCTTCATGAGATATAGAGTATGGGGCCATTCACGGAGGGTGGGACGGAAGTGGGGTGAAGAGGGGTTGGAGTGATTCTCTTTCGCTGCGTAGTGGCTTCTATGTGAGTATGAGACTATGTAGAGTATTTCCTACTGCTTTACCGTTTTGGAGGTAAGAAATGACTGTTTTCTGGGAAGTAGTAGAGTGCTTTAGTATTTCTGCGTATAATTATATGTAGTGGCTACTTACGTATCGGAGATAGACCCGGGTAGCTATGGTGTAGTACTTAGTCGTGTATATGCATGTAGTCTAAGAACGCCGAAACTCGGCTTATAGGTGTTAGTGTCTGTCTAGAATTCGTGAAGTTGAACCATTCTATGCCTTAGTTATTAACGTGTTAAGATCCTGCCGGCGAAAAGGAAACTTCCAGCCATATCGTGGCCAGAAGTCAACCTCAGGAGTACCTGAATGCGTGTCGAAACTATTCCACTTCAATAATTAGCATATCACCTTTAAGACAGCTGGGGGGGCACCAAATAAGGTTTTTCTAAGTCCGATCGTGGAGCACGGCGTCAAGGTTATGGGGTTGGGGCATTGACGGGAATGTATATGTACCCCGACTTCTGCTACCTCTAGTACTTACTGCTATCGAATGTGCATGTATATTACATGTAGTCATTAGATCATTACATGTATGTTACTCGTAGAATACTTTGCTACGAATGAGACCACCTACGTACGTAAATAAAACATACGTGTGTTCTACCTCATGCATAATTAACAACATACTCGTCGTGATCATGAGTATTCAGGCTCCAACCCCTCCCTAGTACCGGGTGCTTGTTGTTTTTTGCGATCTTTGCTATCTGTTATTAGTACTATGTCAAGACAACGAGTTTGGTTGTCTTGATGATACGACTTTGTTATAAAAGGAGCTTGTTCCTTCTTCTCTTGTTGATACTTTAATTCAATCATACAACTCGATTCTCTTCCGTCTCTTATAAATTCGCGACCCGATCAACAGTGCTTATATAAAGCTATGCGAGTGTTTTTCTCCGGGGAGGCTATGATTCTCGAGTGACATTCGATGATCCACGCGATCCTCTAGGCGGGATATCACCCGTAAGACAAAAACAAGCTTCCGATGTGATCGATCGCTATATGGTCCTAACGCCCTAGTATACTGCTATCCACCAAAAGTTCAAGACGGACGAGCGCTGGAACGTAAACCCAACCCTACCTCATCGATCAACGCTAGACCTGTGCTTACAAGAGCAGTATAGCTATGATACCTGTCAATGACGCAGCTTAATAGGCGGGTAAGGAAAGCAAATCACGGACCCTACCATATTAAAATTCCACATTCGAGAGTTTAGGATAAACATTGATCCTACATGTACCTACATAACCTTCTCCCCAAACTCCACGCCCATTGAAATACCCCAGAAACTCACACCAGGCCATACCCCACGCAACCAGCCAGTCAGCGTGGGGGTCATACACGAACCCGAAACGACATCAACAAATCCACCAGCCAATACCTACCAGCCCCAACCACAATTACAAAGCACATCAGCCAGCCAGCCAGCCACATGCAAAACCCCAAACCCAAACTCACCATCCCCCCCCATGCCAATACCCAATATCCACCATTGCATAGGTACAATTAATGAAGTAATCAATCAATCAAACCCAATATCCCGTCCGGCCAGCCGATCTGAAACACCCCAATCTCGCAACCCGCCAATAGGCGCGCCAGCCACCAACAGAGTGTACTCGCGACAGGCATGAAGTGCCCGAATATGCAGCTGCAAGTTTTTGGTGTATTTTTGACTTCTAATCCAATGGAAATTGCAGATTAGGACGTGCATTTTCGGGTACTTGTTACCTGCTGCGAGTAATTACGGGCTGAGACATCTCCTGCGCGCGCCGCCAATCTACTCTACAGGCAGACGTCGTGTACCTACATGTTGCATGTCTTTGTCCCGAAATAAATACCCAGTCGCGGATCACGTACCAAGAGTGAGGGCCGGCCGGCCAGTCGGGGGAGCGCTAACCTACTACTCTAACATACTGCCCTACGAAACACCAGAACATCAGCTGTAACGCGGCACGGGGAGGAGTGTGTTGGCCGGTTGGTGGGCTTAATCCAGGCGAAACGCGCCGACGAGGCCGGCGGTCTCGTAAACCACATCGATTCCCCGGCGTGGTGGGTAAGCTAGCACTCGAGTGATACCGCATGACTGAAGGTAGGTTATATTAGCGAGCGGAACAGGTGTCAAGATACGGTTTGATGTGCTATAAAGTCCCGACCTGACCCAATCATCACCACACTCATTTTCGAATTTCCAGCGCCCGAGCATCAACAGCCCCAAACCCAAACCCAAACCCAAACCCAAACCACTCGACGCCCATGCACTGCGCCTCCATTCCGCCGGCCGCCAACCTCCATTCCGCCTCCTCCCAACCTCTGTCTGTACTCCGTGGCCGGCCCCGCTAGATGTCGTTGGTCGCTTATTAATACCGCCAAATAGTTAGTGCTAGTACGGATGCGATTATTAGGGTAACGGCGAACGAGGGGGACGAGTGATGGCTAGAGATGCAACGACGATCAACTGCTAGTTAACTATTTACTGCTGACATAAGCAGTTCTAACATTCACGACTACGAGAGATCAGCGGTAGATTTAAAAGTATGATATGAGGATAACATGCAAGTAAAAAAGCTACATATCTACAAAAGAGACCCCCACTGCCCCTCAGCGGCCCACCAATACAAAGCACAAAAAACGAGAAAATCCCATAACTAACCCCCGCCGTCTAACTAACTTGTAACCCCGGGTATGAAAAACTCCATAGAAATAGAAATTAACAAAAAAGAACAAAAGAAACCCCTTGATAACCCTTTTATAACCACAAAGCCACACCGCAACACTACGCTATCAAAGCCACCAACATCTTCCCATGGTTCCCACTAGTGTCGCCCTTCACCCTCGTGATCAGGTCCGTCCTCTTCGGGAACTCGGCCTTATACGCCGCCTTCACGGCCTCGAGGTGCGCCTTGTCCCAGTGCAGGATCGCAATGCGGTATGTCAGCTCCTCCGTCTTGGTGCCTATAGTTACCACGAACATCAATTAGCTATCGTACCACATATGAAAGTATAACAGAGTATCTGTAGGGTCAACATACCAACGCCCTTCATCGTCCTCTCCAGCATCCGAGCATCCCTCAGCGCCTTATTGTTCGCGCCCTGCACAATATACAGCAACGCATCCTCCATGTGCCCCTTAAACTTCTTCACAATGACGTCCTCCAGCTTCTTCTCCTTCCCCACGCCATACTTCGAATTATACAGCTCCGTGATCCTGCGGATCTGCGCGTCGCTCCTGGTGACCAATATCTCCGCCACCACATGCGCCTCAACGCTGCCCACCATGGCCGTATACAAGTCGACCACATCCTTCTCCACGGCCGCCTCCACCACAGGCGCATTCTCGTCCTGCCTGCGCGCCTCGATCGCATTGCGGAACAGCGCCTCCACGGGCCCGCCCAGCTCGCTCTTGATGCTCTCCACCAGGTGCTTCCCGTGCGCGCGGTAGTACGCCGCCTCGATCGCCCTGACGTCGCCGTTGCGCCGCCCGAGCAGCACCATGTCCATGTACACGCTCTTGTACACCACGCCGCCCATCGCGCGCTTCAGCAGCCACGCGTCGAACGCCAGCGGGCCCAGCACGACGGCGCGCACCACGTCCTGGAAGTCGTTGCTGAGCGCCTTGTCGACCAGGTCGAGCACGCGCACGCCGTTCTTGGTGAGGATGTACTGGCGGATGGACTCGAGCTGCGGCGGCGCCAGGAACGGGAGGATGTGGATGAGGGCCTCCTCGCCGTCGCGGTTGTTGAGCCCGCTGCTGGGCGTGAGGGCTTTCGCGATGACGTCGGCGTCGGGCTGCGGGTTGTAGTGCGGCGGCGCGCACTCGTCGAGGGTGTAGCCGGCGCTGACGGGGTAGGTGATGGTGGGCGTGACGTAGACGGGCTGCTGCCAGGTGGGGTCGTAGTGTGGGGAGTGCGGGGGGTAGCCGTAGGCGGGCTGCTGCTGCGGGGGGTACTGCTGTGGCGGGTAGCCGGCGTATTGCGGGGGGTAGCCGGCGTAGCCTGCCTGCGGGGAGGGGGGGAACTGCTGCTGCTGCTGCGGGGGGTACTGGGGTGGGTTAGTGGCTGATACCGGCGGTGTGGGGGGGGGGGCTGGGGAGGACTTACTTGGTATCCTTGCGGGGCGGCGGGGGGGTAGCCCTGGTAGTAGCCCTGCGGAGAGGGGGGGCCGGGTTGCTGCATGGTGGGGGGGTAGCCGGCTTGCTGGGGGGCGGGTGAATAGCCGGCTAGCTGGGCGTACCCGGGTTGTGGTGAGCCGTGGGGGGGCGCTAGACTGTTACTGGGTGAGGGCGGTGCGCTTCCGTATTGCTGCTGCTGATATGGCCCCTGGGGAGCTGTCAGGTTGAGGGGTGAGGGGGGCCCGCTTCCATATTGCTGTTGCTGGTATGACACCTGTGGTGCGAGGTTACTGGGTGAGGGGGGCCCGCTTCCATATTGCTGCGGCTGCTGATATGGAATTCCTTGCTGCTGCTGCTGGGGCGGCTGTTGTAGTTGCAGTTGCGGCTGCTGCTGCTGCTGTGGAGGAGGTTGTTGAGGCTGCTGCTGAAGTGGTTGCTGCTGTTGGGGAGGTTGCTGCTGCTGCTGCTGCTGCTGGGGTTGTGGGGGCGGCGGGGCCTGTGGATTTACCTGTGTGTTCACCTGCGGCAGTTGCGGTTTGCTTGAGTTAGGGTCCATGCTAACGGTTGATATGTCGTAGTAGTAGTAGATAAGTAGGAGTGGAAATAGCTGATTGGTTGAAGCGGTAGAGGAGTGGCTGTTGATTGGTAGGAGGAGGAGGCTCGAGGAGGGGTAGTAGTAGTAGTGGGGTAGAAGTGGTAGTGGGCAGTAGTTGCAGTACTGTACGTGTGTAGGTAGTAGTAGAAATGGTGGCAAACAAGATCCGTAGTTGAATATATAAGAACTCTCTACCCCCCAAGACAAGACTCATTCAAAGGCGAAGCAGCAACTACTACGCCCTCTCTCTAGAATGCTCTTCTTTATCCTTGTGCGTGTGGGGTGACCGACGGTGAATGAATGAATGAATGAATGCGGCGCCAGGCACACACAACAAACATACTTTCCTTCCCTTCCTTCCTTCCTGGCCCCTACACTCGCATAGCCATATTTGATGATATCATTTGCGCAGGTCCGGTCGCATTTGGATGTAACCTTGTTCTAGCGAGCGATCCCTACAGCACTCAGGCTGTTCCTTTTCCGCATATGGCTGGCTGGCTGGCTGGCTGGCTATGGGTATACACACACACAAACACAAACACACAGCCCTGTACTTTGTGAAGCTACACTGGGTAGAGCAGGATGGAGGTTGAGAGATATTATGACTGAGCGCAAACCGTAACTCAGTTCTTGATAAGGCTGAATCTTAGGGTTGGGTTGGGTTATATCATCACTAACTATCAATCAAAACGGTTTTCCTGCACGAGCGGCCCCGCGGGGGGGCTCATGCCTTGCCTTGCTTGCTTGCTTACACAGCCGCGCATCGCATTCCGGATCCACTGGGTGGTGGTGTCTCACTTGGCCATGCGGACCCGCGTGGTCTGGGAGTGAAGGTGAACTTGAGTGCAGAAATGATAGATAGGCAGACAGCAGACAGGTGATTGACGATAAGAGTCATACCCCTGCCTGCGAGCAAGTGATATAGTAGGGTAGAGGATGTGCTATGTGATGTGGTTTGTGAACTCACTTTTGCAATTGGCTTTTGGCTGTCTACAACTGAGTGTTTGTATCTTCTACTGGTACCTATGTTGTAGAAGTACCAATCTTAACGACTTGAGATGTAGGTGGGCTTTGTTTTTTGTTTCCCTCGCTCTCTCGTTGTTTGAATGTTTGCAGCAACAAGCAAGCCCTCAGCCTTGCCTGCCTGCCCTTCCACTTCCATCCCGACCCCCGACCCCCGACCCCCGACCCCATCCGCCCATCCCCATCCGTACCGTAGCACATACCGCATTCACCTAACTAGTCCGCAAACCACCAACCCTTGAAGCACGGACTTCATCTCCCCTCCCCTCCCCTCCCCTTCCACACCGCCGCATCCACCGCTGCAAGGGATGGGCCTTGCGCAGGAACAGACTCGCAGAGAGATGGACCGTGAGCAGCCTACCTTTCTACTCAAGGGCTAGGTTCGTTTCCCCGACAACTAGAAATATCTTTCCCTCACGTGAACTCCGCAAGCGGGTTGTGATCGGCGGTGATGTGGGTATGATTACCTAATCCACCCATCCACCCCCGTTTCGTTTCTTCGTTTTTTCTTTCCTGCTTGGATCACGAGGGGGGGCCGGGGTCGGCAGACAGCACAGGACTGGTTGGGAATAAACTGCATATGTAGAGGAAAGAAAATGCTTGAATTCAGGGGATGGGTGTCTGTATGTAGGAACCGGCCTTAACTGCTCTTTTACTCAACGTCTGCTTGTGTTTGTCCTCCGCCCGCAATATAAATGATACGGGCGCGTGTTGTGTGCTGTGTGTGGTTGGCTCGCTCGCTCGCTGGGTGAGTGAGTGAGGGTGCCATCATGATCGCGTAGAGTGGGTGGTGGTGTACGTTTGGGAGCAGCGTACAGCACCGATCGAGGGATCGAGAGGAGAGAAGAGAACGAGTTCTGCAAGCAGGCAGGCAGGCAAGCAGGCAAGTTCTGCTTCTGTCTCCTCTGTCTCCTCGATCCCCTCTATCGCTCTATCGTAAATATCGCAGAGCCAACACCACCACAGCACAGCAGGGGGCAGGCAGACAGAGAGCGAGTGGGTAGATGAATCGAAACAACCACCCCCTGACAACCACCAAAAGGCTCCTCCCAGTAAAGCCATAGACAACAAAACAACAGCAGCAGCAGGCAGCCCCGCCAACTCACGACGGACGAACTTCTACCGGCGAACCCGACGTCGACCACCTGGGAACCCGCTAGATATACTACGTCTACGGCCGAATAGCAGCAATCCCCCCCCCCCATCCCCCCCCAATCCCCTCCCCTCCCCTAACCCAGCAATCTATTCCACTCACCGCCGGTCCCTTCCTTGCCCCTTCCCATCGCCCACCTATCGACCAGTCCCTAGGCCAGGCTCTCTCTCACTCTCTCGCTCTCCCAGTCAGTCTCCCCAGTAGCGACGTCGACCGCCGCCGCCGCCGCCGCCGTCACACATACCACCCACCACCCACCCCTCCCCTCCCCTCCCCGCGGAATAGATAGATAAAGCAGCTGCACAGCGATAGGAGGAGACGAGACGAGACGAGACGAGACAAGCCCGTGACCGCCGGGAACGTCGAACGTCGACGTCGTTCGTGGTCCGCCGTCGTCATCTCATCGCCTTAATCCCTTGCTCGTCCGCCGCCCAGGCCCTCTTTCTCTCTTCTTGTTGCCGAAACCCTGGGAAAGTGAACTTGACTTAGCTTGGGGGGCAAAACATCTAACTGGGCAACAACCACCCCCGTTACCCATACCAGTAACCACTTCCATCATTTCTCGACACCCACCAACCACCACCACCTCCTCCACCACCACCACCAACCTCCAATACCAGCAACACCGCCGACACCATCAACACCCCCCTCTTACGCTATCGGGGCATCTAGTACAGTACACTGCGCATACATACACCATCACGTATACACGACCATAGTTTCACGATCCTCTAACGAACGACTAGCCTACACATACAACCATACATAATAGACGATAACCCCCCCACCCCCCAACCCCCTTCCCCCCACCCCCCCAAGGATGCCGTCCAAGGACTCCGAATTCGGTGACGTCCAGGAGGCACTCGCCTTCTACAAGTCGCAGATCCACACGCTCGAGTCGGAGCTAGCCGACTTCCAAGCGTCATCGCGGGAGCTCGAGCAGGAGCTCGAAAAGGAGCTCGAGGCTAGCGAGAAGCAGCACCGGGACCTGCGGAACAAGAATGAGGCGTTGCGGTACGAGGTTGATGAGTGGAAGGTACGTCCTGTGTGTGTGTTTGTGTCTGGAATATATAGATTTTTCCACTCCCCTTTTTATATACCAATTTTTCCCCCCAAACAGCCGAATTCCGGGTTTAGCTGACGGGGAGGGGGGGGAACTGTTCAGAGCAAGTACAAGCAGTCGAAAGCCGAGGCCAACTCCGCCCAGAACCTCCTGCAGAAGGAGATCACCACGCTGCGGGAGCAGAACCGGGCCATCCAGCTCAAGCTGCGCGACATCGAGGTGACCAACGACGACTTTGAGCGGCAGGAGCGCATCGTAAAGTCCTCGCTCGAGGACCTGGAGCAGAAGTACAACATGGGCATCGAGCGGGGGGTGATGCTCGAGGAGGAGATCCGCCTGGGCGAGCAGGAGCGCGAGGGGCTGCGGATCGAGGTGCAGCGCCTGAGGGACGAGATATCGGACATGAAGGTCGAGCAGGACATCACGGTGGAGAAGCTCAACAACACGCTCGCCGTGGCGGCGCGGTACGGGAACGGCAGCCTGCACCATGTGCCCCCGCCGAGCCTGCAGTCCCCCATGTCCGAGACATCGTCGTCCGTCACCTCGCATTCGCCCACCACGCCCACAACGGCATCCGCCATGTCCACGTCGACGCCGCAGTCGGACCACTCGCCGACCCCGCCGTCGCCACCCATGTCGGAGATCTCGACCACGACCTCCAGCGCCAACGACCCCTCGCTCACGCCCCGCCCCCGCCACTTCCCCAAGTCGCGCCAGAACCGCGGGCCGTCGTTCAGCACCGCCCTCAACACCGCCATCCCACTGCCGCCCTCACGATCACTCCACCAGATTCGAGGCCTCATCGGGCAGATGCAGCGGCTGGAGCAGCGGGTCCACCACGCCCGCAGCAAGCTCCCTGGCCCCGTCAACAACACCCCGCCAAAGGCACAGACACCGCGCAACTCTGCATCCTTCATCCCAACAAACGGAACAGGCATCATTCTCCGCTCGCCCAAGAAGCACCGCTCGCCCTCCATGACATCATCCGCCACTTCCGGCAGCGACACATTCAGCCGCCCCACCCGCATCTCCTACACCAAGCCCGACCGTCCCGCCTCTCGCGCCGCCGGGCCCATCGAGCGACCAGCGAGCCGGGCAGCCGGCACACTAGACCGGCCCGGCAGCAGGATGGAGCGGCCCGGGGGGCGAAACGGCACGATGATCGAACGCCCAGCCAGCAGGACATCCAATGCATCAGCGACTACCTGCTCCTCCACCGGCCTCTCCGTCCCCGAGCGCCCACCGCACCGCCCCGCAAGCCGCAACTCGGCGCCGCCCCCAACCCGCGCAGCAACAATGGGCCTGGGCACGCACGCCGAGTTCGGCATGGCGGCGTTTGGGAACAGGAGGGACCGTGCAAGTATGGATAGCTATGCCACTAACAACAACAGCAGCAACAAGAGCACAGAACTCCCGCACATCACGCCCACCACACGACGAAACACAGTGGGCAAGGACCTGAGCTTGAATCTGGGGCTGGGCACAAGCGCAATTCCGAAACCCGCGAGCGGGCTGCCGCGGAGGAACTTTGGCGCACGGCGTATCAGTAGCAGTACGGATGGGAGTGACGATGCGGCGCGGTATGGTGGCCATGGACACTTGTTGGGGGCGGGGGGCGCGGCGGTGGGTGGTGGGGTGAGGAGGAAGAAGTTGAGTGGGGTGGGGGAAACTTATTGATTCAGCATTTATTTTTTTTACGTTCTTTGACGACCTCTTTTTTTCTTACTTCGATTTTTTTAAATCTGCTCCCCCCTTTTTGGCCCGGATGTGGAGGTGGATGGAGGAGGAGGAGGAGGAGGAGGGCAAAGGGGGGAGTGGAGGGTGTTGGAATGGGGGATAACGTGTTTTCTGTTTTTCTCTTTTCTCTTTTTTTTAATTGGGGGTTTCCTTTTCTTGCACTTGCATTTGTGTTTTTCCGTCTACGGGGGTTTCTAGGGGACAAGAAGCGGGGAGCCGCATCATCACACACTGTCTGTCTGTCTGTCTGTCTATCAGTCGGGCTTCCATCACCAGTGTGCTTATTATAAGCTCCCCCCTTCTTCTCCCCCACAAGCCCCCCCAGTTTCATATTGGCCATTTCTTTTCCTCACGGGGGCCGGGGTTTCCATGCATGTCGGTCGGTTGGTGCTTCTTTTTTTTACTTTTCCCAACTTATACTTCTTCTTCTGTTAACGGGGGGGGGGGGGGGGGGGTCTTGTCTTGCCTGCTTTACGAGTCTTCTTACTTGTTCTTTCTTTTGTACATTTTCATGGCCAGCCTTTTTTTTACATGTAGCTTTTGGGGAGGGGCGCTATGCTATGTATGTGCGCCGGCCGGGGAGGGGAGGGGAACTAGGGGGAATGGGTACGGGTGGTTTGCTATCATCACCACCACCATCATCATCATCCTGCTACATCATCATAAGCTATCATTTCTCTCCTGAGAGGAGCTTCTTAACTTTTTTTTTTTTTAACTACCTTTTTTTTTATATGGCGGTTTGGCCCCTTTGCTGCTGCTGCTAGATGGATCGATGGATGGATGGATGGATGGCTGCTTTACTACATACATGCATTATGGGTAACTTCAGGTTGTCATTACTAGCTACCACTGCTACTACTACATACTTGTCTTAAGAGAACACACACAACAACATCAACAACAAAACAAAAAAAAGATGTAAACCAAGCAAAAAAAACCTCATGATCACGTACATGTAGTTGATGGTTGTATGGCATGGCATGGCATGGCATGGATGGGCTTGTGTGGTTTTTTGTGTTGTCTGTCTAGTCTCGAGCGAGGGAGGGTGCGTGCTAGCTAGCTAGTGAGTGGGTTTGGCTCGATCTTGGTTGTGTTGTGTTGTGGCGGGGTTTGTATACTACATGGCTACATATATATATAGGGGATGAACTTTGACTTTTGTGGGAGGGGGGTTTGTTTGTCGTTTTTTTTCGTTTTTTTATTTAATATTTGCTGTATTTTTGTATTTTTAGTGTCTGCTTTCTTTTCTTTTTTTTTTTTTTTTCGCGATGCTTGGTATCATAGATCTAACAAGGCAGTAAGTAGAAGGAGCTCGAGAGGCCGCCGGAGGATGAGGGGGCGGGGGGAGCTGCTCGTTGTGAATGAACGCGGCAATGGCTAAAGGTAAAGGAAGGGAAAAAAAATAAATGTTGCAACTACTTAAAACGGCTTTTTTGCACGTGTTGGGCGGCGAGTGAGGGTTTGTGATCGCATCACAGGGTGTGTGGGGTGGTGGGTGGTGGGTGGTGGGTGGTGGGGTGAGGTGCATGAAGTGCATGGATGGCTGGGGTGGGCTGGGGTACGTGAGTCAATGATATCTCATGTAACGTATATAATACAGGCTTGGAATTATATATATGAGTGCTGCTGCTGCTGCCGTTTGGTTTGGCATGTGCTGTGCTCTGAAATGGCCTTTTGGAGGAGGCGGTGTGTGAGCTTTTTGGATTTTGCGGTGGTGGATATATACATGTATATAACCAACCTTCGTGCCTCACGATCGATATGAGAAGATATCAAACAGCTGACGTGACGCACTCATGGCCGGCCGCGGCTGTATATGGTCAACTACATGTACTCTATCTCTATACTAGCTAGTACCGTGCAATATGCCCTTTGCTCAAGGCGAGGTGTGGGTGTCTAGGAGTGCCAAGCCTACCCAAAGTTAATTGTTTGGCTCATTAAGTTGCTACAGTTGAAAACGCTGAACCTCCCAATTGGGGGGGGGGGGGGGGGGGGGTGTACGGTTCCGAAGGTAGTTTAACCGGTTCGGCTCACTCCTGGGCAAGCGGGTTTATAAGATTCAGGGCTTATAACTTGTCTTGGGCCACCGGGTATTTTGTTTTTTGTACTCTCTGGAGTTTGGGGTTTAGAATTGATTGGTTTTTTGTTTTTGTTTCTTGTACTTTGCACTTCTTAGGATTATATATGGGTATCAATTAAGTGTGTAATAATTGTGGAAGGCCTTCCATGGGGGGGTGGGGGTAGCTTCGACCCCCGTCCTTCTCCTTCCGTCAGTAAAGTCGAGTTTGAATACGTATTAGACATACAGTCGACTCTCGTTATAGTGATGCTCGATATAGTGATATTCTTCTTATAAGGATGTCACTTAAGTTGCTGGTCCTAACATTTGCTATGGGGTATTAGTGATATTTTGATAGAACGATATCCTTAGGTATTTAGTAGATGAAGAGAACAAAAACCTAAGGAAAAATGAAAGTAAGAAAGAAAAAGCAAAAAGAAACAGGTTTCCAAGGAAGAGAAGAAAATAATTTCCATAAAAGGAGTGAGTGATCAAGCAACGAAATTAAATTAAATTTTATTCTTCGGTCCAGAAAAAACCTAGCCCTGAACTTCTTATAGTGATAATCTCGTTATAAGGATGCCACTTTCCGGTCCCGACCTCATCACTATAACGAGAGTCGACTGTACATGTATCCAAGCCCCTCGTTGAAATCCATCGTTTCTGAAAAAATAATGGACTTGTTTGATCTCTAGGCCGCAGGGGGATATGTTTCGGCAGTGAAACTTTGTGCAACCTCGGGCATTACATAGACCCTTTAGTCCGTGGAGGAGACAGCTTCGAAGCATGTGATACCACCAAATTATTGAAGTAGTGTGTGCTAGAGTAAGGAGATTTCGCATAAGTTCGGATACCGTGCTTATCGTGGGCGGGGTGAACATGTGGTTGTAGCGGGGAAGAAGCAACCGGCCAGGAATCTTCCTAGGTCTCCTCCCTCCAAAGGCCTCTCCAGGATAGCCAAAAACATATCATATCCCAACAGCAGCCCCCTCCATCGGTGACTCCGGTCTAAAAAAATGTGTGAGACCCTCCTCGAAAAGCTACGTTACCTCCCACTGCAGAGCTAGGAGTCTAGGATCAAAAACAGAATTCATGGAAGTAGGGGCAGAAAGCAAAATGGAGTCGAGGGATAAGGATACATATATTTAGCTTTAAGGTACGGGCTAGATCGGTCGCAGTGATGATTGCATATTATGCAGACCCAATCATCGTATAGATAGGTTGAATTCGGTCAACCTAAAAGACACAGGCTGTTGGATTTCGTTGTGATAAGGAACTGCATGTAAAGTGTGCATGACGCCAGCCCAGGGACCACATATGCAACATGGGCTAGATGTTGTTTGACAGGTATGACAGGTCATCGAGTGGAGACGATCGTCTAAGACACTAGCAGGGACTACAAGTACATGTCTAAAACAGCCCAGGAACCTTCTCCCCAAAACGTCATCTGTCCTTCTTAAGTCTATGTCACTCTTTTCATAACAACTACAATCTTACATTATCGAATACAATCTCATGCGTTCGATCTTTTCATTACTGCTCTTCGTGGATCTGGTGCGTGTGACATCTTATGATTCTTCACAGACCTCAGCTACTAGAGAGTTTTGCCAAACAAAACGCTGGCCAGCGCTGCATCAATTCGCCGATTGATAATAATTCTCCGATTTCAGCGAACATCTAAAATTGAAGTTGATCTATGAACCCTGCTCTCAGGTATCAAGAAAAAGGCTAGCCATATACGGATAGGTAGCGTTCGGGGGTTTGCAGTGAACCGCATGCATCGTCATCGCTGTACAGTTTGTTTTCCTCTGGGATCGAGGGTCTCTTTTCCAGGGTAACGTGCCACATGTGTATATATAAAATTATAAACCCAATAGATTCTTACCCTTTGTGTCTGAAATCTACGAGTACACGGCTATAGGGCAAGCATCCTTTTTATTTATGCCGGTCAGTATACCGGCAGTCCGGAATCATGCTCCCTACCAGGTCATTTCTCCCAGCTAGGTAATGCCAACAAGTGTTATGGGTCAGAGATTCGACTTACGCAATTGATCTCTCAGAATGGGCGGCTAGATGTGCCAGTTTTCTACAAGTTCATGGTAACTTGACCCTTTATGTCGCTAGTCCTAGGCGGAATTAAGGGTTTAAGGGTTCACTAACAGTTAACGTTTACATACATGTATCTATCGCCCCCCCCCAGGGCTTCCTGCTCTGGATCTGGATCACTCAACAACACTCGACATTCCCATCAACTCTTGTTCGAAGATACCCCCCCAAAAAATGTTTTCTACACGCCATCGGCAAGATAAAACGAGCAGAGAGTACTTACATCACTGTCAATGAATTCAATGTGTAACATCAGACTCGGAATAACCCGAAGGTGGCTGGCGATCAGCAACAGGGTTAGTTGGAATATCTCGTCCCGTCTAGATTTCTAGAAAACAAGAAGCAAACAATATTTCTGAGACAACGATCCGCACAACCTTAACGCTTCCCCACGCCTAACCCCCCACTTTTTCAGTGCCCAGGTGGACGCTTGTTTTGGCACGTTTCACTGAGCATGCAATTGATAATTATAATATCAACAATCACGAGCGAACCCAATCTCGATCCTTGTTGGTTCACCAGGCGAAACTGTTTATATCAAGTTAATGTTTCTGGATGATGCACGAACATCTAGAATCACTAGTTGGTTAGGCCTTTTGAAATGTGGTTTTGTCTTTCGAGGCTGTTCTAAAGCAACTCTCGGGCCTTTTTCTTTCTCTCTTGAGGGTTGCCTCAATAATTATTTTATTACAGTTATTTGGAATCTTTATACGAGCTCGAGCATCTAATTGACTCAGGTGAGCAGACACAAATATCCTCTCTGCGTGAGAATACACACCTTATATGCATACAGACTCAGGCTTTTTATTGGTTTGATCTGCGTTTTCCATAAGGATGACTGCCCCATAAGAATATCATTTGCCGTCCTGACCATGTTCTTATAGGGCAAGTTAAGTAAACTACATCATGATATACTAATTGAGTGGGGTCACCTAAGCATTGAGCGCTGCGGGACCCCGGTGTCATTTACGGACGCCTCCGTTACCTCCCTTCTAGAAACCGGATCTTATGCACGGGCCCCAGTCTGGTATGTCTTTTGTGTATAAATTCTCCGGTAGCTGCACCTGACTTTCTTCATATTGCTACTTCCACGTATATATATAGCCGTGGAAAATTAACCTGCGTTTTAATAGATAAAGTCGTCGGTCAATACGACATGCGGTGTTTGCCGAATGTATAGCCTCGCTCGCTCCGTCTTTCCTCTTCCCCCGGGTCTTGTTTTTTTCGTTTGTTCACGAGTCATTTTGTCCCGTCTGTACCAATACAGGATCACCTCGCCCACATCCTCGCATGAGATATTCATACGTAGCTGACAGCTGACATTGTATAATGTGCTGTGCCACGCACATAATCCCTTTCGGTTCCGCCTCTCCTGTTTTCTCTTGATTATTCGAGCCTTGTGCTTCGATCCATCTATTTGTTTTTTGCGAAAGGGGAGCCAGCTGCTTGCTTGATTTGTTTGGAGGGAAACGTTTCTGACTGCATAGAATCTCTCGGGAAGAATGACCCTAAGTTCCGCTGCAACCTGCGAGACCTGCATATACCCCAACATCCTAGGGCCTTAAGAAACGAACTGCTATAACGGCCAGACACATATAAATACCCGTACACGGAACGAAAGGATCGATCAATCACGCCAGATGCATCTGCATAAAGGCTTGCACTTCCCGTGCAGACCTCAACCAAGGAAAACCCGGAGATGATTTCTTCAACAACAAACGACAAAACAAAATAATTAAATCAACAAACATTTGAAGATAACAAACTAGACGACGAGGGGAAATATACCCAAGGGTTTGCATTTGCCACTCTTATGAACCATTGTTTATTCTAAATTTTACTAACTCGGACTAGAATCTTCGATGGAACAACAATCTCCTTTCTTCGACTCCAGACACCCTCGCGGCGAACCAATTCTAAGAGAAGTAAAAAGAATTGGGTAAAAAAATGAAAAACATATGAAAATGAATTAAGGCAAAAACCAAGAACCGTCGACAGGAAACCAAAAAAAAAAGGACATGATACCCTTCATCTTATAATCCATAAGTACACAACTTGCGCCATTACAAGGGTCATCAGGACTCGCATCTCACGGATAATTCAAACACCACCAAGATATCCCAATTATACCAACTGCAAACCTTGACCGCAACTCAGTACCTATCTCGAAGGTGGCGACGGGACCATAATGCCACGATCTCTGATATGCTCCAAAAATTGTTGCTCTTCGGGATCTAGACATAGTTATTAGCGCGGCTAGAACTTATACCTGCACGGTATCTGAAGATTACCTATTTCAACGGGTACAGAGTCTTCTTGCACGATGATTACATCGCTCTTTGCTTCCTCTAAGGATGTCCCGCCTCCATGAGGGTCTTCGGAGGATCTGCCACGTCTACTCCCTCCAACTTTGAAGAGGCTGACACCCAAGCGATAATGTCCGGTTCGGTTTATAACCAGATCAGGGAAAATGACGTAACTACCCTGCTGCCGACTGAGGGGAGCGGCATCTTCATCGGACTCTCCAGGAGCATCATTCAATAGGTCCAAAGACATTGAAAGTCGTCCGGAAAGAAGAAACATGTCGGGTGGCGCTAATGGTGGCGAATTGATGTTCTCACCATAAAGAGTGGCCTGAGCGAAAAGATTGCTTAATTCATCTTCTCCACTTATTTCCTCTCCAGTTTCTGCATCACAGATGTGAACCCGTATCGCCAAAGGCGGATACAGGGGTGCACCAGCCCGGGCAACTCTTGGTGGTTGAACGGCAACTTGAAGAGAATAGCTTCTTCCAGACCCGTCGAGGGAGTGGGTGTTATTGAAACGTCCTGCCATTTCTTCTTCGTCGATGATTGTGGGGGCAGGAGGGTCGATGTGATCTAGGGTGTGAGTCGAGTTACGAGTGTTACGAGTTTCACGAGGGCGGATTCGCCGCCGACTTTGAAGTCTGCTTGCTTCGGCCTCGACTGCTCTGTTTGCGAGTGACTGGGCTGATCCTGGGTTAAGGCGCGCAGATCGACGTAATGGAATTGCTGATGCCTCTACTGGGTGAACCTGCTCGGTGGACTCAGCTAGTTGTACGGTTGACTGGCTTGCTCTGCGGCGACGTCCTGGTCGCTGTTGTTGGTTGTGATTTGCCTGTTGGTCTCGAAGAGATCCGGTTTGACTTCTAGTCCGTCGCACTACTTGACCTCTTCGCATCAGAAAAAAACTCGTTCCACCTACAAAAAAGTATTTCCCACCGTCAGCGCAACATTCCTCGCTGTTTCGAGGATTGCTTGAACGAAATAAAGAACCGATGCTGAAGAACAAAAAAAAAGATTGATAAAAGACAAAGTACAGGAATGATCAGAGCAAGGAAGGTCCTTGGGGACAAATAAATATAACAAAGGATATCACTGAGAAATCTCTCGGAATTAAAGGCTCAGGGCTATCTCTTCCAGTGAAAATGAAGCTCCGAAGCAGCACATCCATGGGCCATTCCTGTCATTATTATATCTTCTGGCAGAAGTGAGGGAGAGCAGTTTTCAAGACCATGAGGAGATGCTACCACCACGATAGTAAGAAACATAACTATCGAACTGGCACTGGGGCGAAAAATGTCCCCAGAAATGCAATGTGCCTTTCCGCTTACTTGTGGGTCTTTCTTTGGAAACACAACCCTCTAAATCTGTCAAACGCACACTTTAAACCTGCGTGTAATCGAAATCAATCTCTTGCAGTAACGGCAACAGGTTATTGTGAGGTCTGTGTTTCCGACTTTGTCGTCGTCGTTTGAGGCATAGACGTCGTCGAAAACTTGCTCTGCGCTGATATAAAAAAAAAAAAGGTACCCCGTTTGGAGGGCATACGCGGGGGCACCTGACAAGAAGCATACCGGCCCGCCATGGGATGTCAATTTAGGAGAAACCCTTGGAAACAAAAGAGCCAGGACCCCTGAATTTAAAATGGTAGTACCGACAGCTTGGTTGGGTCATGGAATTTTCGTCAATCGACTGCAGAACCGAGATGGAAGCCGGAATAATGTGATATACACCACGTTTTCGGTATGGTGAGCAGGGATTTGAACTAAAATCAATATTCAACGTTGGTTGTTGGACGGGCAACGTCTGACAGACCAACCGAAGATATCCAATTGCTCCGGTAGCGGGACTCACATTTGCACGGCCCGCTTGTTATCCGGTAATTGTGAGGCGATATGTCCATGGGCGTCCCATGGGCATTTCCTTTCCGCTTCTCTCGGATGGATAATGACTTGATATGAGCCCTAATATCGCTAGCTATAGCCTAGCTCGTTTCCCCGCGTTCGCTTCAAAACGCTGGATCACGCATGCACGAGAAAAAAGCAAGAGTTCGGAGACAGGAAACCTTGCAACGTCCGACACCACCGATTCACCACCATGGCCAACAAGGCAAGGGGCAGAAAAATAAATAAATAGGAAATAGGTGGAACAAAGACGAAAAGAAAAGAAGAGGGTGAGAAAAATAGAAAATGGTAAGACCTTTCTGGCGTAACCCTCCCAGCTCTCGGACCGCCAAGAGGAGATAGTATCAGGATTGTAGATTAAAAGGCGCTTACTGGCGGAGTCCAGGTTTGGCAGGTATCGTTCCAATGATCAACTGAAAGTGGGAGAAATTCCCAAATCAGGCCGTATGAGCACGCAACCTGTTACAGCCAGTAAGCAATAAGCAACTAAGTACTTCATCGAATACACCTTCGATACCTCTCTCCTGATTCCTAGATGTAGACTGTCCCGTATATCTTCGGGTTGCTAAGACCTGGTAAATGGTTTAAGATATAGGTTCAGTGATCACAATGATAAAAAGACGAGGATAGAAACGTAAGACCGCTCTAGAAACACTGGGAATTTGAATGACACGCTCCAGCTGTAGTGCCCAAGCTAACGATGAGGGGAAATATGTGTCGGGTGGTAGTGCGAGGAGCTTCCGGAGAGAGATAGCTTCCGATGTACCCTGAGAAGAAGCTTATCATCGCTCCACGGATCCAGCTATTTAAGTATGAAAAAACATCGGTTTTATATTCCTATGTAAATAGAGGCATAAGGGACAAGGATGTGAGAAAGAGAGATGAGAGAGACGACGGGTAAACCAAAAGCAGAATCGATATGTAGGTGGCTTGTTGGAGTCATAAGACGCCTAGAATGATTCGATGAATCCTCAAATCACCAGCCCCTCCATAATCAAAATCTCCCCCACCCCGACTTCATCTACAATTGGAGCTACAAGGCCGGCAACATCATGATCATCATATCATCGACATACAGGCAAACAAATGGACTGGACAAGAATCTTTAGTACGTACGTTGTGAACCTCCAACAACCAGCAGCAAACATTCCTCCCTCGTGTTTGGAAACGCCATTCCCGCGCCGTAGAGCTGGGAACCCGACAACCGGGCCCAATTGCCCGCTGCATATGCAAGGTCCCACAAGGTCCCACAATCAGAAGAAAACTTGATGATAGCATCTTGATTCCGCTGATGAGGGAGGGGCTCCCATAAAACGGCTTGAGCCAAAATAAAATATCAAAAAAAAGATACAATATAATCAAAGAAGAAAAAAAATGTTTAATTACATAGGGTAACGCACGACGACGTAACGGCACACCCCACCAGCTGGGTCACCACCCGCAACCTTTCTTTTCTCTGTTTTACGCTGCTTGATGTCTTGAACCTCTACGTTCGTATACAACGTTTTCCCACGCGACTAGCTGCTGATGCGGCCGGGGAAACTAGGATGTATGTAAGCTATCAATGTTTCACTCGCACTCAAGTCTCACACATCCCCCACCAGCTCGCCTTGGCCCGCAACGTCCGTGTGTTCGACATGCTCTAATATGCGATGCTATGCGGGCGACCGCCAGGTTCTAGTACATTCAGTACTGCATGTATTGCTTTCTTTCTTGCTTTCTTGCTTACTCCCAGACTTTTTTCTTATCCTCAGTGAACTTTTTTTGCGCTAGCTAACATACCCTAACGGCGGCATCGAGGATGTGTCAGTTTTCGATCCTGCAAACGGCATTCACGCATTGATCAAAATTAAGTTCTCATCGAGCCTCGTCTCGTATTCTTCCTTCACAATTTGATCAGCTGCTAACGTCGCTGTTGCTGCAGATCAGGGATTAGTTGGAATAATATCCACAACAATCAATCTGTGGTAAATAAATAAAGAGGAGCGGCGAATTATTTGGTGGAAGGGTATTAGGGCCGGATATCACGATCAAATACATCCCCAAAGAATGTAGGCCTATGTACATACTACATACATGATGTATTCCGAAAAGTACTAGTCAGTCTCAAAGATACCGCTTTTTTTGTCCATCACGTCCGGGGATTCGTATTTCTCTCCGTCCAGACGGACAAGTGGAAACCACCAATAATCAGTCTGAAGAAAAGGTTTTTTCGGCCAACCCTTGAGCTGCGATGTAATCTGGTCTGATTTGATACCAGGGAGCCTCCGATACGTCGACGATTGGGGTTCAGCTTCAGCTCATTCAAATCTAGCTGCCACAATATGCAAGGTCATCCCGTAAGTATGATACGGAAGACATACGATAGGTTACATTGGATGCACTATGGAAAATTCATATCACTAAAAAAGGCGTGCCAAATCGAGAACATCTCCAATCATTTATCCCACCACCTAGTGAGGTCGATTCCTCATTTCGTTCATTGGATGGGTCACTTAATCGGTAACCCTTGATCAATAATAAATTATATGAAATTGACCAATCTATAGCAGCAGGAGACGTAAAGCCAAAGTCATGTGTTCTTTTGTGCATTGACCAGGGTTCTCTTTTGGTTGATATGATAAGAATACCCTAAGAGGTAACAGCCATGATAGTTGGGGGGGGGCCTTTTCTACTTGCACATACTAGTGGTGTTAGATCGTTTGCTACCACCCAACCACATCAGTAGCGGAGAAGAATATGAATCCCGAGACAACCGGAAAAACCGCGTGGAAGCCTTGGGATGATTCCAGGTTCACATGCGCTGTAGGCTAGGCATGATTTACTCCAACTGGGTAAGCCATATGTTTAACAAATACGCAGATCATATTCTCTGCCGGATAAGGTGGCATACATAAGGTGCTAAAACCTTAGTTTTAAGCGAAGAATACCGGTGCATATGACGCCTTTAATATATTTCCACTTCTACAAAAACCGATTGTTAGTACCTTGCAATCTCCAACCACTTTACTTCTTTGGATGAAGCGTTATGCAGCAAGGGGAGCACGAGGGATAAATTAACAGAGATGATGATTATTGACTGGTAACGGTTTCGGAAATTAAACACTACCTCCTAGTTGGAAATAGGCACAAACCAACTTTTTCACTTAAAGCACGATACAGGTTTGTAAAGAAATGCTAATGCACTGACGCCTATCAGCTTGATGCGTTGCAATTAATTCGAGAACAAGGCTTGAGCTACGTCCACCTTAAATCCTTGGAAATTGGAGAAAGGACCCTTGAAAGCAGCTGAGCATTGGTAACTAGCTACATATAGCTGCCCAAGTGATACTAATGTGGAGCGAAAGCGTACTGTAGGTATCTCATTATTGCAAAAGCAATAGCTGCTCTCTCATTTCTTTTTATACTTGACCCGGAATTATCCTTGCCTCCCCCTCTCCTCTCCTCAAAGATCCCAGTCCAAAAACATACTTTGCATAAGATTCTCACTCAAAAATTCCAATAACTTTGCGGTTGTTTCTGGCTGTTTTCCATAGGGCGGGGTAATCCGTTCTGCAAGTGAGGCTAATTTTCCAACTTTAGTAAAAACTCTTCCATGGTCCTTTGCCAAAAGCCAAATGTTGGTTACTAGTTTCCGAGTCTACTCTAGGAATATCCTTGATATGTAGCGGATGTAAAAGCTACTGAATCACTTGCTTATTGTGACACCGTCCGGTCCAACATTTCAAAAGTTGATCCACAAAGTGCCGCATTGCTTGCATGGCGCATGTACTAGTTATTTAGCTGCAGATGTCCGGGAGACTGGGTAGAAGGCGCCGGGGTAGAATGTCTGAGCGTCATATAATTCCTTTTGCAAATTATAGATAAAAGCAATTATTCGGAGTTTTCTCCAGTTTGTCGTCTATCTGGTGATACAGAATACCGGGAAGGTCCCAAAAGATCTTCATGCATCCCCTTTTAGCGAATTATTGTTTCAACATCCAAACTTCGTAGTTAAATCTTTTCTCTGAAGTTAAGATCGTTAGGTTTCGACTGGTAGCGAATATCAGATCGGCAGGGGTGACATATTACTTGAATCGGGTTTTATCCCTTCCTTTATAATGATTGATTTGATACTCCAGAAATCATTATGAAGCATCTAAACCTCTATCACAGAAAGGAATGTCCATGCAACACATTGCCTACTGACTTTGGGCCAGAAAACTTGAAGCAATTACCTACCAGCTTCTTTGCGGGTGAAGAAAAATTCCGAAACGAGGATGTATGTATGTACATCAGCGGGCCGTCTCACATTGGCCAAACTCTAGGCCTAAGCCCCTCAGTCGCTTGCGGAAACCAATTCCGACCAAGCCATGATATCCGCCGATTGTACTTCTGACTGTTAGGATGTGGATGCCGAGGATAGTATCAAAAAACTGAGGTAGACTTAGAGATGTGCACGCGGGAGCACGCATATCATCTTTTTAGCTTACTATTTGGTGCCACCAATATGAGTGCATCATATATGTATGTAGTACTTTAAGAATTGTTTGAGACTGGAGTCCAATTAAGTGCACCAATATAGAATCAGTGCAACACCAGAATCAAGGATTAGATAGTGGCTTAGCCCTCGTTTCCGAAAGAGCTAGTTTCGGACCCCCCACCTCTCTGGCAAGGACTTTCTTAATGTGTCCATATCTACCCAAGATCCTGGCAAAACCCCACTGTTTTGGAAAGGTCCCGATAATACGGCCTTGGAGACCTGTCAAACGTCAGCTAAGTAAGTATCAAAATGGACCAGGAGGTCGCCATCATAATCTTCTAAACAACATGAAGACTATCAAGTATCCTAAATAATTGTTAACTGACTAGCGGAAAATGACGCCGGAGTTGCGGATACTGTGGGTGCCGACTGATCCGTGAAATGGAGAGGAAGTACGTAGAGTGTAAAGATCCTAGTTACCTAACATATGAAGTTGCCTAACATATGAGAAGGCGATAGTTGGCATTCTATATCGGATCGCGCAGCCAGAGTGACATTCATTCAAGGCGGAAATCTGATGATAAACGCCTATCATTTCGTTCATATTGTCGGGATATAGCCGACGGTTAGTCTACTCTAGTTGGTAGGATTAAACAACAGAATTGATGCAGGTCTTTCAGTTATCAATATTTCACACATTCTTTACTGGTCTGTTGATGGCTATTATAGTGCATATCACCCCCGAGCCAGTTGACTACTACAGAACCATATCATATTTCCTTATTATTATAGTCCAGATTGGCCTCTCCACGATAAAAGTTTGCATATCCACGTGTCCCCTTATGATATATGGCCGAAAGCGTAATTAAAGTAGAGAAGCCATAGGCTTGCGCTCATGGTTCGTCTCGAGATTCGGCTCAATATAATGGACATTCAGTTAGCCACTATTAGGTGCCAAAATAATGCTCGATGTGCTACATAGATTTATATAATAAATCATGATAAAGCGGTGTGGAGGTCTGTGCCAAGGCCTAGACGAAGAGAGATCTAGAGTGAGCTTCGAAATTCACACTATTTCCGAATATCAGCACTAACACTGATATGTATCGTATATATTACCTGCCGCCTCTGTATAGCTACATGTATCTCGTATCATTAATATGACGGAGTCTCGCTCGGAAGCGTGAATTGCCGTGAATAAATCGAATCTTCACAACTGTTAAATATTAGGTAAATATCAACCATCACATTCCAGATGAATACCTTGGATATTTTACCTTACCTTTATCATGAAGCTCTTCACTATATCTTCGCATATTTTATATTCTTATCCGGTCATGGTTGTGGCAGAGTGGGGGCATATGGGCCCATATGTTCGTGCCCTATAGCTATAGCTACGAATTAAGGAATAGCGCTGATAGCAATGTGTCGAATTGATTGGTCGACTTATCATGATGTATTGGCTGTTTGCGATGTTTTACGCCCGGCACAAGATTTAGAAGGCTCTGAAAGCACAAAATTGCAATATTTGATTAACACAACCAGTAGCAATAATTCAATATGCGTGGAACGTAGTACTTGCAGGCGTTGTGACCAAATTCTTGGCATGTAGGCGTGAGCTCGAGCTCGAACATCATCACAATCTAAGTCTCAAAATTATAATGGTTAATGTTTCCCGGGCCGGATTCATGCTGAATCCAGTGCTTGGTATCCAGAATGGCCACATTCTTTGAGGCGTCGTTCCAGAACGGCTCACCAGTTCCTAGCCCCTTTCCCAATGTTTACCCACCGAAAAATTACGGGGTGTGAAGAAACAAGAGATTCGGCTCCGGGATGAATCATGTGTAATGAGTGTTATGAGTCAGGACCCTTGATCTCTTGGTATAAATAGAGTAATTGCTACGATTCAGCGGGCCAACCGCAAGAGCTTCGCAAATTCGAACACTTCAGCATTGTCTCTCAAGAGAGCACCCATGGTAAGACAAGTATACGTATACAGTGATGACAATTCCAATAATAGTGCGCTGATGATAATGAAGATGATTATTATAATGATGTCGAAGGGTGAAAATTGCGCACATAGAAGACGGTTCTGATAGGTACAAGAGCATATTGTGCGACATTGAGTAGCCGGGTTACATAAACCAGCCCAGGAAAATAAGACCATGTTGTCGTAAGGCATGTCCTTGTTACAGATTACATGTACCTACGGTACCTACATCCAATTACCCTGACGCGATTTTGGGATCTAGACTCTGAATGTAGCCGTTAGCTTCAGATCATCACGTACAAACTTCATGAGGATCAATTTATCCAATAGCCCTCCCCCTAGCGCCTGAAGCTAGAAATCGGTTTTAATATGTTGATCAAGAGTGTAGGTGCTACACCCTCATCTCACCCACGCGCCACTATCGTGCAGCATGCCGATGTGATCACGCATTATCACTCGGGGAAATTATTGCATAACGTACAACCACCCTCAATTATGAGATTCTCCTTCTAGTTACCGAATGCCTCCGCATTTATAGAGAACCCTTACTCTTTTCTCTAGTCCCCGCGATCGTCACCAGGAGCAATGGGCATCTGCGAGACATGCACTCCACAGACACGGCTTAACTGGACCCCACTGCATATCTCTGTTCTAACCAATTTGAGGCCAATGGCTTAAGTTGCGACGGTTCCCAACTCCCCTTGCTCCATACCTCATCACGGACGTGCCCCCACGTGGTGCTCCTGATCGTCAGGTTTCTAATATTCACTCCATTGTCAGCTTCCCCCACTTCAAGGGCTCAAGCTCAAAAAGTTCAGGCTAAATACTTTGTTACCTCTAGCCTCGGTATTGGTAACTATTACTAAGCTAGCCAGCAAAGAAAGTGACATGACTATCAACATTTCGCAATTCCAGATCAAAGTGACACTCGCGTATATATAGTTCTCATGAAACGCCCATAAATTATTCTGCTGTGAAATGTGCTCGTACGGCGCAGATCATGGTATCACCCGTTGGGCTCATCTGTCGGGTTTTTGGCCGCTGGTGTTTTTCGTTGGTGTTTTCCTCCAAGAGTGCAGCGTGACGTTGGAACGGCTACCTGCCCTACCAGGCTGGTTTAGAGTAATGAAACCATATATGTGAGAATATGCCGGCATCCTTGTAATTGCAACCCGCCATATGCATTCCCGCAAAACAACGGATCTCACATCCCCAATTAAGGAAATCTCCCAAGTCCCAGTGACAATCTTTGGCTCCTTGTTATTGCCGTAATTACGCGTCTTTGGGGAAGTTACATCTCAAATCTCTGATGAATCTCCGATTCTGATATATAGATCATGATGGTCGCACCAACAACTACTACTACCACCGCCGCCGCCGCAGCCACGAGTTTACAGCCTTCTCTTGGAGGGGCTTGGCTCGAGCGTTCCCCCCAGATAGCTAGGATAGCGTATCCGTAGTACATTCCCCTTGAACTGGGTCCTGGAATTTGGAGAAAGTAACAAGTTACGTCACTTCAAACTGTTGTGAGCACTCTAGGTTAGCAATAGATGCGATAGCAAGTGGTTTTCCATGGGGTGAAGACGAACACTTACATTTAATAAACAGGGATTATTCATATATCTAAAAACAGCTAAGCTACGAAATCGGCCGGTTTCTACTGATCTGTATTAGTTCAAATCCCCTGTTCGACAAAACCCCGTATTAGACTTCGCTCCGTGAGTAACTGTACCTCCAATTTAGTCATAATATATTCCAATTCTACTTGCTACTAAGTACCGTTGCCTTCAAAGGTAAATGTGTACGTACCTGGTACATACATGTATGTACTTTTCGGAGCCTCGGGGAGAAGAACTCTGCGAGACACGTAGCACAGAAATGTCTTTGTATTATATTTGTTTGATCAGGAGATAGCTTTAGTTGTAATATAAATATGTGCAAGCCATCGTCTAGATCTGGCAGAGCTAGATAATAACCGTTTTAATCACTTTGGAGGTATTCCCTGAGAAATTCGGTTCTTACTGCACAAGCTCGTGGGTATGATAAACGTTTTTTTTTTTTCAAGCGGTCACTCAATTGAGCGCAGTATCATCACAGGCTAGTCAACGCGCGCGAGTGATGGCCTATGAGTATTCACGTAAATCTGACTTCTTTTTTAGTCTGCGCACATTTAAAAGCTTGTCCTATAATTTATCTATCCTTGCCCTTAAACTAGAAATATCTTTACATGATTATGCTAACAGACACAAGAAGAGTCTAACTCAAATATCTGTCAAGAGAGGTAAATGAGGAAACCAGTCTGTCGTATCATGATGGCTTCATCTTGCCTCGAAAAATAATAAGATACAGCCACAAAAGACCTAGAATAATATTATTTGGAAACAGATTCTAATAAGGAAATCCTCTTTCTCGTACGGAAAAGTACAGTCACAACACGCCCCAATCCCTAAGTAATACAAATAGTAGTTCTCAACAAGAATGCGCCAGACAGTTAATAAGAAAAAAGAGCAGAGATAAAATATACATATAACAAGGCAGTTGCGCTCGACCAAACCAATCAACCACTCAATCTCGAGATAAAAGCCAACATACCAATTGAATTCGGAAGAAGATAATAAGAAAAGAAATTACAAACCGCGTAAATTACGTGCTGCCAGCTCCTCCGCTAATCTAGCGTTAATGCCAGCAATCTCGGCAAAGGGTAGATCAATATCCCCAGCCATTGCAGGACCAGCTATTGGAGAAACGCCTGTTATTGCCGGCGGTGTTGCCGTTCCGGCCTCTCCGTGGTTGTGTAACCGTTCACCCGTCAAGTACACCTCATCTCTAATACTCTGTTTCCACGAATCTACGAGTAACTTAAGAGCGTAACCCCCGGCAATAATTAAGAAAATTGCGAATACAACAGGATAGCTGTATCTATATATTTGACTGATGGTTGTTGAAGAGGCGTTTTGTACTTTATTATATATTAGTTCCATTGCACTGGAGGTAGAGAGAGAGAGAGAGAGAGAGATCTTACAGATAGTGTTGACAGCTACAAAGCCCAGGACCAACGGCAATAACAACGCCGCCAGCATGAACCCACCAGCCGGGGCAATAAAACACTTTGTGGCCAATTTCACATCGGGGTCCAGATAGCCCCTCGCCACAACACCTCTGAGTGCTCTAGCCCAAGGACTTTCCGCATCTAGTAATAGCATTCTGCCCATCATCTTAACATAGAGAACACCTAGAGTCCAATCTTGGATGAAGTGTATAACATGCTGCTCCCCACTCGAAAAATATGTGTGGATTGGAATGATGACATAAAACTCAATCATAAGAGCAAATAATGTGGGGAGGACGATAGCGAAGGCAGTGAGAACATATGAGATCTTTGCTGCACGGATGGCCCATGATATTGTTGCCTTACGGAAATACTCGCTATCTTTAGCGCCCCGAACTCCGCGGCGAATCCATTTGCGGGCAAGTTTCCATTTGGTTCCAGCATAGACCATACCGCCTAGGATGTACACACCTACACTGAAAGCGTAGATGTCATTCAGCTTGACATGGTTAGGCACAAGATATTTCAAGAAAAACCTTCCAAGCAACAAGGGCCCAATTGTCACTGCAATTCCCGTTACTGCAGCAAACACCCAGATACCCAGAACAACAAGCCCAATTCGAGTCCTGAACCAAGGCGGAATATACACAAGTTGAAGTTCCCGTGAGTTTGGTCCAGTTGGCCCGTCGACCGGATCGTGTTTTTGATCAAGACGGATATTGTCCTCTGATACCGGAATAAACACTGTAGATCCTTTGGGCCTCCTAACAGAGTCTGAAGCTGGTGCTCGAACAAACCCCCCATCTCTCTGGAAATACGCCTCGACTCCACTTTCTTGGGCCGCCTTCAACATAGCTTCTGACTTGACCGGATCATCGACATCACCACACTTCCTCAAAAAAACGGCAGACCAGGTGCGCCTTACTTGGTGCCCTTCCTCATCCGGCTTTCTCTCCCCAAACATGAAGCTAGTCAACCTGAGCATTCTAGCGCATTTCTTAAACCACCAGTCATACATATTCTGTAGTCCATCCGAGGGCTTGAAGAACTTGACTGCAATGGGCATGAAAAAGTTGTAAAACAAGAGGTCGACCGGAAATTCCAATACAGGCTCGTTTGAAGACCAGTGAATGGGAAGGACCGCATTTGTGGCAAGCCAGAGACTCCAAACCACTCCTCCAAGACAAACAAGGACTAGGACGCCATATATAAGAGCGCTAAACCCTATTTTCCGCAGTTGCATCATAACTGGTCGATCAAGCACATCTTTCACTGGATGAAAGCTCGGGTCATCGGGATCCCGAATAAAGTCTAAATAATTCAATTAGTTTTTTTTTTTTTTTTTTTGTATCATACGACGTATAGGGGACATAGTACTCACAAAGAACACCTGTTCTCATGATCTTTCTGCACATCGAAACAAACAAGGCGAAATGAAACATGTAACAAGTTCCTACGAACCAGTGCACAAAAATGCTAGTCAACGGAAAATCCACAAAAAACTGTATCCTGGATAAAATGGTTGCATCTTCAAACAATGGTAAAAGTGCCACATCTGCCAATTGTTAGGATTCGTTGAATGCCCTTCGTCACAAATAGATTTGTTTGATACTTACCAAGTAATAGCCCGCAGTATAGCGGGAACACAAACATCTCAATTCCGATGATAAGAACGACCTTCATGACCCCACCTGCCTGCTGTAAAAGTTCAACGGCAAGTTTCTCTACGCCCCTAGGCCCTCCGTTCCTTTTTCTTGCATTCTGCAGATAAATCGCTCCAAGCATGGTGAAAAAGGCGTACCCTAGTAGCACTGCTGCGACTCGATCCCATACAGACCATTCATATAGAGGGTAAGGTTCACTATGGTTGAATACGGATACTTTGGGGTGGAGTAACGCCGTGGCATTACGCTGAATAAGATTAATGACCTTCTCAAACTTGGAATTGATGAAAGCAGCCGGTGATGAAATATTAACGGCCCGCACTTCTAAGTCTTGCAGATAGGGCACACTGTATGTTTCGTTGGATTGACTCAGGCCCATTTTTTCTGCGCCCCATGCCAGACCCACAGAAACTTTTGACCAGCTCTGCCTCGTTACCCAAGAGAGTGGTGGAACTCCAGATGATGGGAATTTTCTGATTGTAGAATAATTCGATTCGAGTATAGCAAGCTTGTGTATAACCCTGTTCTTACCGTCCATGGCCCAGTCTCTGAAATGCCTTGTGATTGCTGTACTTTTAGACATTTCTGACATTGCTGGTATGACATACCCTACGAACCTCATGACGAATCGTCCAACTTGGTCCAACATCAGAAGAAACGAGAAAAGGAGGCATGTAGCAGAATCCACGACGAATTCTGCAGAAAACGAGACGACGGTGACTGGGATAATGAATAAGAACATTATAGGATGGGCCTAAACCGTGAAGTTAGTAGCGTCCGGTAACAATGATTCATCTTTATGCCATCTTACCAAGATAATCATGCAGATTTTCCCTGTAACATAGGGGAAAGCCACGCCGAGCGCCACAGTAGCTGTAATTAATACACTGCTAATTGCTGCATTCTGTACGAGCCCAGCCATTGGTCCTCGCATCCCAATCAATTCCATAATACCATCAAAATCATCAGCTGCATCTTCATCGGCAATGGCTTGCTGTACATCCTGTGGAATAACTGGGGCATCACGAAGGGGTATATCGTCTATATCCCTATCGTCTTCATCTTCGTCTTCATCGTCATCTGAGTTCATATCGTCCAGATCTTGCGCATTACCAGGAAGATTATCAAGAGCTCGATTTTGTTGATCACCAACTATCCAATCCCACAAACCAGCTCCCCTTCCTCTTGCCACTGCGGGATCAGCTTGGGCAGCCGGTTGCTGTACGCGCCCGGCTTCAAACTGCCTTATAAGCTCTTGCATCCTAGCTGGATCATGACCATGCCCCGCATTTGCGAGTTGTCGTCTCCTTGGAAGCTGCGCATCGCCAATGTTAAAGTTCAATGCTGCTTCGGGCTGTTGGTCCGCCAGTGCCGCTTGTGAATCGCTGGTGGTGGGGGTAGAAGGTTGTGTAGAGGAGTCGCTATTTTCGACTTCAGCAGCCGACACGGAAATTTCGCCACTAAGAAATTCCGATATAGATTGCTCTATGGACTTATTTTCTTCAGTTTCAATATCTTCATCTTCATCCGATGCGGCCAGGTATCCTGTCGAGGAATCATCAGAACCGAAACCAGCGTCTTCCATATCATCGGACAAGTCGATTTCTTTCCCTTTCCCTTTATCTCTGGGCTTCTCCTCCGCTTCCTGCTCTTCATTATCATAGTTTGACCGCATTCTTTGTTCGAGTGTAGATTGGCGCATATCCCATCGATCAATTGAGCCATCAGGGGCATGGTGGGAAGAAGAGCCCCCCGTGGCCCCAGAGCCTAAATATGATGCAAAAGGTCTGTCGCTATAGCCCTCTTGCTTTGTTGGGCTATCATGATTATTTGACTGGAGGCCGAGGTTAACATCAGCATCACTACCAATAGATTCCCTCCTGTGAGGCTTCCAGAAGTTGTTTCTGTGACTGCCCGCCACCTGCATATCTCTCCCATCTAGGGTTCTGGGATAATCTTCATTGTACTTTGATACTGTGCTTGGAAGTTTGACCCCATCTCTTTCTGATATTCCACTTCCGCTCGAGCTGCCACTTTCCGGTATGTGATCATTTCCGGGGGAAGCCCTAAATTCGAATGACCGGTCGTTGGATGTAGGTTGACCAAAATCGTATCGATTCGCTGCGTTTTCTAAAAAACTCAATTTTTCTTCCATTTCCCTTCTCACCTCCGCAGCCCGCGCAATGACTTCACGATTAACGTGTGGTCTTGTAGGATGATTCGAGGGGCTTTCAGAAGAGGTTTCACGAGTGTTATCCAGGGAAGTATCTCTGCTACCACTACCAAGAACATGTCCTTGACCTGGCCTCTCTGTGCTCTCGAAGCCAGCGTCTCCATTCTCGACAGGCGCAGGTGGGAAACGTCGTCTTCGAACGCGTGCGATGGCTCTGGGCCTAGGTCTTGCAAGCTCTTCGTCGTCGTAGTCTTCTGCTTCATGGTAATGGTACCGCCCTTCTTCTTCTGCCTCCTCTTGAGCTGTCCCAAAGGGCGGTAAGTCCTGGTCATCGTCATCGTCGTCATCGTCGTCATCATCTTCCTCCTCTTCCTCAGCTGCTGGCTGTTGGTTTTCTTCTCTAACTTCCATTTGAGGTAGCATTGCTGCAGCCGCGCCTCCGGCCAAAGCCGGTTGTTGCTGAACTACCCACTCGCGAATTAGAAATATGAGTATGAAAGAAACAACAATAAGTGCCGTGAGTAATTGGCCTTCGAGGGTATCAATAATGACGTTGTTAACCGCCTGGTACCGAGTAAGGTTCGAAAATGGATTCGAGTCAAAGAAAAGGCCATTTGGATATATCCTCGAGGCTGTGGTATTGCCTAAGACACTATCATTAACTGCGCCGCCATTTACTGGGCTCATCTTGCCGGCTATCAGGCCAGGGGACGAGAGAAATTGAATAATCCCTTGACCAATAGCGGGACTGGTCCCATTCCCGATAGATGATGTTTTTGTTGATAATGGGCCAGTCAAACTACTAGACTCCCGAGCAGCGTTTCTCGTGTAGAATCCTTGCCAACCGCCATCGCCAATCCAAAACCAACCTCTCCACATCCACCGCACACACCACGGTAGCCATCCCAGCCAAACGAAGCCTACCAAAGCACCTCTAGCCCAGAGTATGACGTTTTGAACAAGGTGTCTGAATAGCCGCTTTAGAAATAGTGGCGTGGGAATTGTGGAGGGCATTTCAGGGTCGTATAGCTTTGTAAACTGGAAAGGCGTTTTGCATAGCTCGCAATGTTTCTTTTGGGAATGTTGAAGCCATTCCATCAAGCTTTTCGCAAGACCCAAGGTTAGAAGGTGGGAAAAAGAATATTTTAAAAAAAAAAAAAAAGGGATTATCTTTAATGAGCAAGGCAACAGCTTAACATACCATTCTTGATGAACGAATTTGATAGAACCACTACATTTGCAGGGGTGAAATAATGGTTCATCTGAGGTTCCTTCCGAACGACATATACGGCAATGGTCTGGTTCTCCGACGCCTTCTTGTGTTCCATCGTTGGGGGGATTCGTGTTGTAGGCGGGGTCATTCATGACGTCGACCTGCGGATCCGGCACCGGATCCATGGTGACGGTTCGTGACTGAGTAGGAGATGGTGGAGATGTCGAAGTTCACGAAGTCAATGAGTAGCCAGTATAGTTAAGTAAATCAGCGGGGAGGCAAAGAGAGACAGCAGGCTTTCAGGCGGGCGATACTACGGCTGCCACTTAGCCGGTGGTGATAGGGTTTCCGGGGAAGACGCGAGCTGGCCAGATCTTTACGGGGAACCGTGGGGGAGTTGGAGGGGGTTGTGTGGAGTGTGCACCAGGAACGGGAGCTCTAAAAGAAAAGAAAAATGTTATGCGTGGAGGGTAAGGGAAGGATGCAGACACGCGGTGGGCACTCTCACAACGCTGGTCGTTGGGATTCTGACCAGCTCATGTCTCACTTGCACGAACCTTGTTGCTGGGCGTCTTCTTTGCGCCACATACCCTACAGACTGTATAATTCACCAGCTGCGTAAATCAAGGCATGCATGCACCAATAACATCAGGGCCAAAAAGCGTCTAGTGCACGTCCAACTAATGGTATCGCCACAATATTACATCACCGTATCAACAATGGTTGATTCCTGGGAGAAAGAAAAAGCAGTGTATGGAAAGATAAACATAACCTGCTGCTCCCTTAAATCGTCATCTCATGATGTTCCTTGGTCAATAAACGCATCTACTCGCTTATAACCAGCCAGTTTCTATGTGATCTTTCATGTGATAGGTTTTTCTCCTACCCAAACAGTCTCAACTCAAGCATGATTGTAGACTTATAAACCTGTAACAGCCCAGGTATTATGAACGGTGACTGTTGATCTCTAGTTAGAAAGTTGAATAGAATAAGATAAAGTCAGCTCATGCACTCGTTTCAATGGACTGCTCCGCTTGCTTCCCCTTCCACAACTTTGCTTCACTCTCGGCCCCATAACCCCTGCCTTTCACCGGTTACGACTGTTACAGGAAGCTCGAATAGAGTAGAGTCCTGTTCATGCACGCTGCACCTTCCGAGAACGGGTTTCATCATACCTATCCTCTCTGGCATTAATCTGCCATCTTTTGCATTTTCTTGAAAATCTTGGTTCCTCTCCTACTTGAAGCCCTTCTTCCCGTCTTCTTCTTCCCACTTTCTTTTTCCCTCTCAATCTTATCACTTCTCGTGGTTTCCCTCCTCCGACCCACGAACAGCGACAAAACGGACCTTTACACATCTCATAAAGTGAAAGATCCTAGAAAAACATGGGTGTAGCAGACACTAAGCGGAGCGCCCGAGCTCCCTCATCCCCCCCTTTGCGAACGGGCTCTGGCAGTTCTACCATACTGAATGTCTTTGCTAGGTAAGCACCTCACAGTGATCTCCCTCGCTGTTGGCTGTCCGCATGGATAACATGAAGCTTATCGTTAAACTGTTAGAATCGTTGCTTGGTATCTCCTATATACTGTCCTTTTTGTCTGTCCTGATGTACCAACAAACGATTCGCCAACAATCTGTCATACCTCTCACACTGTTTCAACGACATTACGGCCACATCTCGAACCCTATTATAACCAATACCTTGAGCCTTACGTCACTGAATATTCTCCGTGGGTCAAGAAAACCAACGAGAAATACCTTGTTCCAACCTACGATAAAGTCACGGATTCTTACAAACAATATGCTGCTCCACACGTCGCTTCTACCCGCAACTTTGTCGCCAACAAGTACGACAGTGTGGTGAAGCCTCGCGTTGGCAAAGTCTCCGCGAAGTCAAAGTTTTATTACGACGAATATCTCTCTGCTCAAGTTGCCAAGGCCATCAAGTTCTACGGTATTGCCCAGCCTTTCATCGAGAGTTCTCGGACGAAATTGGAGGGTGCTTACAGGAATACTGTTGCTCCTGCGTATGAGAAAGCGCTTCCACACGTGGCATTGGCCTACGAGAAAACAAAATATGTGGTTCTCACCATAGTGGCTCCTCTAGTCAGGGAAAATGGGGAGAAGGCTGTTTATTGGGGGATTGGTATTTGGAGCGACGTTGTTCGTCCACAGGTCGGAAGAATTGGAGAGCGCCTTGGCGGTACTGGTAACGGGTAAGTCCTTAATTGGATTTTTATCTTATTTCCTCGTTTTGTTTTAGAGGTTTGGGGGGTCAAAAGCGTTTTTTCTTTTTTTTTTTTTTTTTCTTTGGGTGGGGGATACCATGATACCATGTTAGCTGGAAATGATCGGAGTGAGTATCACGAAAATATGAGAGACGAATTTATGTAACCATTTTTGGCACTGTGGGTCTATCGGCCACCCACAAAAAAAGTTCGAGTCTGGAAATATATGATTTTGGAGGGTTTAAAAAGAAAAGAAAAACTCCTTTCCCTACTACACCAACTATGTGATCCTTGCTGTGTATGTGTTGTTCAGAATTTCAAGGCTAACTTGAAAAATCTTGTTGCAGAACACCTGCAGTGTCCGCGCCCGGTTCTCCCTTCTCTTCTTTGACAAATCTTGATGTAGCCAAAGCCGCCGAGGCGTCTTCATCCCTGGACTCAATGATCTTGTGCGCATCTGCAAAGGCCGCATCGGCCAGGTCATCTGCAGCATCGAGTGCATCTCAAGCAGAACAAGCAGAACAAGCATCTGCAGATCACAGTAAAAATCTGTCTCCTGAGGAAGTCCATAAGTTGGTTGAGGAAGACCTTGCCCGATACACACAGAAGTTCAAGGATTCGGCTGCAAAGGCATCGAACGATCTTAATGCGCGGATTGATGAAATCTCGGCCAAGGGCAAAGGAAAGAAGGCCTCGTATGCAGGGAAAGAAATTGACGCTCTCCAGAAGCTGGTGGAGAAGGAATTCAACAAGATTAAGAAGGTGACTCTTAAAATCGTATCTGGGTTGACCCCGGATAGCAACGCGGAGGAGAAACAAGCTGCTTTGGATAGCCTCCTCACTACAACTAAAGAAGCCGGCCTCAAGATTCGTGATAAAGCTCAAGAGCAACGGCTTGAATCCCAAAAGTATCTTGCATCAATTTATGATGATGTTGCAGCTGCTGCCGATAACCATCTCGAGGCCTTTGACTCGGTTCGGGATCTGTCCATGCAAGAACTCGGGATGAAGTGGGCATGGATGGACCACGTTTCGTACAAAGATTGGAGGCGATACCATGCATTGAAGGATGATTTTGAAGGCCTCAAGCGGGAAATCGTAGCCACTGCCCAAAAAAACCAAAAACTCATTGAAGTTACAAGATGGGTCGAGGGGGAATGGGAAGGAATGGCGACTGATATTGCAAAAGATGCTGCTGAAGAGCTGAAGAGATTGAAGAGAGTTAGCAAGAGGAAAATTGAGCTGGCTGACTCGTCTGATGACTTCTCTGATTCAACTTTGCCGGTTCTTGTAGAAAAGACGGGGCAGCAGGTACTGAAGAAAGTGGAAGAGGTGAAGGGGGCAGTTATTCCAGAGGCGAAGGAGAAGGGGGCTTTGGAGAAAGCTGCTGATAAAGTCTCGGCTGCTGTTGGTGGTACGGAAAAGCCCGCTACTGAGCGTGTTGCTGGCGCTGCTAGCGAGAAAATGGAAAGTGCTGCAAGTGCAGTCTCCGCAAAGGTACGGGTATCGGCGTGGATTACGATTGGAGCATTTCTAACGAGTCTTCAGATCTACGGCACTCAACCGAATGCTTTTGAAAAAGCACCCACCGCTATTGGAAATGCGCTCCCTGGAAAGGAAGAATCCACCCCATTGGCCAGTGTCGTAAAAGCGCACGTTCCCGGTGGTGTTTATGCCGGCTATGTCGGTGCTTCCAGAGTTGAATATGAGTACGACCCCGAAGAAGAAGAAACCCTCGGCGAAAAAGTAAATGACATCATCGATGCTGTCAATGATAAGCTCGTCGATGCCTCCCGCGCAGTTTCCGAAGCTTTAGTAGGCGCAACCACAACTCAAGCTGTTGGAGAGAAATATTCGTCTATTGCTAGCGAAAAGTACGACTCTGCTCTTAGTGCTGCCTCAAGCGCACTCTATGGAACTCCACAACCAGCAGGCGAATCGATCGTTAGCATTGCGACGGACAAGTACTCTGCAGCTGTTGCAGCTGCCAGCAGTGTCATCTACGGAACTCCAACGCCCATGATAGAGCTGTTTGCATCCCAGGCACAGGCAGCCTATGAAAGATCACAAACAGTTGCCAAAGATGAGTATCGTAAGGCAATGCGTAAAGTCGCTACAATGGTTTATCCTGAGGATTTGCCACACAAGGATTCTGCTGCGTCTGCTGCGAAGGAAGCTTATAACGAGGCTTTAACAGCTGCCGAAGCTCAGTACTCAAGTTTACTCAAGGAAGCATCAAAAGTTCACAGCCGCTATGACAGTGTAGCTAGCGAGGCGCGAGCAAGCTATGATTCTGCTCTTAGTGCTGCAAGCACTGCAATTTATGGAACACCACAGCCGGCCTCTGAGAGCATTTTAAGTGTTGCCAAAGAAAAGTACCATCAAGCTTTGAACGAGGCTCAAATTACATATGACAGTTGGTATAGCGTTGCTTCTACGGCGGTTCTACGTATGTTTATGCCATTTTGTATAGGGTGATTCATTGTGACTGACATGAATTACACAGCTCCCCCCACTCCAACATTTGAAATCATTTCATCCCGACTCTCCCAAAGTGCCGAGAGCGTAGCCAGTGCCGCTTCTTCAGTGGTATACGGTACCCCGCAACCTTTCACTGAATCAGTTGCATCAGTCGCCGGAGAGTATGCTTCGGTCGTCACTGATTCGGCCGAAGAGCGCTTGGAGTCAGTCAAAGCCTTTGTGTCTGAACTCGTTTCGGGGAAAGAACCAGCGTACACCGAGAGTGTAATGAGTAGATTCTCATCCCTTATGTACGGAACTGATGCTCCCATTCTCTCCCGAGCTACGTCTGCCGCTGGCGAAGCCTACGAATCTGCTTCCAGCATGATGTCGGATAACTTTGAATCCGCAACCAGTGCAGTCGGGAGCATGATGACCCCACCCCCCGCGTTAGAAAGTATTATTTCCGCAGCAAATGAACAAGTTCAAGCTGCCATTTCTATAGCAAGTGAACAAGTCTACGGCACCACTCAAGACACCGCAGAAAGCGTAACCAGCGTCATCGGAGAGGCCTATGAAAGTGCAGCATCACAAATATCAGAAGCCATCTACGGCCGCCAAACTGGTGCTTTCGAGTCGGCCACTCTAAGGATGCAGGAAGCCGCTGAATCAGCACAACGAGCGATTTCCGAGGCAGTCTACGGAACTTCGAAAGGAACTTTCGAATCTGCTACCAGCGCCTTTGCTGAGAGCGTCGATACTGCCACTTCAGTCTTGGGCGATAATCTTGCTGCTGCGACTGAAGCCGTCGTTGAAGGCATTGACGCTGCGGGATCGGCGATCGGGGAGAGTTACGAGCAGGCTCAGGCAAGGATCTCGGCTGCCATCTACGGCCCGCAACAAGGAGTTGTCGAGAGTGCGCAGAGCAGGATCTCTGAGGCGGTCGAGAGTGCGAAGAGCTCTTTATCTGAGGTCGTCTATGGAACACAGACGGGATATGTCGAACAGGCTGCCAGCTCTGTGTCTTCTGCTGCCAGCGCGGCGTCCTCTGTCGTTGATGAAGCGATACAAAGCGCGACGGAGAAGGTCAAGGATGCATATTCAACCATCAGGGATGAGCTATGAGTAGCGTCAGATGATAATGGGAATTTCCGAGGTAAAAAACGGCGTTTATGCTGATACGATGTTCATGATGGATAATGGAATCCGGCGGGGCTTTTGTTTCTCATTTTTATTTTGTGTTGTCTTTCTCTTTATTTTCTTGTCTTCTTTTAACACTGATTTCTTTTCTGTTTTTCTGCTGCGCTTTCATCCTTCTTGTGTGTGCGAATATAGGACTAATGGGGGACCTAAAATGGAAACGGGCGGTTCTGCCTCTCATTTTTTCTTTCTACACTTTCTTCTTAACCCATATTCTTTCGCCAATTTGGTGCTTTGTATAACTATAACTATGTGGATAGCATCCTTCTCTTTCCTTTGTCTTAGCAGTGATAAGCCAATCCGTGATATGATGAAGAAATAGTAGAATATCTGTATTGGGACATAATGCTACTAATTATAGTAGCAAAGGTCTTGTGATCTAGCTGGATGCGGCTAATTGTTATCAGGCAGAACGGGTGTCGGTGGTGTAACGATGTGTGGGGTGTCGTGTTGGTGTGATGGTGTGATGTTGATGGGAAATGTTTGGTGTGGGTGGAAGAAGGGTGGTAATGAGAGGTAGGAGGTGGATATGTCTGAAACGGAGATGGGACTCCTGAGGAATGGGGTAGGTATCGAACGGACAGGGTACAAGATTTGGTGTGCAGCACTGGACATGGTGCGAAGTCACGCATCTCTGCTCTACTCTACCTACCTAAGTGAGGTTCTGAGAGGGGTGCACTAGGTAGCTCCTTCGTAGCAGTGTGGTCCAGACACGGCACATGCGCACGCACGCACACCCCAATATTGCATAATATTCCTGGGATATTATCAGGAGCCTTGAGGAGTGATGCCTCAGGGGCTAATCATTTAGGACTTGTATCTTATCGACTAGAGTACATATAGGTACTATGGGAGGAAAAATATATGGCGTGTGGTGTCTATACAGTCATAAAATGTCACTCGGTAATCTAACTACCACTATCCAGTCACAAAATTATGTTTCGTAAACAGTGCGATGAGTCTAGCAGAGAAGAGATGATCTCACCGATAGGCTTAGTGGGGCGGAGCGCGCATATAGGAGATTTTTCATAAGTTGTGATGGAATATCCGAATTAATACCACCAACGGGCCCGCAGCTATCATAAAAACCCAACCCTATGAAACCAGTCCATTCCCCTCCATGGCTCATAAACGGCGACATCACCCACAAAACAAACAGCATCCTGCAGATCAGCCCAGATCTTGCACTTTCCAGTATCTGCACACACGCAGATCCGCGGGGGGAAGGGGAAAGCGAAAAATCACATGCCATACGCATCCACACCGAGTGATGTCCCGTGACTGGGGCTCCATTTCATTTTTTTTTTCACACGCAATCACTCGTCGGCCGCGATTCTCGACCCGCCCGCTGCGCGCCGACGATGTGGGAAGGGAGGGAAAAAAAGAAAGGAAAAAAGCACTCCGTCAAAAACGGCATCACAGATCGGTCTTTTCGCCACCCATCAGGATCAAACGGTGTGTTGGCAGGAGAGAGAGAGAGAGAGAGAGCTTGAGGGTTAGGGGGCGCGCTGCGATTGGGCACAGGAAGAACTAAACTGGACTGGAGAGATCTTGGTATGTGATCGGTTCGTCGCGATGTTTGGATCATGGCTGGATGATCGGATTTGCACTATGTACCGGAGGTACTCTATGGGGGGCAGAGAGAGCGGAAGTGGGAGGAGAGAGGAGCGAAATCACATGTGGCGATCTGGTGCAGAGGGGTTGGTTGTCGCTGCTTGACTCTAGGCGCCGGGTTTGACTGTAGGGCAGAGCTGATGATTAATTTGATAGACATGAGTGATTGACATGGCCCCTTGCAACCTCAAGAACCAAGAAAGAAAGCGAGGGAGGGAGATAGGCAGAGGGCTAGACAGGACCGACTAGACCACTAAGAGCAGCCGGGCACACGCACAGGCCCGCAAATGAGCTAGGAGGAATGGCTCAATTCTGTCACCAGCGAGTTGGATGTCGTTCTGAAAGTACTCATACGTAACTTTTGTCTGTGCACGGGGGAGCGGAGTAGAAAGAGAGGGGGGGGGGGCCTTCCTTCGGTCTTTATTCCGGCAGTACCAGGTCTAGCTGCTGCTGCTGGTCTTTCTTCTGTTTTGTATTTTTATTTTTAATTTTTTTGCGGGGTAGGTAGCTACATGTAAGTATCGAAAATATTCCCCACAAGCAAAGTACATGTAGGTAACTGTATGTACCTCTGGAGTATTGCATGATTTGCGCGGGGTTCTTTTTCTCGTATGTGCTCTACTCTGGCTCGGAAAAACTGCTGTGAGGGGGCTTTTTTGTGTGGGCTTATGTTTTTGTTTTTGTAGTTGGAAGGGAGATCGTCGGAACTCGGGTTCGGGACAACCTCGCTTAGTCAATTGGCCGTCATCCCACGAAGCGATTTTTTCCGGTTTTTTTTCTTTTCCTTCCAGACGTTGCGAAAAAACACACAAGGCACAAGGCAGTGCCCGCAGTCAGTTTACAAGCATGGGAAAGTCAGGATAAGTGCCTGAACAGGAACCGAACCACCATGTTCCCTTGTGCCAAAGTGTAGGTATTTTATCCAGAGCTGGGAAAAGAAAATAATATTAGAAAGGATACAATATTGCTATAGCACCTTCATACAACATTCCTATCCCTTCCTCTTCCCTCACATCTATCTCCATCATTGTTGTGATTGCTCTTGTGCTTTCTTTCAGCTTCGTTCGTCTTCATTTCCACCGTATGCTATCCGTCCATCCATCCATCCCGGGAAGAATAGTTTAGTTCCCGCCTTCAAAAGTGAAAGAAAAAAAACGGAGCACGAGATCCCGTCACCATCATCGTCCCATCACACCTCTCCACATTAACCCTTTCCCTCTCTCCCCCCACACGACAGTCGGTCAGACAGGCATACGACCAGAGAACAGAAAAAACACTCCACTTCTTTTTTTGTTTCTCATCGATTCATCATCTCACTAGGTAGTAGTACCTGGATAGAATAATTACCCTACAGCAGCGGGTCCTTTCTCATTGTACTCGCCATCACCGAAACTATCAAGCACACTAAAAAAGATAGAGGGAAAAAAAAAACGTCACTTCACAACACGCGATCCCTTGGATGCACCCCCGCCAGTAACTAGTCATGGCATTCAACTTCAACTGGACGCCGCTCACTACCTCCTCGACGACATCGTCGGCCTTCTACACGCACGCTAAGTCACTGCTCACTGCCGCCCTTAACAAGTCGCAGAAGCCGCCAATCATCGTCGATGACATCTTCGTCGAGGAGCTAAACCTGGGGCAGAGCGCGCCGGATCTGGAGATACTCGAGATTGGGGACCTGGCGGAGGATAGATTTAGGGGCATCTTCAGGATGAGCTATGAGGGGGATGCGTCTTTGACTCTCAAGACGAAGGTTCAGGTATGTTGATTCTGGTTCTTCCGATACCTCCCGCCGCTGCTGCGGATTCAGCTGTGGGCTCCTCCGCTGCTACTGCTTCTGCTATAATCTCCTGTTGTGGTAATTGCATGCCTACCTGCTATACCTTACCTTACCTACATATGTACCTATGCCTACCTATCTCTACCTCTGCCCTTGATGCGTGACAGGGTTGTTACTCTTCCAGCAAACCGGCTATATTGGCTGTTCCTTACTCTCCTACATACGTCACGCACGGCAGTACTACTGCATGTTTATTATGCCCGAGCCAATACCACACGATAGATACTGACCAAACGTTTTCCACCTGCAGGCGAACCCATTAAACACCTACCTCTCCACAACGCCGTCCTTCACCTCTCCCACGCCCCTCGCCGCCTCGGCCCCGCTCACAATCCCGCTACAAATCACGCTCTCAGACTTCCGGCTGTCGGGATTCATCATCCTCGTCTTCTCAAAGGCGAAAGGGATCACCCTGGTCTTCCGAAACGACCCCCTTGAATCACTAAAGGTCTCGTCGACATTCGACTCAATACCGTTCATCAAGGACTACCTGCAGAAGGAGATTGAGCGCCAGGTCCGCGGCCTGTTTCAGGAGGAGCTCCCAGTCGCGGTGCACCGGTTGTCGCTCCGGCTATGGAATCCCGAATATGCGGCGTCGCTAGGCCTCGATTCCCCGGCGCCTAACAATGAAGAGACAGCGGGTGGTAGTGAGGAGGACGAGGAGACCGCGGCGGCGTTTGGGACAAATCCACTGTTGTCGCCCACAGACTCAGAGTCAGACTCGCCGTCCATCTCATTCTCGCAGAAGAACCTTGCGGCGCTGAAGGCGCTGAGCTGCTCGCAGAAAACGCTGTCGGTTGGGACCCCGTCGATCCCGGATGTGGTATTTAGGGCCTGGGCGTCCGGAAATGGTTCCGCGGTATTGGGCGGTGATAAGACGCCGGCGTCATTGGAGCCCCCTGGGACGCCAGTGAGCGGCAACAGCAGCACATACACGTTCTCCGAGAATGGTGACGCCGTGAGCACGACGGGCAGCTCGTCCTCAAGACCGAGTATGTACCACACCAACAGCTCGCCATCGCTCGCAGGTGCAGCGGGCCGAACAAGGGGCAAGCGGAGAAAGCACAGAGTTGTCAACCTGCGCTCGCAGCCCGCTCCACCGCTATCGGAGGAGACTGCGCCGGCGGTTGTCACAGAGAAGGAGCCGTCGACACAAGACGAGGTCACGACACCCACGGCGCCGAAAAGAGGCGGCGTGAGGTTCATTGACCCTGTTGCGCGCCCAGTGACGCCGACAGAGGCCCCGAAGACAGTTCCCATCATGCTTGTCGAACCCCCGTCGCCGGCGTCCTCAGTTTCGACGGAGAACATCACGTATCCCGCGACCTCCTCCTCCGCTTCTACCACATCGGCCTCGTCACTGTCCACGGAAGCCAGTCCGTCGAAGAGCTACGCGAACGAGAAAAGGCCGCAGTTGAGAGCAGGGGCTGCTCATGGAAGTGGGATTTTGGAGAAGGCATTCTTGATG